GTCGCCTATCAATTCGCCCTTCTTAATTTGATTGATCGATTTAATTAATTGATTCGTCGCACGTTTCGTCCCGTTCCAACCCTCGCCAAGATGCCGGCCTACGAACTCCGATCGGGTGGTGATGTCAAGAACAAGAAGCAAAGTGTGGCCGATCTCAAGTACCGCCGTCTGACCGAACTGAACGCCCGCCTGAAGGAGGACTTGGATCGGCCCCGTGTCAAGGTGTCTGAGGCTGCCCTGTCGTAAGTAGTCCCCCCCGCCTTCGCCTTCGCCTTCGCCAGTGCTCCCTCCCAGCCACCGCGTCGTGCTGACCCGATCGCTTCGCCAGGTTGATCAACTACTGCAACAACACCCGTGACTTCATGGTACCCTCCGTATGGGGACAGGTAGGCGGCATCCTCCCCCGAGACAGACAGACAACCGATTGGGCGTGGTCGCTAACGGTCGCAGGTCGACAAGCGTGAGGACCCATACGCGCCCCAGCAGCAGGGCGGGTGCTGCACGGTCATGTAATGGGCTCATGACATTTCGACGTCTTTTGATTCGGACGGACTGGGGGGGCCGATGCGATGGCCGTCCTGCAGTCCGTCGGCGCTTTTATATCCCCTCTTGCGATGACTTTTTCTTCTTCCGCCTTTTCTTCGCTCCTAGCCTTCTATATCTAATTCTCTGTCACCATACCTTTGCGCCAATGGAACGCCCCGCGACGCCCGGCTCCGACGGCCCGAACCATCAAGCGACGACGACGAGACCACGGAGGTCCCCGAGGGAGGCGCGCTGGACTGGCATGACCTTCGGGCCGTGGGCAGTGGGAGCGGCTGCACTTCACGACTGGGGACCCGGCTCGGATGCGCCCAGAGACGTGCGACCGTGTCCCACGGTGGACTTTCAACACCCCTTTTTTTTTTTTTTTATCTTCGCTTCGATTTCCGGTCGACCTCTTCCTATGATCGGCATTTGTGATTTCATTTCTAGTGATTTTATTGACCATATTTCCTTTGTTAGCAGTGATCCGGATGGTTGGGGTTCAAAACAAAATCGTATAACCAGCGACGGGGGGAGGTGGGTGCAGTCCCGCGTGAGAGGCCCGATTCTGTAAAATAGATCAACAGGGCTAGTTTAATTACTGAGCAGTTTATGAGCAAGATTGGTTTTTATTTTTTTTTAGAAGGAGATGGGGGGAGCTCCGAGCGCGATCGTAGATCTGACGGTTGCCCGTGCAGGAATTCTCCGCCCACATGCACTGCACTGCACTGATGCTGATGCATGCGTCTGGACTGCTGGAGTGGTAGATTGATAATAGTCGTCTTTATCTGTACAGCAGGGTACCACTAGGTATCTATAGTAGGTAAGTATCTAGTACGTACCTACTCTGCTAGTAGTTGAAATGTTGTGCCTCCACCGCTGACATCATCCTCAACCCACCACCTAGTCAACTAGTCAACTAGTCATCCTCATCTCCATTCCCTCCCTCCCTCCCTCACCACCACCCACCAGACACCACCACATCTTCCTATCAAAACAACAAGAGAGAAAAAAAAAGTAAAAGCGAGAGAGAGAAAATGACCACACCCCACCCACCAACCACCACAACAACAACAACCAATACTATGGTTAATAATATGACCACCCCCACCCATCTCCCCCGCATCACCATCAAATACTGCACGCAGTGTAAATGGATGTTGAGGGCTGCTTATGTACGTTCCCCTAAACTCTTTCCCTGCTCCCTGCTGTTTTTTTTTTTTTTTTTGATTTTATACTATATACATCATACATCATGTTTGTGGAGAGGGAGGGAGTGAGGAAGGGAGGTAGGGTTACATATATCCTAGAAGAGAACTAGAAGCAAGCAAGCAGTTCTCTTGGAAAGGAATTCTTCAGTTCATCATATGGCATGGCATGGTCCCCCTCTATCTAGCCCCTCCCTTCTTCATAAAAAAGCAAAAAAGAAAAAGAAAAAAAAAATCACTAACTAACCAATCAACCCACCCCCCCTCGGGAGGGATCACCAGTTCGCCCAAGAACTCCTCTCCACGTTTTCCACGCAACTCGGTGAGGTCGCGTTAATCCCGGCCACGGGGGGCGTGTTTACTGTTACGATCTATCATTCTTCATCGTTACCTGAACCTGAAGAGAAAGCTTCTGCTTCTGCTTCTGCTTCTGCTTCTGCTTCTGCTTCTGAGGGGGTTGAGGCTGGACTTGCCCTTCAAGAGACGATCCTCTGGGATAGGAAGACGGAGGGGGGGTTTCCTGGTATTTTTATCCCTCTTTTCATTTGTTTTCTTTCTTGGTTTCGTTCTTTTCCTGGTTGGTTGGTTGGTTGGTTGGGTTGGTTGGTTAGGTTTGTGTTGGGTTTGTGTTGGGTTTGGTTAGGTTTGTGTGGGTTTGTGTTGGGTTGGTTGTTTCGTTGGTGGATGATGGTGGTGGATGATGGTGGTGGATGATGGTGGTGGATGATGGTGCTGTTGCTACTGCTGCTTGGGTCAATCACCTAAGCATGAAAATAAGAACGATGCTAATATTTCCTGTGCTTGTGCGTGTCCAGAGGTCAAGGTGCTCAAGTCGAGGGTGCGGAATGTGGTGGATCCGGGGAGGGATCTGGGACATACGGATCGGGCGTTGAGGGCTGCTGGTGTTGGTGCAGCAGCAGCAGGGAAGACGGATGGTCAGGGGACAGAGAAGAAGGAAGAAGAAGAAGAGGGAAAGGATCAGACAGAGCTGAAAAAGAAAGAGCAGGGGAAGGGAGGGGAGAAAGGAGGGGAGAAGTGTGAGGACTGTCAGTAGCTCTGTATGTAACAGACCTATCTTGGCTGTCTTGTATATGTTCTACAGTGGATGTATCTCATGCATCAAACATGCAAAAATATATTGAATGCACTATCAATATCAACCCATACGGTTGTAAAAGGTACAGTGGTAGTCCTGCCTAGGTACGGCGACTCCTCATCCGAAACGCCAGTTCCACGCCCCGACTCTAATTGCCCGTCCGGAGCCCGCCTCTGTATGATAATGACAAAATGAAACTGTAAAAAAAAAAGTAAGGAGGTGGGTAGGTAAATAAGGTAGGATAGGAGGAAAAGGTTAGGTAGGTAGGTAGGTCAATGAGAAAAGAAAATGAAAAGAAGAAAGAAAAAATGAAGAGAATGTCGAAGATGTCGAAGTGAAAAGAAACGAAAAAAAAAAAAAAAAGCCAAATCCCATGCGCCAGCTCCCAGGGGAATGAATAATCCCCAACGGACAGCCTGGCATGCATCATCAAGATCGTCAGATATCATGAAAGAACCCGCAGCGGCATGTATTGCAAAAAACAAAGCAACCAGCCAGACACACAAGTCCATGTATCAATATCCATCGAGCCGGTTCGTCAAATCATGCAAATCCATCGTAAATCCAAGTCGTCAGCAGAATGTTTCCCATCCATGAAGCCCATGCCCATGATCCAATCACAATCACAATCAATCCCTCGATTTTGCTCACGCGCGAATTCCAACCCGCCATGAACACCGTGAAACAACCAAACGCGAAAACAAGAAACTGATATCAAAAACTTCCGCGGGTCAGACCCGTCCGTCATGTCTCGCCGCTCACCTCGTGCTGATGCGAGTGGTGCGTTCGGCGCTTCCAGAAAGCCAACCGAAGCCGACTCCGACGTTTCGGCAGCTTGCGAGGGGGGAAGCCTTGCCCCGCGCGCTCGTCCCACCCTGGTCCATGACCGTCGTGTTTCATGCTTCCCGTCGTCATCGTGGATTGACCAGAGCTGCCCGTCCCGTTCTCCACGGGCGACGCCGACATGTGGTTCTTCCCCGAGTCGTATGTGTTCGGATCGGAAGCGCGGCGCCCGGTAGGGTAGACGGTCGTCGCCGAGTCGTGGTTGGAGGTGGCCGGCCGGATGCGCGCCCGTTCCCAGTCCCCTTGGTCACTCCGGATGCTTTCCCGCGTGAGACCCTTCTCGTCGCTATCCACGCTGAGGAAGCTGGTGGCGTTGGTGGAGGGCGAGATGGGCGTCATGTTGTTGCTGTACGTGCTGACGCTGTGGGTTCGCGTGCAGCTGTTCCGCTGCGAGTTCGACGGCCCGGACGTGCGTCCCGAGGAGCCCGTGTTTGCGTGATGGCGGCGATGTTGTCGCGAACTGCCCGGTCGGTCTGCCGAGCCCTCCACCGAACTGTTGCGGGCGCTCGAGAAGCCAGACGCGTCTCCGTTCTCGGCGCCCGATCCATTGGCCAAGATGGCAGCTGCCATGGCCGTAGAGTCGGTCAGCGAACGGGCTGGCTCCGAGCAACCGTCCAGAGCGACACTCGGACGCTCCAGAGTCGGGTCGTCGCTCTCCTCGGGAATGACGTCGGAGGATTGGCGAGAGACATCCTCGTTCAGCGGCCGCGAGTAGCCGGTGATGTCCATGGAAGGACCCGGCGTGTCCGGGGACACAACCGGGCTGATGGTGTTCTCGTTGTAGTCACTGGGGGCCTCCTCCGAGTCCGCCACTGGCGTCGGGACCGCTCCAAAGTAGTCGTCGGGAGTTGGCCGCCGACTAGCGGGCTCGCTAGTCGGAAAAGCTGGCTTGATGAGGGGAGTGATGGGGCTGTTGACCGCAAGCGGTGTGCGCTTACCCCTCAGACTCGACACGGGGCTCTGAGTGCGGGGCGAGACCAGATCGTCGATACGGAGATCGGCTTGTAGTGCCTGCCGGTTCTTCTCCATGTCGGCCAGGAAATGCCATCTGGACTGGTTGTTGCGGATATGGTCGACTGTGAACTTCAGGTCCGGGAGGATGTCCGAGACGCCCTCGAACAGAGGGAGGGCAAAGATCGACATGAATCCAATTTGGCCGGTGGCGAGCTTGTAAACATTCCCCAGTTCGGGTGGACCGCCGAACAACGCTGTCTCCATCCCGACCTCCTTCTCCATCTCGCCCTGATTGGCGAATTCCTCCTGCAGGATCTGGGTCCACTTCTCCGCAACATCCCACGGGCGCGCCACGTTACTGATGTCGGCACACTTGATCAGCAGACCGCAGAGGAGCGTCTTATAAAGCTCCATGTCCTGCGGCTTCCAGCCGTCCATGCTCCGTTGGTTTTCGTGGAATTTCTCCTGCAGGGACCCCAGTCTTTCCATGAACTTCTGATGCACACCCATGTCCGTGGCCAGAATGGAGCTGATCAGGAGCTTGCGGAGTTGTCGGTCTTTGAACGCGGCCGGCCAGTAGCGGCGCAGAATCTGAGAAAAGGCGGCGCAATGGAACGCCTCCAGGACCGAGTTGTCGTTGTACAGTTGGGCCAGGGGCGCATTCAGCTTGACCAGGAAGAAGTTGTTCACGCCAGGGTGGCCGACATCGTGGCCAATCGCAGATATCAGTAAGGTAAGCGTATCGAACGGTGAGAGGAGGGTGGCGATCGGGGAGTGGTTGCCGGTCGATACGCCAACAGGCCCGCGGGGAGGGAGAGCGCCGATATGCAGCAGGAAGCAGAAGACGGACTGCAGCACATCGATGGCATGTCGGAAGTTGTGGTAGAGGACAAAGGAATTGTATGATGCGCGACAAGCGAGGAGGAATGTCCGGAGTTCACCTGGAAGAAAAAACACCATCAACCGGAATGCTCGTCACCAGAGGGCGAAGCACTTACCTGGAGTCAATTGCCACTGCTCAAGCCCCGGGACACTCAAAGCATGCTGGAGCATTTCAAACGCCGCCAGGACCAACTCGTCGTCCGAGAACTCATGGGCGGTAAAGCCCCATTTTCCAATCCGGTCGTTCACCAGGTCCACGCGCTCTGGACGAACATTGAGTTCCCGATCCTGGAATTCTTCAATGACCTCTTCGGGGTTGCAGATGCCTTTCATGAGCTTGGAAACCATGGCTTCCCTGAGATAAGCGTACGGCTGCTCGTCATGAACGCCCACCCACGAGTGCTTCCGCAGTTTCTTCCTCGAGAGAAAGCGCGATTGCTCCCGGAGAGCCGTTTTACGAGTCCGATAGGCTTGGATCACCAGAGCTTGTGCTCTACAGCTGTCGAGCGGTGTTACGAGAACGTCCACAGCACCCGCATCGAGGCACTTGGAGATGTGTATGGGCCCCGGGAGAGACGGGATACGGGGCTGTTCGTCAGGAGAGGCGCTAGTGGGATCGAACGGGGGACGCAAGACGGCGACAGGGATAATCACATTGGGGCATTCTTGGACTTGGATATCGGCCGACAGCCCCGAAAGCAACTTCAGGTCGTAAGCCCCCTCCCATTGTGACGAAAATGTGAATCCGCGACGCAGCGATGCCGGCGACGGGGGCGATACGTCCGCCCACGAGCCACGACTGGCTCTGCGACGATGCAATGCCGATTCTTCGCCGTGGATATCGACGTCGAAGAAGACAAATATAGGTGTGCAGTGGCTATGAGCGCCGTCGCTCAGCTCGGCGAGTTTTGTGGCGATGGACGTTCCGGCTTGACAGAGAAAGATGCGTTTACAGACTCCTAACAGAACCTCCACGTCCGACATAAGCGACTCCGGTTCCTCGAGAACCATCTTATCCAAATCCGAGCCAGCTGATGCGTCGGGCGCACCTTGACACACCCATCGTTCTGACCTGACGCGGTGATCGATATAGATTGCGGAACACTCGATGCGATCCATGGTGTCGGTTGGATTTGAAACACCCATCATCCAAGGCGTTCTCGAGTAGATGTCAAGTTTCGGGACAGTAATCCGAGTGAGAGAAGAAATAGCAGCTAAGCCGGTCCGAACTCGGGCTCATATGGTTGATATGGATGGGTGGTGGTACAGGTGAAAGGGGGATCGAGCGATCTCAGGGACAAACGAACGGCCGGCAGTAGACGGGACAAAGGGAAACGAAGGAGTGTCGAGAAGGCGAAAAAAAGGAGGGACTTTCGATCGGTGACGTTATACAGTTTGATTCTAAATTGGCTGCGAGACGGTGTCAGCGAGACTGGGGGCAGGAACCAACGGTCTGCGGTGTATGCGAGCGACGACAGGAGGCGACCCGACCAAGAGGAGGTGTCGCGACCAGCGACGCAGACAGGCGGCGACAAGCCGCTGCTGGAGGCGCAGTGTCGAACAATGTGTTTGTCCGCTGCAGCGTTTCCAACAGGACAACAGCAACGGTCCCTTCCTGCGGGCGGATGCGCAGAAGCAGCCCAAGTGCCCTTCTGAGACAGCCCAATTCTCTGGCACGGCACCGCATGCACGCCGCCATACAGTGGTTGGCCGCGATCGCCACACCCGCATACACGCAGACTGGGAGGGTGGAGGTAAAGACACGGGGGGAGATTGTGCACTCACAGGTCCTGAAGAGGATGAGGAGGAGACGAAAGGAAATATTAGGGGCGAAGAAAATGGGTCGGAAATGGGTCAATGGATGGTGTGTGGTGGTTGTGGTGGTGGTGGTGGTTCGTCGAAAGTTAGTGGTGGTTGGTGGTAGGTGGTGGTGGTAATGGTCGCTCCGTCGTCACCCACGGGGAGATGGCGCCCGAATGAAATGGACCCAACGGGGGGGGGAGGGAGGGGAGACGGCAAGATCGCGACACATGCAAGACTCGGCTAGATGAAAGCGACGAAATTCGCGACCCAGAAAGACGAAGTCTTAGGGCGTCATGGTGGACCAGCGACACGGCCAGACGGAGAAAAGATGACACGAGACTGGGAAGGAGGGTGGAGAGGGAGAAGATCGATCGGGGGAGGATGAAGGGGCCGCACGGGTGGGTGAGGGTTGGTTTGGCCGGGTGGGTTGGACTGCTGGCCGTGGTAGTTGGTTGGTGGCAGAGAGGATTAGGTAAAGGGACCCCCAGTTGTGACCACCCGGATAGTAAGTAGATAGTAGGAGGGGAGGAAAGGGACAGTCACAAGAGGAGAGAGGAGGTGACTTGAGGCGCAAGATTGAGGATTTGTGATGGTGATGGTTAAGTAAAAGAAAAGGCAAGGGGTTGAGTTGAGGGAAGAGGATTGATCCCTAGGATAGGATAAGAATAGTAATAGTGTTAAGGGAAGTTTAAGTGGGAGTCAAGTCGAGTCAAGTTGAGCAGAAGAAGAAATGGAAGAAGAGAGAAGAGAGAAGAGAGAAGCGAGAAGAGAGAGAAGAGAGAGAGAGAGAGAGAGAAGAGAGAGAGAGAGAGAGAGACCGAGAGTAGGAGAGTAAGAAAACAGAGGAGAGAGAAGGAGACCAAGAGAGGGAAATCGAGTCCGGTAGGTAAGGTACAGGTAGTCGGTAGGTAGGTAAGTAGGTAAGTAAGTGAGGTAGGAGACAAGGAGGAAGGGAGAGAGGGAAGGAGGAGGAGGAGACGAAGCAGAGGATCGAGTCGAATCGCAATCCGAATGGACGGGCAGCCAGACCGGATGGAGGTAAGGTAGGCACAGACAGACGGACTGGCCTGAGGGTGGGAGGCAGATCGGGTCGATCAAACTGACTGACTGACTGACTTGCTTGCTTGACTTGCTTGACTGTAACCGCACTCTTTACACAGACAGACAGATAGATAGATAGAATAGTAGACATCCTTCACACCCTCCCCGAGGCTTTTTAGCTTTTCGTTTCTTCTTTCCGTCCCCTTCGCTCGGGCTTTCTCTCAGTCTTCCAGAAGGTCGCGGCACGGCGGGTGCGGGCGTCGTCACTCGTCACTCGTCAGTCGCCAGAGAGACTCGGCCATGGGGCCGATGCGGCGCTTTCGGTATCCTTACTGTTACACGGTACTGTCATGCTCCTGCCCCGGTTCATTGCCTCATTACCGTCCGGTTACCCACGGCCACCTGACTGTCTCTCCCTCGAGGGTTTCAGACTCCAGATTGGATGGGGCCGATCACGACACGGCCAGATTCATGCGCATGCCCGTACCAGAAGAGAAGGAGGAAGGCACTACTAATAGATATCTAGATACTAGTTATCAAGGTCAACAGGCGGCGCGTTGGTGTCCTCTTTTCTTCTACGATCGGCCCTTCGTCCCCCACTTCCTTGCTGTGGCAGCTGGTTGTCCCAGTCTGGTCTAGCTGGTTTGTTTCCCGTATTCGGTTGACCGATGTAAGTAAGTAAGGAACTTGGGAAACCCCGACTAGAAACTCGATCGAATCGAGGGAGCCACAAACCAACCAACAACCCGGGGAGGGGAATTGAGGGGAGGGGGGGAGGGGAGGGAAAGAGCGATTTATTTATTATGATTTCTGTTTTTATGCAGAGTTAACCACCACCACACTCCACCACATCCATCCAATTCACTTCCACTTGGACCACCAAACACCCCAGTGGATGCGCACACTAATTCAGGGCAGGGAACGCCTTCCGGCTGCGCGCCTGGAGCCCTGTGTATATCGACCACAGCGACACGGGCGCGGAAGATGGATGGGAATAATAAAAATAATAAACCCGAATCAAATAATAATAATAATAAAAATAAATAATAATCACGCCAAAGAAGGGAACGGCCTCCAGAATAGATAAAGTGAGCGGAGAGAGTGGAGCCCATGACGCTTAAACAAGCGATCTCATTAGCTCATGGGCAGCTCCGTTGGTTTTTCTAGAATTTCCCGGGCGGGTCTTGGCGCCTTAGCCGGTCGCTGAAGGGATTATTAATTTCCCTGCGGTTTCCATTTTTATTATTATGGGGACTGGGTTCAGTTCAGCCGTTCATTAATTATTATTATTATTATTATTATACTATTATATTATATTATACTATTTATCCGTTCTGGTTATTTTCGTCAGGTTTATATTACAACAAGCCATGAGTCTCATCAGTCTAATTAAAAAGAGGTAAGTCGAGGGGGGGGGGGGGAGAGAGGGACACGCGCACCGGCACCCAGTTCGAAAACAATGACATCAATGACATCAACAATCCCCTCATCCATTTTCTATTGACTTACTACTTCTTGTACTGCCACTTTTTTTTTTCCCTCATCCTTGATAAACTCTCGAAACCCTGAGGATGTTCCGTCAATCACCACCTCAGCCACAGGATACATGCAGACATACATACATATACATACTGTACGGTAAAGGATGCCGAGTCAGACACAATACATACATAGGTGGTCGAGATCTCGCCTCGGTGGTTAGGCAGACATCTTCTAGAATTTCCATCGCCCAGCAGCCAGCTCCCGCCTACATTATCCACATGGCTCCTCTTCTGCATCCCACTGCCTTGGCAACCGTCCATTATTCCATCCGCACTGCGCAGAGAGTCGTTACCATTGGCATTACCATAACCACGCACGGGATTCGACTGAAAGGATTCACCCCTCCGCTTTCTTTTCCCCCCTCCCCAGGCCTCAGGAGTGGCAACCCAGCCTGTGACGTCGACGGGGCCCCGATGATGTGATGGACAGACCCCAGTAAACGGGGGACGAACCCTTGTCCGCGGTTGGTGGGAGGCAATACCGCCTGACAGCCTCTGACGATTTGCAGATTATCCGCCTAGCTAGCCGAGAGATCAGATCCCTGGATCGGCTTGAATTTAGGCCATATCGCATATCGCAGATCGCATATCACCATATCGCCATATCAGCCCATAGATACGGAGTGGTGAGTTTACGGGAGTATGATGGACAGAATAACAGTCTCAGAACGAGACAACAGAATGAGGGAATTGAGCGACGGACGGACGACAGACTAAATTAGCAGCCCATCCTGCGAAGAGTCCAGACACTCGCAGGCAAGCGGCGCAGGCCGTCTCCGTCTCCAGTGCGCCCCTCATCTGGCCTACTGCCAAGTTGCCAACTACTCTACTTTGTGGCTAGTGCTGCCTGCTAGAGCGGAACAGTGGAAATCCCGCCTTGCCGATTCGTTCGGGAACCAGCCAATCAGGACGTGTCTGCCCCCCGGCTCCGACAGCACCAACCGACTGACCGGAACTGCCTGAGTCAGTCAATGGACCTGGCCCTAGGTAGGTGGGTGGTGCATGCAAGGAAGTGCTGCACCTGGAGGGTATCTACTAGTAGTACACTGTGCCAGGTACACGCATGCATGCATGCATGCATGAGGTAGATGTTGTGGAGAGACCCTGTCCACTCCATGCCCCATGGAGGACTGCCTGCACAGGATTCTACCCTGGATAGGCAATCAGCCATGTGGATCAATTCCCAACCGACCTACCACCACAATATGTAATCGCCATGCCAGTCAGTAATAAAATGAGGAACCTCGGGCGCAAAATGCCCAACAGCCGTACCATGGATCGTGAGCCGTGGACCGACGACGCGTTCGACGACTACCACCTGCCTGGACTGAGACTGAATCCTGATTCTGAGTCAAGGGAAGTTGAGTTGAAGTGTGAACCCAAGCCGAGAAAGCGCCCTTGCTGGCTGCACTGCGTTCTGCAGTTTGCAGTTTGCAGGCAGGTAGGTAGTAGTCTACACGCTGCAGTCCTCGTAATCTATCCATCTTCTATCTACCTACCTACCTACCTACCTACCTATTTCTCTCACTTTCCATCCATTATCATCTTCAAACCCACCAACCAACCCAACCGGTCGACCCGATCCCTGATCCGGTTCCGAGTACCCGCGGGGTATAGTATCTAGATGGATAGATAGTATGTATGTATGTATCTAGTAGTCTAGCATGTAAACTAACCATCTAGGGCCTTCCACCCACCTGGGCCCGGAATTAACTTACGCGTACTTTGTCCCCGGGAGGGGGGGGGGTGTCTGTGTCTGTGCCTGCCATCGTTAGCTCAACTTTATGCTCTGTTATGATTATTATTGTTACTGTTATTTTCTGTGCTTCCTATACATGATTACGTCTCGGATATTATTTTTATTTTTATTTTTTTTATTCTTATTATTCTCACAAGTCATTCACTCTCCGCCTGGGGATGCGATCGATAGATAAATAGATAAATAGATAAATGGAATAAATGGGTGTGAAACACAATGCAGTTGCAGTGGTGCTCTACCGTTCTCTCCCGCCTCAATATATACACGACCCGTTCTGTCTAACTCCGCGATCCAGCCAACTGACCACTGACTACTGACTACTTTGAAATAGTAGCATAGCATCGAATCACATCGCATCGCAATCAGCCGCACGTGCAGATTCTTGAAATGAAAATGCATAAAAGACCCTAGACCCTGATTTTTTGTACATTGCTAGTTAGTGTACGTAGTGTACGGACGGTAGTTACTCCAGTTTAATTTCCAGTTGCAATGCAATGCGATGGATGGATGGATGGGTGGATGATCTGCGCTGCGCTCAGCTCATCCCTGTCGCGTGTCGCGTGTCGCATGACGCCTCCCCAATCAACCCCAACCAACCCCAACCCCAGCATATTAATTAATATTGATGTACTACGGAGTACTACAGAGTAACTAGTAACTAGATATATATACCTACATTAGTACTCCGTACGGCATGCAGTACGGGCAGTTGTGTACCACGCGTGTACTTGGATAGGACTTATATACTTACATACTTACATACTTACATAAATACATAAATACATACATACATCTAGTGATCATTTATTATCAGATTCTGCAGGCTGCAGACTGCACCTGCTAGGGAGGGAGGGAGGGAGGGATCTACTACTTGAGTAGGTACGGAGTATGTACTAAGTATACCTACTACCTAAGTATATGTCTATCTATCTATCTATCTATCTATCTAGGCAGCACCTTAATCAATCTACCAATCAATTATCAAGGATCAAAGATCAAGGATCAAGGATCAGGAGGGGTGGTACCCCGCATAGATAGATACCTACCTATATATCTATCTATCTACTCCGTACGTGGATACCCATCCATTCTATAGTAGTAAAATAGTATGTAGTAGTACCTCAGTACCCCATCAATAGAAAGTATCATTATATGTTTATGTTTAGTTATATTGATGGCGATATTTCAAACTTATTGATTTATTGATCCATTTGTATTTCAAGAGTATAGTAGATACGGTAGGTCCGTCCTCTCTCCTCTCTTCTCTCTCAGCTCAGTCTCTGATCTGTCCGCCTGTCCGTCTGTCTGCTATCCACTATCGCCATCCACTATCCACTATCTTCTATCTCTCTCTCTCTCTCTCTCTCTCTCACATGCACATGCAATCCTGGCTATCATTGCAGACTAAAAAAAAAGAAAAGAAAGAAACAACATCAGTAAGCGCCTCTCATGACTTGCCTATAAAAACACGGATTGGGATAGATGAAATAGGAAGAAACATCAAAGTAAAAGTTCAAGTTCAAGTTCAAGTCGAAAGAAAAAAAAAAAAAAAAAAAAAGAATTGTGCATTCGCACGAAAACTTCAAGGGTGAATCTAGAATCGCGCTGATAGAAATCTCTCACACACACAGACACAAAAAGCAAATAATCAAGTAAGTAAATAAGGTAATATAATAATCGATCCTAACCCCCCCCACTCCGCTTTTTACCATGTGCCATTTAATTTACCATGCCATGCCAATGCCAGACAGACAGAATGAAACGCGCCTCCCAAAACCGAAGACCGGTGGCAACAACAAATGAGAGAATGAACGATGCAAGAAAAGTGTGCTATGATACAGGGGCAGGTGGCGGGAGGGAGGGAGGGAGGGGTTGATTCTATTTATTGCGGTCATTCGGTATTCGGTTCGCTGTTTTTGTTCGCATCGTCTTAGGAAAGTAGGTTCTTCAGAGACGGACTGGCGCTTGCTCCGGAGCCTCCGTTCGTCCCACTGGTGCTCGTGTACCGCACCGCGCTGCTGAGGATCGGCGTGTCCTCGGGCTTGACTGGAGGCGTTGGGCCGCGCGGATCCATGTGTGCCTGTGAGATGGGGGGTGACTGGGTTGGCGCGCTGAGCACGCGATCCACCGAGTACATCCGTGGGGGTCCCCCGTTCAATGCGCTGAGCGAATGCTGGGGCGAGTGCCGGACCATCGTCGCTTGGATGTCTGGGGGTGACGCCGATGGCGCGTACGGGCGAGCGCCCGCCGCGTGCGACAGATGAGGCGAGGGCATCGAAACCGGTCCGTATGGGCTCTGGTGGGTGGGGAATTGGGGAGGAGGGGGTCCAGGAGTATAATGCGACGGCGGACCATGGTGGGAGGGAGTAGGTGGGAATCCGTTCATATGGTGTGTCGGTGGTGGCGGTCCGGCGCGAAAGCCAGGGACCGGCAATCCATTGCGCAGTTTGTTGTCGCCGAAGTCCGCTGGCCGTTGTTCATACCCAGAGTACCAGTCGGGACCGCTATGAGCAGCGCTGTGAGCAGGCGGGCCGATCGGTCTTGGAAGAACCCCAGACGGAGGCGGATGGGTGGGATGAGGAGAGCTGAAGGGATGGTTGTGGAACTCGGTGATCCTCGGGGCAGGCAGGACGGGCCGCTGGGCAGAGTACGGCGACGGCCGGGGTTCGGGCGAGGGCTGGGTTGGTGGCTTCTTGAGATGGCACTTGTGGCACTCGTATAACGTCTGCGACCCTTCGCTGTTGATGGCGGACAGCGCGGTGCTTTCCGCAGGGCTGTACTCTCCGTTCAGCCGTGGGAGGCCTTGCTGAGACGGGGTGCGATGAAGATACGGAGGGCTTGCCGAGGCTGCGCTGGGATATCTTGTGCCGATGGGATCATTCAGCCCGACTCCATTGAGCAGAGGCGTCCTGTGGTCGGCAGTCGAGCGCCGTGACTTGTCAAGGGCCCACCACCGGGGGCTGAAGGAACTGGAGCAGCGGGCACACTTTCTCGTTACGTCTGCATCGGCGATCGGTCGAGGGGCGGTATTTTCCGAATCGACCACCATCTCATCTGGTGCCTCCTCGGGTGCCATTGTCGCCGGTTTCTGGCTGTCCTTCGTCGCCGCTGGAGGAGCAGTCACCCCGTTCGTCGTGGAGACGCGGCGACTGACTGCAGGTGCCGTGGACTGATGCGATGCGCTGACCGACTGCTGCACGTAGGCGGCCTTTCTGATGGTTCCGGTCAAGGTGAGGTCTGCCTGCTTGTACGCCTGGGCGTAGCGTTGCAGAGCGTTGATGCCCTCCTCTTCTGTAGGCTCGCCGATTTCATGGATGGATGAGGTGACGGCGTGATGCGGGCACCAGATCCCGGCCGAAGCCGATCCTACCTCGTCTCCCAGTCGCACACTGTTCACCGTATCCCGCCTGGAGCTCTTGACTGGCGTGATATCGAAGCCGAACTTGTACTGCGCCTGGAATGCACAGCCGACATGGAAGCGGGCGTTGCAGTTGCCGAAGTGGCACGGCACACAGGCACCGCCGTCGGTCTTGCAGATCTTACACACATCGCGCCACTTGTCCCTCGGAATGAGCCCAAATCCCTCGGCGGGCTCGAGCTCTTTCGAACTGCCGAATTTGATCTCCGGCGTCCACACCGCGCACATAACGTGGACCCAGTTGTTGCCGGCGGTTCTCTTCAACGGTTCTCGCGGGCCGATCGGCTTGCCTACAGCCTCTTGCCGCTGACGGTAAAGCTTGATGGCCTCGTTGACCATCTCCTTTTCAAGCCTCTCCTTCTCACGGTCCCGCTCCGTCTTCTTCTTGTGCGTCGACCTCGGGGCCTCCATCAGCTCATGTTCCGTCCAGCTCACCGGGCACAGAACGCAGTTGTAGGTAGTCGAGATCATCGGGTCCCGGTCATTGGAGCACATATCGCAGAGCCACTTGATGCCATTCCGCGTCGGACTGACTCCGTAGCAGCCGCGATGCACCGTCAAGCGACAGTCTCTGCATGACAGATGCTCATCGCCTCCGGGTTCCATCTTGTTGCAGATAGCACACGGAAGCGTCTTGGCCTTGGGGGGATCCGGAACGATTGGCGGCGGTTCGGGAATCCGTTCAGGAGCGGCTTTCTTTTTCGGCGCCGGTTCCACGGAGGTGGCCGTCGAGGTGGCCGCGCTCTCTTTCTCGGCAGCAGTGACGCGTCCCTTCTTCTTCCCAGACTCTTGCTGCACCTGCGGGTTGGCGTTCACAGGAACGCCGATCGAAGCCGCAGTCGCAGCGGTCGCACTGTTGATACTGATCGGAGTTTCGGTAGAGACAAGCAGCTGTGTCAGAAGCTCCTCGTCCACCCGCCGACGCCATGACTTGTTGCCGCTTTGTGCGATCTTCTTGGCGACTTCGTCGACGCTCTCCCACTGGATACCGTATTTCCGCCAGAGCAAAGCACAGCGCAAGCAGAGGGCCACCGTCAGCGGCTGTCCCCGATCTCGCTGCTTCGTCGAAGTCTCGCCCGGGGTCGTCGTGCCGGGCGGAACCCCCGGGGCGCGTCGCCATTGACGGGAGGTTCGTGTCGAGCAGAACTTGCACTGGAACCCACGCTTCTTCTCGCTGGCTTTCCCGCTATCGAACGCCGAGTCGTCGTGGTCATCAGCAACATCGTCCACCAATTTGGCCGAGGCGTTGTGGCGCTTGGCTTCCTTCTTGCCCCGTCGGCCCTCGTAGGCACCCCAGATCTGACGACCGCGGGGGGTTTTCTTCCACATGTAGTAGAATCGCACAATCTGATAGTGGGGCACAGTGCCTACGTGTTTGGTGATGTGGCGCCATTCCGATCCGTATTTGCCGACTGCCTGCTCGAACAGCTTGAGCTCCTCGGGGCGCAAACGAGGCTCCTTGAGGTCTTTGTACTTGTTCATCTGCTTCAGCTTCGCCAGAGCGGCATCGACATCGAAGCTGTTCGCGTACAGGAGCTCCAGAGCCTTGTCGAGGAAATTGGTGGAGTACTTCTCCAGCCCCAGCTCGGGGGCCAAAGCCTTGGCCTGCTCCATATATTCATCCACGAACCTTTCTCGGTCTGCGGGGCTGAGGTCGGATCCAGGCGCGTCGTCTTCACCCCGGGCGGGGATCTGGTCGGCAGAAGGCATCTTGAACTTCAGCTCAGCGGTACGGACTTGCTTTCCGGCCACCGCGACTGGCTCATCTTCGCCGCGTCGCACATATCCCGTAGGCTCGTCCATGACCCACTTGGGCCGGTTTGCTTTCTCTTGTTTTGCGGCTTCGATGGCAGCGACGGCCTCCTTGGAAAGTTTCGTATCCTTGCGACTTCCCGAAGTCCGCATGTACTTTTTCTTGAGGTCGACCGGCTTTACGTACTCCACCGGCTTTCCATGCCACGGCAGCACCATAGCCTGATGTCGAGGCCCCAATCGGGAGCTGGCTCGCGGATATATCCGGTCATCGTAATCGAGAGCATCCTCCACCCGACAATGAATCCCGAGGTAGCGGTAAGGCCACCGTTTGGCTTGTGCCACTTGTTCCTCTGTGGCGGGCCTAACCTCTTCCTCCACAGGGGCCGGAGTGCTCCCCGTGGTGCCGTTCGCAGCCGCGTTGGGCTCCTCCTCCTCTTCGACCATTTCCTCATCCGCGTCGTGGGCTTCGCCGAGTAAAGGGGTATTCCGGGCCTCCATTTTGCGCTCCTGGGCGCGACTGCAGGCGGCGCAAGCCCAGGCAAAGCCGCGGGCCGGCTTTTTCGTAAGAACGGGTCGGACGCAGTACATGTGATAGGTGTTGTGGCAGACGGCACAATCCACCGAGTCGTTGCTAGGAGAAGGGTTAGTGGGGGCGGTTCCTCGCCTACATGTGAGTCGGTCCATACTTAGCGGCATACAAGCTGCAGCGCTTGCAAGTCTTCACAGCACTGGTGAGCTCCTTCCGGCGGCCGATCTCGACCAGGACGAACTTCCAGCGCTCATCGAGGACCTTCTTGACATTGGCGGGGACGTTGATGACCTTGCTCGTGGGGATGACGTCGTAGTAGCGATGGATGTAGCGGTCGAACATCTTGTCGTACCAGAAGGAATCGCGGGTCTTGCGGTACTTGTCGAAGTCGGCGATCTCGGACAGATGCAGGATCTGGCATTTCCCCCGGAGGGAGGTGAGTGGGCAGGTGTCGGAGTGCATGGAGGCGAAGACCAGGCGGGTGTCGGCCACCTTGCGCTGGATGTCACGTGGCCGGTAGTACCAATTCACCCGCAGCGCCTCGATCGGGCCCGACGGCGTGTCCTTGGACGGGAGGAACTCCATGATGCGCGCCAGATAGTACGGCTCCCCGGGCGGCTCACAGATGAGGTAGACGTGGTCTGGATCCGGCTCTTAGCACAGTCTGCATTGACAGAAAAAAAAAAAAAAAAAAGACAAAATATACTTACCGTTCACGGCAAATGTGGTGCCATCGTCGGCTTGGAGTTTCCCATCTTTCAGGTAGGCGCCACGGCTCTCGAAACTCATCATGTTGGTCTCGGTCGGGCTGTGGGCGATCCCGGGCGCGGTGGTGAAGATCTTCTTGGCCGCATTGCCATTGACCGCATTCGCATTGGCGACGCTGGCGGGCTGTTTGCGTTTCCGCGAGGAGGCATTGGGGGCCGTGGGCACTGGGGTGGAGGTGGCGGTGGTGGACGGCGTGCCCTCGTCGAGTTTGGCGGAGAAGGAGGAAGTGCCTGGGATGGCATCTTTGGGGTCTTTGGCGTTGGCGGGGGTGGCAGCACCGGAACCATTGACGGCCGGCAGACTTTTGCGGGAATGGGAATGGGAATGGGAATTGGAACTGGAATTGGAATTGGAATTGGAGGCGGAGGCCGGCTCTTCACTGTTGGCCTTGGAGCCATTGACGGGGTGGGCGGCGACACCGCTACTCCGCTTGGCAGCCTTCAAGGCCGGCTGGGTCAGCTCCAGGTCGACGTCGATATCGCGGTCTTCGGCGTAGTTGGGGCGCGGGGCCGCATTGCGCCCCCTGGACCGGGTGCCATACGGAGCCGGGGTGGTCGACACGCTGGGGGGCTCCGTCGTCGCCGCGACATCGGAGGCGGATGAGGCACTGGGAGCCATCGGCTGGGATTGCAGCTCGTTCCCCGTGGCCGCGCTGGCGGGGCTGGGCGACTCTACGGATCCCGTCCGGGACGAGTGGCCAGGGGTGGGCATGCGACGGAGTGCGCCAGACGGCGACGAGCTGGGCTTCAGATGGTGACTGTGGTGGCCGTGCTGGTGGGGGTGGGGGTGGGGTTGAGGGGGGACTTTTGGGACGGTGACCTGTCCGAGGCCATGGCCAACCCTCAGGCGGATTCCGTCGAAGAGTCAAAAAAAAGTGAGACCAGACGTGTAGGGTGAGGGTGGTGGTGGTGGTGGTTCTGGGAACACCAAACCGCCTGGGACGCGGAGATGCAGAGCTCAGCAACGGGCCGGGACGGGTAGGCGATCCCTCATGAGAGTCGACTCTGCAGACGGGTGGAGATATTGCACGGCGTCGGCCGAGTGGTAGTAGTATCAAAGGGGGCGAGGAGGAAGAACACGAAAAAAAGGGAAATGGACCAGGCCGCGCTGTGCAGATATTTTGCCCGACGGGTGGCAGATGAGAGACTGGAAAGTCGAGGGTCACGCCTCCCCCAGGAAAGACGATGAAGAAAAAGAGGAAGAAGAAGGGGAAGAGGAAGAAGAAGAAAAGGCGTCAGTGATAGCAAGTGGTGTGGCGGCTGCAGTAACGCTCTTTGCCGGGTCCCTCAGTTCTTCCCGCAAGGGCGCAAAAAGGGTGGATGTGGTGCTAAATGGCAAAAATTGAGCAACACCACAAGGTTGCCGAATATCAAGATCGACAACACCTTCTTCCGAGCAGAGAGCACACGACGGGGCGGAAGGGGAGCCGGCCGCAGAGCTAACCAAAGTATAGTCGAGATGGGAAGGGAGAGGGAGAGGAGGGAAGAAGAGCAGCGGCAGCCGGGGGATGGGGGGAAACCACCGGACGCATGAAACAACGAGGCGAGAGAGAAAGAAGAATGCAGGAGGTAGGGGAGGGAAGGAAGAAGAAGAAGAAGAGGAAGAAGAGGAAGAAGAGAAGAAGGGCCACTGGAATCGTCGGAGCAGTGAAATGAAGGTTAGCGGCGGTGGAAGCCAAACAAGAGTAGAGCCACTTAGGGCGTTGGGAGACTCGTGGGGTGAGCACAGGGTAAGTCGAACGGATAAGATCAGTGGGAGCCAGTCAGATCGGACTAGTGGCAGAAAGTACAAATCACTGATTTGGTCGTGATGGAGGTGGTAGTAGTAGTAGTGGTAGTAGTGGTAGTAAGTAGTAGTTCGTGGGAGGTGGAATGGAGTGGTCGATAGATCGATGGTAGATGGTTAATGGGGGGGGGGGAAGTGGATGATGGTTCAGGGCTATCCAGGCATAGGGAAGAAGAAGGGTTGGTGGAAGGGGGGAGGCGGGAGGGAGGAAGAGTGGGAAAAAGGGAAAGGGTAGAGGTAGAGGGAAAGGAAGAGAGAGAGGAAGAGAGGAAGAGAGAAAGAAAGAGAGAGAGAGAGAGAGAGAGAGGGTCGAGGGGAGGCGAAGATGGACCGTTGTCGACAGCCAGATACTACTAGACGAGCAGGACCAGAAGGGAAACGCGAAAAGTCAGAAGAGAAGAAAGCGACCAGAAAGAATCAGGAAAGCCGTCCAGGATCCCGACCAGTCCACGTCCTCGCCCCTAGTCCCGATGTGTTAATATGACGGATCCTCCATCCACCCAAGAACCGCGATGAATGAGCCCTTCCTGATGTTAACTGCTTCCCTTTCCCTCTTCTTCCATTCCCTCCTCCTCCTCCTCTTTCTCTCCCTCCTGCTCTGCTTCCATGCGAGACCGGGGGTTTTGTCGTCGGGTCGGCGTCGAGAGCCGGTTCCCATGGTATCTAAGTCTAGTATGTATGCATGCATGTATGTCTGTATGTATGTATGTATGTATGCACGCACGTACGTTTTGTGTTCTGTGTATCTATCTATCTACTAGGTAGGAGGATGAAGTACGGAGTACAGTACTAGTACTACCTAAGTAAGCAAGTAGATAGATACTAGGACCTTCGCGATAGGAAGGGTTCGATAATTTCTGGGTCGGAGGAGGGATGATATTTTTATAACGCCGCGCTCCCCTTGCTCTGGAAGGCGGCGTGTTTGACCCGTTGGGGGGATCTACGTCGGGACGCTGGGTTGAGCGGGAAGTAGAAGGATAATATATCATGTACCTTACCAGTATCTCGCTCGGGTGCGCGTTGGCGCTGGCGCTGGCGGAGAAAGGGATTGTGTGGGCCGAGGAACCCGATGCGAAAGAATGATGATGATATCGGGGAGGGGGCCATGGGACGAGAACTCCCCCATGCTCATGACCGGGTGGGAGAAATTCATGGAGGTGGGAAGAGGGAAGGGGAAAAAAAGGGACCTGGAAACTTAAAATCCAGAGAGAAGGGAAGAAAGGGAAAAAAAAGAAAAAGAAAAAGAAAAAGAAATCCGTAGGGAAAAGGAAGGATACTCCAACACACACGGACAAAGGGAAGGGAAGGGGGAGAGAGAGAAAGAAAGGATGGAGGGCATGGCCAGCCAGACGCCCAATGGATGGGTTTGTATTCATACTTACGAATGGGACAGACATACATTCATTCACTCACTCACTCATTCATTCACATCTATTCAGCCAGGCAGTCCGGGCGGAATCCCAGGATCCAGTCCCGTCGTCCGTCGTAGTACACCGCAGGAGGGAGGCGATGGGGCTAACCAGGAAAATCGGGGAGGGCATGTATAATCTGTGGCAGGAATGTTGTCACGTAGGGCAGCGCATGCGCGTTGGATCTGAAAGTGAAATCCCAAGCGCCAAGTCCCTGTGCAATGAGTGGCCGGCCAGATGGACCCATCCATGCCATCCAAGGCGCAGCGCTGCGTATATCGCCTGTTTCAGTCTGGAGTACCGACAAGGGCAACGGCGTCAGCATCCGTACATCTGTACCGGCCATGATAAGATCATCGAGTTCTCTGCTCTTCGAGTTCGCCATCTTCAGCGATTGCCGACCCTGCCGATGGTGTTGATTATTGATTATTCTGATGACCTGATCCCCCCCCTCCCCCTCCCCCTCTCTCTCCTCTCTAGGTTCAACGGTGGACGGAGAGGAACCAGACCAGGGCATGTTCGTTCTCGGAGTGATACCGCACTATTACGGGGGGGTTCTTCGAGTGAAATCACGACCTCCTATTTGCAGGACCCTCCCCCAACCAACTTCTTCCCCCCAATGGCGATTCTGAGGGGGGCATGACATGGCATGGCATGGCATGGCATCTTAAGTAAACGGGATGAGCGTTTTTGGCCGACGGACTAGATAGATACTACGACTAGAACGACTTCCGAGTTCCGCTAGGTAGGCACGGCTAGACTATGTATAGAATTTCCCTGGCGGCGGGAGGGGAGAGGGGGAGGAGGGGATCAGAAATTAAGAACACCAAGGAGATCCAAGTTGACACTCCGTACGGCTGTATGAAATGCCAAAGAGATGATCAGGCTCAGGATTGGGGTAAAAAAACATGGGACGGGGCTGACCTTTTTTTTTTTTTTTTTTTTTTCACCGTCTCTTGAAATTTTACCGCGGGGGGGGGGAAAGGGAAGGGAAGGGAAGAAGAGGGTTATTCTTCCCTACCTAGGGACAGGGAGGGGCATTGGGTGCAAGAGTGGTCCTGTACGACCAGAAGAGAGAGGCATGGATACGGACGGAAATAGCTAAGCCATTTTAGCTTAGGTGGACAACCGAAAACTCGGTTCAGCGACTGTACAGAAAAGGGAGGGAGTTGCCAGTTCCACGGCTCCCCGTCGACCTGCAGTACTAAGGAACTAGTGGTGATTGCTAGCAGCGACACAGTCGATCCTCAGGCATGTCTGGAGGCTTCTTATGCGAACCACCTCCCGAGTCTAAACTGTCTGTCTCGGGCCACCGCGACTCCCCCCACGCGGTCCCTGGATGGTTGATGCTCGACTGCTCCAGCCAGGCTGCCCGGACGGGGCGAGATGGAGAGATGTCAGCCAGCCCCGTCCGGGTCGTTCGTATACTGTATCAGTATCGTGTCTACCTACCTACCTAGACCTGGCTGATTGAAGGGCGGGAGGAGGGGATGATAACAGACAGTCCTCCGTACTTTTAACTACTCCTCACTATGTACCATCTAGGCTAAGTGAGTTCTGGTATGTCGGATGGCCCAAACCCTTAGCGTTCTGGACGGCCGGACTAGGGTGTTTACTGCCTAGGCCGCCTTTCTCCTGGGAATCTCCCCCGCGACGGCGGATCTTTTGGCTGCGACTTTTCTTGGCCACTGAGGGACACCCGCGCCTGATGGCCGGCGGTAGCTTGCTTATTTGCTGATTTGCCTAGGAGCTTCGTCGGGGGAGGATGATCAGCCTGCGTCCGGGAATTATTCTTCTGATCATGTCCCAATCAACAATGATCTGTCTGGATCGCTCAGACTCCAGACATCTGGAAGGTTGATACGCGTGCGTGCGTGCACACCACTTCGTACCCAGGAGCGCACTTACATCATCAATCATCCCGATGTCCGTGTGCTGCCATCCCAAGTCTCCGGGCGACTGGCGGACCTTGGAACTCCTGGGATCATAAATCACCCCCCCCGACCTGAACCAATCAGACCTCGTCTCTGGTTGCCGCGCTGGTCGTCCTGACTTTGTTGCCACCTTACAACCTTCCAGCCTTCCTTTACAGCCTCCGACTAGGCAGGCCCCCCGCCTGGCCCATGCTGGACCGGGATGCTGGCTGGCGATGGCCCTGGATTATTGTTGGCGTGAACACGTCGGTCCTTATCTTCGAATGAAGCATGACCAAGGCGGGTTGGGGGTTTGGCGTTTCAGATGCTACCGCCGGCTTTCCCTGTCGGGGTCTCCAAGTACCTGCGTCCATGTCGCGCGGTCACGGACTGATGGACGGTGGATAGAATTCATCGGACAGGTTGGGGGATTAGGTTTGGGGGTCCCGGTTATGATCTAGTTTTCTCATCTGACGACCGGAAGTGTGAACCCCATCGTATCGTGGGTTGTTTGTTTCTTACTGTGGGTGATGAACCCAGCCGTCGAAACGGGAAAGCTACCTACCTACCTATAAGACGCGGCATGATGACTCGATCGGCCGATACTAAAAAGGGCGCTATGGGGACGATATGGAGGAGTCTGGCACTTGCGGACAACTAGTGCCTGTAAACGGGGGCAGCCATAAAGTTGCCTACCTACCTAAGGAGTCAAGAACAACAAACATGGCCAGAACAAGGCTTTACTCATCCGCCGGGTCGAGGGTACTTACTTACACGGAGGGGCTCTGCCAGGAGGATTGGCTACCCAGCTCCCCAGGCTCGGAGAACCCATGAATGACCGACTATCAGGAAGAAGAACCCGAACCGTCATCGTCATGGAAGATGGTACGGTGTACGGAGAATGTATGGGCAAGTTGAGTCTGCTTCAGTCTGAGTGGCCACATCGGGGTGGATCGTTGGAAGGTTTTTTTTTCCCTTTTTCTTTTTCCTTTTCTTTTTTTTTTTTACTCCGTACCCTTCCTTTTCCCTTCTCGGGTCCAGAGGTGTCTCTGGGTCAAATGTTGAAGAATGGCAGATTCGCCGAGGTATCCGGCCGTGACCACGGAGGTGGAAGTGAAACCGCCCACTGTATTAATAGTCTCGACAAATTAGCGTGCTGGGTCAGGGTCGTCCGAATACTTGACAATCCCTCAGATCTTCGCACATCATAAGGCGGGCAAGAGACTAGCAATTGGGACGTGAGGAGAAGGGTACCATGAACCGATCAAGGGGGGGGGTGTCAATCAATAGATGTCTAGACACTCGGTAATCTCGTGTTGCGCAGGTCCGCATTTTAACACCCCGTCTGATCTGGAGTAGTCATCGGAGGGCTGCCTTGTCTAGTTACTGATCCCGCCAGCGTCAGGTGACCCCCAGACAGCGAGGGAAAAATAGAAAAAAAGAAAAGAAAAGAAGAGAAAGAAACCTGAAGCGACACGCGACAGAAAGACAGAGGATAAGAAATAATATTGATGGGTATCATATCCTCACCGGGAAGGGCAGTATGAGCAATCTGGGTCTGATAGCCGGGCTTCTTCTCCGATCACCCTTGCTTACCTGACCCTCCGCCGGCTGCAGAGGGCGCGGGAAAAGGAAAAGCGTGGCAGATGGGCTTCCAACGTCTGTGCTCGAACTGGATCGCCGGGTGGGAATCGCCGGTATGAATGCCATGCCATGTTGTTTTTTTTTTTGGGTGGAGTCGTCCATTCCCATGCCCATCCGGATGGAACTCTGATTGGAAATACACACAGTACCGAGGAGTACTCCCTCACCAACTGTGTAGCTGTAGATAGGTATGTAGTCTCCGGGCGCGTGGGTGAAAGAGTGTGTGGCTGGCCATGGTCTGTACCACCCGGTCGTTAGGAGTGCTAGCATGTACATAAGTGTAGATAGTACTACTAGACAACACCCAGGCAGATGCATGCCGCTATTGACTAGCACACGACCAACCTGTGTTGGGTAAGTCATCCAGCAGCAGGGCTACGATCCAGGAACGTTTCCGCACGGGAACAGGAAAAAGCCCATTCGCTCCATCCGATTCTTCCACAACTGCAGGGTTGGTTTATTCCTGGACCTATCAGCGCACGGATGGAGCCTTAGGCTTCCAGGCAGAGTCCCAGGCAGGCGCCTGTTGATAGCTTGATCGTGCCTGCCTGTTCCAGTACTCCGTACCTGGTTGGTGGTCTGCCTGAGGCCAAGGGTGCAGTTTCCCGAAACGAGCGCGTTGCACGCCCGCGTTCCTGCGAGCACCAAAACAGGCGGGACCCTCCGTCCGCATCCGCCCATCATCACCATCATCATCATCATCATCATCATCAGAATCAGCGGGCCACAAAAAGTATACATTGTTGACAGCAGTGTATCTACTAGTAGTAGCCATCTGGGTTGGAGGCTGAGCTTGCATACTCCACCCAAAGCTACTCTTATATCTACCTACCTACTTACTGTACTTAATGATCCTTGGAAGTTCACCACCCATGGGAACCCCGACATAACTACCACTGCTCTACCAAGGCACTAGAGCCACCCCCCCCCCCGGCATGTCTGCACAACCGGGACAGCCATTCCAAACCTATGGATATCAGACTTCCGTGGATATTGTCCAACGGGGCACGTACAATATAGCCCCATTGGCTGGGAGCAAGCGACCCCCCGATCCGTCTGCCGAGGAGGATCACAGGGTTGTCGGGGCAAGACATCCGCAAGACGCTCAAAGCGCAGTCGGTCGCCCGGTAGATTTTATCCGACCTTCCTTGGTGCTTCCCAAGGCCCGTCTGGTCGCCAGTGAGATCTATCCGGTGGCAGCTACGGTTCCTGGGCGCAACGGTCGGCAGCAGAACGGGCTCTCTGCCGATCAGGAATCTGCACATAATCCCCTTTTGTCGCTGCACCACCCTACTTATGGCCTCCCCCCAGCGCTGTTGGCTAATTTTGCAGCTGTCGGGCTCAAGAGCATCTATCAATGGCAGGCCTCATGCCTGCTAGCCCCTGGTCTCCTGCAGGGCCGTCGGCACTTGGTCTACACAGCCCCCACAGGCGGAGGGAAGTCCCTCGTCGCCGACGTGTTGATGCTGAAGCGGATCATGGAGAACCCGGGACGCAAGGCAATTCTGGTCCTCCCGTATGTTGCGCTGGTGCAGGAAAAGCTGAAGTGGCTTAGACGTATCGTGCAGGACGTGGAGAAGAGCGTCGCCGACACCGATGACCAGGCAGACCATGCGAAGCCGTATCATCAACGGTGGAAAAAACTGCAACGATCGATCCGTGTCACTGGGTACTTTGGCGGGAGTAGGACGGCCGCGTCCTGGGCTGACACGGACATTGCGGTTTGCACAATTGAAAAGGTGCGTCGTCTCGATGTGGACTAAGCTACCGATGAGACCTAAATATGGTGATACAGGCAAATTCGTTAATCAACACCACCATTGAAGAATGCAGCATTGGTGACTTGGGCGTGGTCGTACTGGACGAGCTGCACATGCTCGACGATGAGCACCGTGGTTATCTTTTGGAGCTGATGGTTACAAAGCTACTCTTGCTGCGACAGGATATTCAGATCATTGGCATGAGTGCCACGCTGTCGGTATGAACGCTGATCTGATTTTACACGTAAAGATGGGCAGTCTGACGGACACTAGAATACAGAGATGCTGGCTGAGTGGATGAAAGCCGTTTATTTTATCTCGACCTATCGCCCTGTCCCAATTGACGATTACCTTGTTTACGAGAATGCAATATACCCCGCAGCAACATCGAGGCAACTTTTCCAGACCATCTCTCGATTGAAGTCGATGACGAATACTTCCCTGATGGACAGCATGCCCCCTCATCGTATGATTCGCCTTTCGAATTTCCGGGAACTTGCGAACCCTATGACGAATGCGACGGTGGCTCTGGCGATCGACACTGCCGCTGCTGGATATGGCGCCCTGGTGTTCTGTGGCAGCCGTCAGGCGTGCCAAATCCAGGCTGGTATTATCAGCGAAGCAATGCCAGCTCCCTCGGAAGAAACAGATGAGCTTAGCAAACGACTGGACCTCCTGGCTGAGCTAAGAAGTCTACCAAGTGGTCTAGATCCGGTTCTGGAGAACACGGTTCCTAGAGGCGTGGGGTTTCATCGTAAGTGGTTGTTATAACGACTTCGTACATACACTAAACGTTTTTAAGATGCGGGAATGACAACGGAAGAGCGTGAATTGATAGCACAGGCTTATGACGAGGGGATTATAAGGGTACTCATTGCCACATGCAGTCTTGCTGCTGGTGTCAATCTTCCTGCCCGAAGAGTCATCATAAACGGGGCGCGCATGGGCCGGGAACTTGTTGGGCCGGCGATGCTGTAAGTATTTAATTTGATATAGTGTGCTATCGGCTAACGTGTGAAGGCGACAAATGTGTGGCCGGGCTGGCCGCAAAGGTAAAGACGAGGCAGGCGAGACATACCTCATTTGTGGAAATAGTGACCTACAATCTGTTTGTGATCTTTTGGAAGCCGATATGCCGGCCATTGAAAGCTGTCTAGCTCCAGAGAAGAGAGGACTCAAGAGGTAAGCCCCTGGTACCCGTGGATGTGAGGTTCCCGGTAACTCACTTCTGAAAAGAGCTCTTTTAGAGGCCATTGCAACCGGCCTTGTGTCTGGTACTGATGCGATCAAGGAATACGTCAAATGTACCCTGCTATACTTGACGGTGGAGAAGAAAATTGTCTACAGTATCATGCGCTCCGCGCTCCAAGAACTGATCACCGAGGGACTCTTACACTTGAATGACGACGAGTCATACTCACCGACGCAACTGGGACAAGCCGTAGTGGCTTCCGCGTTTGCGCCCGAAGATGGGTTGTTTGTACACGAAGAGCTGAAACGAGCGCTACAAGCTTTCGTCTTGGACGGGGACATGCACATATTCTACATGTTCACGCCTATTCAAGCGGCGGCTGGTACGCCGATTGACTGGCCGATCTTTCGCGATCAGCTAGACAATCTTGATGAAAGTGGCCTGCGTGCCCTGCAGTTTGTTGGCGTCCAGCCCGGCTTTGTAAATTCAATGTATGTCGAGCTTATTTTTCCACTCCCCACGTATGGGGAGCAAAGGTGTTGACGGACTCATAGGGTGCAAAGTGGTGCGTCGCTTAAAGAGAACACCCCAGAACAGGTTAAGCAGGCTAGGATCTACCGCAGAGCCTATACAGCATTCCAACTCCGGGACCTGAGTAATGAGGTGCCGCTGGCAACAATTGCTAGTCGCTACAGGATCCCACGAGGAACTGTCCAGACTTTGGCGCAGCAATGCCATGGCTTTGCTGCTGGCATAGTAAAGTTTTGCCAGCGCATGGACTGGGGCATGCTTGCGGCAGTTCTCGATCATATGCGCGATCGACTGGAAGCCGGAGCTCGCGCTGATCTGCTGGAAATGGCGCAGGTGACCTATGTCAAAGGCTGGACGGCTCGATTGCTTCGAGAGAATGGGTTCCGCAATCTGCGCGCGCTAGCAGAGGCTGACGCGAAGGATCTTGTGCCCATACTCATGATGGTATGACCAAATTCTATTGCCTGGTCCGGTGACACAGATGCTAATTGAAATACCAGGTAAACCCACGCAAAGCACAGAAGAGCCAACTGCACCCCACCGAGGCTGAGCGGTATGCAAAGAAGCTGTTGGCAAAGGCAGAGGTCATTGTTGCATCAGCGAACAAAATCTGGGGTGCGTATGACTGACTTCCCGAGATGCGAATTCACTGCTGACGCGTTTCTCTAACGGAAACAGAACGCGAGATGATGATTGAATTGGACGAGTGAGGAGCATTTTTGGTAGCTCTCTCATGGTTGCTCTTGGGAAATATTGCCATTGATTTTGGGCCGATCACTGGCTACGCAACATCTTGGTATTCTTGGTATTCTTGGCAAAGAGAGTTTTTAGAGGTGATAGACATAACAAGTGGTTATCTGGGATCGCTATTTACAAACCAACCTCATTTTTGACCTCCTGGGATGGAGACTGGCTGCTGAAAGCCGACTTGATGACAAAGTCCTTGATAAAAAATCATATAATATTCTCAGGGTATACGGATTATATAGACAAGACAAATGACAACGGAAACACAAAGGGTACATGTATGCTGAGCACAGCAATCTATACGCCATTCAGCTGGCTCTGGGCCTCGATCGGCTGGCCCTTGTCGACAAAATCCAGGAGAATGAAATTAGGCGGCCGGCCATAGATGGAATGGCACCGGCCAGCCTGTGTCCCAATACCGCTTTCCCCCGAAACCGCATTGGTCTCAGCAGCGTGCAGGCGGTCGGGAATCAGAACGCCGAGCAGATCGACATCCAAAAAGTGGTTGACGATGTACATACGGCCAGAGGCAGAGGCACCAGCCGGCCGGTCGATACTGCAATTGGAGAACGAAGCATCCGTCACGTCGTACTGCGTCTCGAAGAAGTAGGCGAATTCATCCAGAATGTACGGCACACTCGAGACATTCGCACCGTAATCTGGCCCCATCACATCAGTCATTCCGTTCACACCACTTGCCAATGGATACCACTCTTCTGAATCCAGACACTCTATATAAAGAAACTCACCCAAAAACACCACCAACCGCGTCCCATTCCCAATCAACTCACGCAAGGTCGGCCACTGATCAATCGCCAGGGTCTTCGGCGACGAACTCGGCACGAACGCATATTCCTGTAGCCCGGCGCTCGCGAAGACGTCCCCGAACGACGATACGGGGAGGTTATCGCCGTTGGTGAGGAGGAGCGTTACCACCTCGTTGGGGTGGTGGTCGAGCCACGTCTTCAGCGTCATTAGGTATGACTGCAGAGGACCGGCGTCTTCGAGAAGACACGACGTGTGGCAGAGCAGGATGGTATCGCCGTCGAGCGACTTGTGGGTTTGGCCTTGCAGGAATCGGATCCCGAGATCGAGTTGCCGCGTGATGTTGATGTTTTGGTTTTGTTGGGGTAGGGGGCCGACGAATGGGCTGTCGTGCGAGCCTACTTGCGTTATGTTGGAGTATTGGCGCGTGCAGTAGGTGGGGTGGCCGTTGCAGGTTTGAATTGTGGTTGATGAGGATGAGGATGGGGATGGGGATGGGGATGGGGATGGGGATGGTATGAGAGTGGCCCAGGTGGGGGCGATGGGTAGGGTTGCTGCTGCTAGGATGGTGATGGTGAGGAGGGTTGGGGATAGCTTCATCTTCATCTTCATTTTCATCTTGATCTTCTTTGAGGTTGGTTCAGAGGGTCTAGTTCATTTGTTTGTGGAGATAGTATCGTGGATGATGATTTGGGCATGGATGAGAGAAAAGAATCCGATGCGATACAGTGGCATGCCGTCGGACTATTTATGTCCTCTCTCTCTCTCTCTCTCTCTCTCTCTCCTGGATTGTCGCACCATGTCTGCCTCACACACACACACACGATCCCGACTCCTGCCAAGTTGAAAGGTTGAATCAAAACAAATCAGACGGCCTTGCTTGATGTCTGATGAGGTCGCCGTCCCGACGGCTCGTGACAGCCACGGGTGATGGTTTCGTGAATGTGATATGGTGACCACCATCACCACCACCACCACCGCAGTCGAGTCCCTGTCCCAGCCCCGATAGGAGCAGGAGCGTTGCTTTGCTCGCCACAGCCATGAGGTAGTATGTATGGATAACGGGGCTGTCTGAAACAGTCCATGCCACCTTGCGTGCGGGTGGAAAGGGTCTAAATGACTCGGTACCGAGGTAGCGGGAGTTGGTTGGCTGGCCCTGCCTGGGTTTAGACAGTCCAGGGACGAGGGGGCGGGTGGTTCTTAGGCTAGTAGATTGATGGATCTAGATGGATTTTTGGATTCGAGGCTATTTAGATATGATTTTTAGATTGTGGGTAAATGGGTTGATGACTGTTGCGTTTGCATCTGGCACGGGTTGGTTGCATTTCCTGCATCTTGGTCCGGTTATCAGCACCTTGGTGGAGGTGATATTGGCATGGCTTTGCAATGGAAGACGCCGTCAGTCATTCTGCAGGCCAGAAGCTTGACGACTGACCAGGCATCTGGGTCGGGAAGTAAGGGATGGATGGGATGGTCCTTGTAGGCCATGGTGTTTCTGCCTGAGGCACGAGAGTGTGGTTGTAGCTGTCAGCCTCCATCTTCATCCAGCCCATAGCTATCTTCATACTGATAGATAGCTCGATCAGATCAAGAAGTAGGTATTCTGCAACATATCACTAGCGGCATAGGTCTCTTCCTGGGACGCGGACCGTGTGGCCTTGGCTGGACTCCCTGGGGATCGTCCGTCCACACGTGCAACCAAATCTGGCCGCAGAGCGACCGATCATGTGTCAGGGTCGAGTTGTTGTGTTTTGTTTCACAGGGGACGGGGTGAGACTCCCGGCGTGACTTGGGGGGGGGGTTGTCTGGTGGTGAGTACTACTAGGTGGTTCCTAGTAGGTATTACGGAGTGGATGGGTGGATGATGGATGGATGATGGATGGTTGATGGTTGATGGATGGTTGATAGAGGATGGGAAGAACCATCCGCTTCGGGACTAGCCTGGTATGGTTGTACCGTACGGCACCGGTTCCTGACTGACTGTCTCCTCATCCGTTCGTTACCTAAGGTGCAGTAACTACTCAGGTAGTACCAAATAAGTACCTGTCTGCCTGGACATCTTCACCTCCATGATTCTGTTGACAACTTCCATCTGGATATTTGGATCCTCCCACAGCTTATGCTCCATCCCGCCGTGCTGGGCAACCTTGTCGGTGTAACTGTTGCCCGACCTGCTGCTAGTTCCCTCCCGTGAATCCCGGCCAGCCTCCACTTTAACACCCACTAACTAACTAAAGCTTCGTGACATCCGGCCGTGAGACTGTCTGCCTGCCAGCCTTCATCATCCAACAACAACAACAACCCCTCCACCCCTCCACCCCCTCCACCCCTCCACCCCTGCTCACTACACCTCCTCCCTATTTCCCACCCCCGCTCCCTGCATTACTACAAGTTGGAGCGATGGTCATTCGAACTTCCCGCCGATGAGCTCCATGATCGAGGCCAGTAATGACTGGGCACGAGAGGATGAGCTCGACTTGGGCCAAGAGGACGACGAGCACCCCCCGCCGACCCGCAACGGCTTCTCCCACCATGCCAGCCCCCAGGAGCTGCCGGGCCAGGACTCAATGGCCTACATCGAGGAGGATCTCCCCGGTGTAGCCACCGAGAACCACCACCTCCCTCCTGTTGACGCCGATACGACCTCCCTCCCCTCGTCGCCGCGCGCCGGGCAGCCCGGTGCTCCCGGCAGTGTCGACGAGACGATCTCCACGCCCGATGATACCCCTTCCCTGCATGTGGGTTGCGACCGTGTTTGTTCCGCCGTGACCCCCTCCGCTGACGAGAATAGGGCTCTCTGCTGTCGTCGCGGAGCAGCAGCGCGTTGGCCTTCCGAGGCTCCCCTGGACCCAGTCCCAGTCCCTCCCATCGCCCCTTCGACCGTCGCTTCCAGTCCAGATTATCCACCGCCTCGCCCGTTAGCTTCCGACCGTCGTCGCCCTTCCTGGCGCAGCTTCACTCGCGAAAATCCTCCCTCACTAGCCACCTCTCCCCGGCGACCGTGGACTCGGGCGCGGGCACCCCGACGGGCCCGTGGGATGTCATACAATGGACCAAGCTGAGGAAGATCAACGGCCAGGCCTTCTCGGAAGTGGGGAAACGGAACTTTGGGTATCCCACCTGTATGGCGGTCTCGACGTCTATCGTGGTGGGCACCTCCAAAGGCATCGTCCTGGTGTTTGACTATCAGCAGAATCTCAAGACCATCATTGGGCTCGGAACAAAGGGTATGGCATGCCGGACGGACTACTGACTGCATTGGGTGTGTTTGAGTGCTGACTGGGGACCTGTCTAGCTGTCGAATGCGGCGCGATCGCATCTCTCGCGCTTTCCGCCGATCACTCGACCATCGCCGGAGGCCATACCTCAGGCGACATCTTCACTTGGGAGATATCGCGCTCCGCACGGCCGTTCCTCCATATTCCCCCGATCCCTGCGAACCAGGTCGATACTCGGACCTCTGATGGTCACATTTCCGGCGCGCCGGTCATCCATGTCGGCTTTCTGGGTACCCGACGCACGGCGCTGGTCTCTGCCGATAAGCGGGGAATGGCGTTTTCGCACCTGGCTACTCGGGGAATGGGCGCAATGGGACGAACGGTGAAGACAACTCGGATTCTGGGTCGCTATCCTCAGGCCTTTTCAGAAGACCGGCGGCCGCGAAAACCGAGCTCGGTCCTGGCATTTTCGCCCCTCCCACTCGGCAACGTTGAACAGCCGACCGACTCACTGGGCCTGGTGGCCATGCTCACGCCTTATCTCCTGGTCATTGTCTCAACCACGCCTGTCGCGCAAACGCAGCACAAATCGCCCCGCCCGAAAGAAGTTACCGCTCATGGCGCTATGACCGGAGCCCTGGCCTGGTTCCCGGCGATCCGGCTCAAGGGCAAAGACTCGGAAATCTCCAAGACAAAACTCGTTTACTGTTGGTCGAACGTGTTGACGGTGATGGATGTGTCTGAAGTGGAAACCAACGAGTCGCCGACCCGGGACCGGCCCCCCAGCCTGGCCTTCAGGCCTCGGAGCAGATGGAAGGCGGATGAAGCGATCGTGGCCGTGCAGTGGTTGAGCCGCTCGGTCCTGGCGGTGCTGACGATCACGCAGCAGTTGCTCATCCTGGAGGACTATTCGATGCGCGTCACCGAGGCCGTCGATCTCCTCAACCGGCACATCTACCACGTCGATCTGTTCTCCGCTCACCTCCATAGCTTGGTCGAGCAATTCAACGAGGACGACACCTCGATGCACGGTGTAGTGGCGGATGCTTTTTACATGAGTTTCCGCTCCTACAAGGGGCGCCTGTTCCTCCTCGGCTTCAACGAGATGCTGATCGGAGGCCTGTCGAACTGGGCCGATCGGCTGCTGGCGCTGATGGAAGCCGGTGACTTCATCGGGGCGATCGAGCTGGCGACGTCCTATTACCAAGGCAGTGCTGAAAAGCTGACCATCGGCCTGCCGGAAGAGGACGCGCTGCGGCAGCCCCTCGTCCGCGAGAAGCTCCTGGAGATGATTTCTGCGTCACTCAAGTATGCATTTGGCCGGAACGAGGAAGCCAATAATGGGAGGCTCGGCAATGGGCAGCTTGAGAAACTGGCCGAGGTGGCCATCTCGGCGTGCGTCTGCATGTCCGAGGAGGACTTTCTCTGGGATGAGATCTTTACGTGGTACGAGGAAGGTGGCTTGCAGGGGATTTTCCTGGACGCACTTGAAGCGTATATAGTCGAGGGAACTGTACGGTCGCTTCCCCCTACGGCTGTCAAGGCCCTGATCAACCACTTTGCTACCACCCACAGCGCCAGCAGACTGGAAGAGATCATCTGCTTGCTTGATACTGCCACGATGGATATCGATCAAACAACCACGCTGTGCAAGCATCATAACCTATACGATGCATTTATATACGTCTGGAACCGCTGCCTGGGCGACTACGTGGGCCCTTTGCAGGAGCTCCTGCAGCTGATTCCCAACCCCGAGGCTCTTATCAACGGCGATTCCGTGGATGGGGTCAAGCGGTACACTAATGCAATGAAGATGTTCCCCTATCTCTCCTTTGTCCTTACCGGCCGCATCTATCCGACTGGGGCGGACATGGATGAGGACGAGGCGACTCGAGCCAAGGCCAGTTTGTATGATTATCTGTTCTCGGGGAAACCGTCTGGCACCGACTCGGGGACCCATTCTCATCCAGGCGGGTCGTTTCCGGACCTCCAAACGATGCTGCGATTTGACGCGTCTAGCTTTATGAGCATGATGAACGAGGCGTTCGAGGACAGTTTTCTAAACGAGCAGGAACTCGACGAGACCCCTTTCCAGGGGGTCTCCATCAACCGACAGTATCTAATTAGCATTCTGTTACAGGTCATGACGCAATCGTTCGAAGCATCTGATACCGTTTATCTAGACATGTTCCTTGCGCGCAATCTTCCCAAATACCCCCAATACATCCTTCTGTCGGGCAGCACGCTCCACCAGGTCCTCGAGCGGCTGTGCCGATACCCTAGCCCGGAGATGGCCGACGACTGTGAACTGAGCGCTGAATATCTGCTGTCCATGTACCACCCCCCCGATGTGCAGGGAATGATCCCGCTCTACAAGACCGCGCGCTTCTTCCGGATCTTGAAGTCTACGTATCGCTCCGAGAAGCAGTATCCGGAGCTGGTGCTCACCTACCTGGAAGACCCGACCGATCAGGGTGCCATCTTCACCTGCCTGCAAGACTGCCTTCGTCCCGGCGCGGGGCTGGGCAAGAAACAGCGGCGCGATGTCATCGATGTGGTCAAAGAGCATGCGGGCCAGCTGGCGGCGATCGACGTGGAAAAGGCCGCCCTGACCATGCACGGCTTCGCCCCCGAGACCCATGAAACGTTCCTCAAGGTCTTGGAGGATGACCCCCACCGGCAATATCAGTACCTGGGTGTCGTGGTTGGCATTTCGGTTCAGTCCGTGGCCGAGGGGCGATCGGCCAAGCCTGTCGCGAACCGGATGGTCGAACGGTACGTGCAGCTGCTCTGCAAGTACAACCCGACGCGCGTGGCGGACTTTGTGGAGGATCTGCGGGTCGGCGATGTGCGGCTGGAGGAGCTGCTGCCGTCGATGGAGGAGAGTGGGGTGGTGGACGCCGCGGTGATCCTGCTGGCTCGACAAGGGCAGATTCGGGCCGCCATGGACCGGCTCATCGCGCATCTGGGGACGCTGGAGGCCGGGCTGGTGGGCATCCTGCAGAACATCCACGACAGCTCGGACTCTGCGAATGCGACCGAGGCTATCGACCATCTCGTGGAATCTCTGGAGAAGTACACCCGGGTGGGAACCTGGCTTTGCCAGGGGCAGACCAAGACGGCGAAGAACTCGCGCGCGGTGGAAAGGAATGGCTCGGGCAAGGGCGCCCTCGAGAAGCCGCTCTCGTTCGATGAGGGGCTGTGGCTCGACTTGATCGAGGGGGTCGTGCGGATTGCCAGCAGTGTCTTTGGCCTGATGCAGAACGGCGAAGCGGGCGACTCTGCGGTGCGCGCGAACCCGGCGACTGCGCCCTTGGTGGCCGCATTCCGGGCTCTGGTGCAGCAGGTGTTCACTGCGCTGCTCTCCAGCACGGTGCGGGTTGGCGCATCGCCCAACGGCGAACGCAGCGATGTCGCCTTCCTCCGGATCCTGCGCGCATTCCTCACGCGGGCGGCGCGCTGGTCACCCTCCCTCCTGGAGCTGCGGGCGGTGCTGGCGTCGATCTTCTCCGCGTACACGTACGAGAAGTCGCTGCTGTCGCTGGCGAACGGGATGCTGGACCGGGACCTGTTTGTGCATGTGGACGAGGTGACGCGGCTGCGGCAGCGGGGATGGCGACCACGCGGCCAGCTGTGCGAAGTCTGCCGGCTGCGGGTCTGGGGCCCCGGGGTCGGCCCCCAGCACTGGCAGTCGTGGGAGCAGAAGCAGGCAGAGACCCAACAGCATCGTCTCCGCAGGCGACTCCACGAGCAAAATGATCCTGCGACAGCGCGGGGGAAGGGCAAGGCGGCCGATGCAGGTCAGCCGCTCCATCTGATGATGGACGGGCATGCGGGAGGGGACGGGGACGAGACTGTGGCCGCAACTGCCCCCCCTGCTGGGCCGGTGGTCGTCTTCTCCTGTCGCCATCTGTACCATCGTCGCTGTCTTCTGGAGATCGATCAGTCGAATGCGAATGCGAATGCGAATGCGACCGGAAAGCAGCACCAGCATGGACCCTTCCACCGGGGAGGGTCGGACTGGGAGGAGCTGTCGTGCCCGGTTTGTCCTGTACATACATAATGAACGAGAGCGATGGCAACGTGATGATTTCGTGGTTTAATAGCATTTTTTTTTTCTCTTTTCTGTTTTATTTTTTTTATTTTTTTTCTCTTTCTCTTTCTCTTTGTCTTTCTATTGTATAATAGACTTACTGGATGCGGACTACTCTGGTTACATGTGTGTGTGTAAGAGGAGGACTGGCCTGAAAGAGATCGATCGGCTGACATCTCCGTGCCGGGCAACCCTAAGGGTCTTTGGGTCTTTTGGACTTTTGTTTGGTTGACATTGCAGCATGAGGGATTTTGGGTTTGGATTTACCTTGAATTAGATTCGAGATGGGGAGTGACAAGTGCGACTGACTGGGAGATTTTGGGGTTGGTTGGTTTGGGGGAGTTGGGGGCCAGTGGGTGTCAGAGATCTGATGAAGGTGACGATGAAGAAGACGATGAAGATGATGATACACACCAAATCCATGCTAACTCGACTGGTTTAGTGCTCTCATTCTGGCCCCCAACGCGCCTTAATTGGTGCAGCACTGGCCCTAGCCGCCCATTCGCCCATTTGCCCTGCGCGATTCCTTCCAATCTCATGCGCCCACTTCCTTCGCCTTCTCGCCATCCTGAATCCTCATTGTTCGCTCCTCCCGTTGGAATTCCGACTGGACCTCAGCAAGCCTGCTCCCATCGCCTCCACACGTTGTCTCTTTTGGCCCAGGGGAATAGAATTCATCCCAGATCCGCTCTTATCGCGCCGGAGGGAGCATCCATCTTCAGCTCGTCTAAATTAATACGGACCAGAGCGCGATAGTCCCTGCGATAGTCCCCTGCCTGCCCGTTGCCCGTTGCGCGCACATGGGCGCTTCATCTGCCATGACATCCACCCACTCACACCCAACAGGGCCATGTTGCCTGGTCTGGTGGGTGTATCATATCCGGCGCCACGACTCGCTAGTGCTGAGCTTGGCCGCCCCTGTTTCTTCTATCGCCCTGCAGCACTCTGCAGTCTATATAAGACGGCCCCCGTCCGCCATGGATCATCGCATTGGACTCCTCGTCGTCGCCCTGTAACACTCCTTTGTCTGTGGTCTGCGCCCTTCTGTTGAACGCCCGGCGAAAAGCAACGGTGTCCCCTTCTTCCATTCCTTCAGAGCCCTTATTTTGCAGAGGAGAAATCCCCTCGAGCTGGTCTACCAGAGGTCCCTTGCCCCCCGCCCTCCTCTGTCTCCCCCATTGATTTGTTGAGAATCGCATCGCAATGCGCTCTACTACTCTTTCCCTCCTTTCGGCCCTTGGCCTCACGGCGCAGCTCAGCGCGGCCACCTACTCCCTCGAGGAGGACTATGCCACCTCGAACTTCTTCGAGAAATTCACCTTCTACACGGAGGCCGATCCCACCGCCGGCTTCGTCGACTATGTCAGCGAAAGCACCGCGAAAACCGACGGGCTGATCTCCGAGAACAGCAGCTCCGTCTACATGGGTGTGGACTACACCAACGTCGCCTCCAGCAGCGGCCGCAAGAGTGTCCGCATCACCAGCAACAGCGCCTACACCCATGGCCTCTTCATCTTGGATCTGGAGCACATGCCCGGCGGTATCTGCGGCACCTGGCCTGCCTTGTGAGACTTCACTTTCCTAGACACCCATCCCCCAAACCCATTCCGATTCCTAATGAATGAATGACTAGCTGGCTCCTCGGCTCCGACTGGCCCTACAACGGCGAAATCGACATCATCGAGGGCGTGAACCTGCAGACCACCAACGACATGACCCTCCACACCAGCGAAAACTGCACCATCAGCGCCGACTCCGGCTTCACCGGCACCCTCTCCACTGACAACTGCTACATCTACGCCGCCGACCAATCCTCCAACGCCGGCTGTGGCATCGACGCCACCAACACTGACACCTACGGCACGGGCTTCAACGCCAACGGCGGCGGCGTCTACGCTACCGAATGGACCTCCGAGGCCATCAGCATCTACTTCTTTGCGCGGGGCAGCATTCCCTCCGATATCACGGATGGGAGCCCCAAGCCCGCGTCGTGGGGAACCCCCCTCGCCAAGTACAAGGGGAGCTGTGATATCGATGAGCATTTCTCTGGGATGCAGATTGTATGTCCCTTTTCCTCCTTCCCTTCCCTTTCCTCCCCCCCCCCCTCCTTCCCATCTGTTTCTCCACCCCTCCACCCTCTCTTATACACATACACATATACATACACATATACATACACATATACATACACATATACATACGCACATACATATACCCAACCCCACCCCGGAACCAAACTAATCATCTGTCCCAGATCTTCGACACCACCTTCTGCGGTGACTGGGCCGGCGCCGTCTGGTCCACCAGCACCTGCGCCTCCAAAGCCAGCACCTGCACCGACTACGTCCAGAACAACCCGTCCGCGTTCAAGGAGGCCTACTGGACCGTCAACTCCCTGAAGGTGTACAAGAGCGATACCGATGCCACCAGTGACGCCAAGGCTAGCGCCACTACCAAGAAGGAGACGAATACCACTGTTACGTCCACCAAGGTGGTTCATTCCACTGCTACTGCTACCGCCACGGAGAAGGTTCAGGGTCATCAGCACCGGAGGGCGCATGGACATGGACGTGAGTGAGAGTAGGTACTCAGAGTACGTACTCATAATGAGTGAGGGACTGAGCTCCAGATGCTCCTGATTGGATCTGGATGAAGGCGATGTGATGTGATGTGATGTGATGGAGTGAGGTGGATGGATGTACACGATAGATTCGATACCCTTACCATTCTCTCGTTTTGACTCGATCCGAGTTTTCTTTTACTTTACTTGACTTTACTTTACTTGCTTACTTACTTACTTACTCACCTACTTATCTTATACTATCTTGCTTATTCTGCTTTTCTGGTGTATGTATTCTTTCGATTTCGGGTGGTTTGTATTATTTTGTCTACTAGTCGTGGGTGGGTGGGTAGGTGGGTAGGTAGGTAGGTAGGTAGGTAGGTAGGTGGGAGTACCACTTTTACTTTCTTTCGTTCGTTGGTTCGTTCGTTCGTTCATTTGGAAGATACTGGGTCGATGATGTGTGTATGTATGCATGTATGTATGCATGCATGCATGCATACATGCGATTAAGTATGTATAGTAAGCATGTAGATAAGATGAAGATGGAGATGAAGATAGATGAAAGAAAATTAATAGATCATTCCAAGTCATTAATATTATTACAAAGTAGCTAGCTAGCTAGCCCACCCACTAACATGACCAGATCAAATCAGATCAGATCAGACCAGATCAGATCAGATCTAACTAGCAACCAACCAGCTATATAGATGGTATATGTATAGCTCAGGTCAAGGTCAGGTCATATCTATCTAACCTAGGCGGTCGTCATAGTAAATCCCAGTAAATCTCGCTGATCATCCGTCAAGCGGCCCCACTCCAAGAGGAGACGAAAAAAATAGATCTCCATATCCTCCTTCCGAATGGCGGTATTGGCCCATTTCCGCCCCTCCTCGGCAATCCACTTTCCCTCGATATCGTGCGGAGGCACACCGTCTCCGTTGTTGCCGATGGTGGAGGTATCCACGCCCGCGAAATAGGCGAGGGTGCTCCACAGACCGTGGAGACGGACGTCGATGGGCACGAAGTGCAGCCAGGGGGTGATGCGGGAGTCGAACCATTGGCGGAAGAGACCGGTCTTGAAGGGGAGACTGTGGCTCTGCATGAAGGGGAGGAAGCGGCCGCTGAAGCCGGCGCCGTCGGAGTCGAACAGGTAGCGGTGCTGCCAGTGGGATTGGAAGTCGACGCGGGAGCCCGGGACGAGCTCCTTTCGCTGGTCGTCGCAGTCGTGGTTGCGGCAGCGGACGACATCGATGACGTCGACGCTGGTGTCGAGGTGGAGTTGTTCGGACGGGGCGCGGCCGTCCAGGATCTCGTAGCGGTAGGTGTCTTGTTCTTGGGTGGGGAGGAAGACGGACACTTTGTTCATGGTGTTGTTGTTGACCAGGTGCGCGAGGCGCTGGCGTGGAGTGCCCTTCCATTCGCCGTGGCTGCTGATGCCTTCGGAGGTGCTGCCGATCCAGAAGAGATTGTTTGCCTTATCGGTGTAGTTGGCGTCTGGGTGGTCGGGCGAGGGCTTGTATTCGATCTTGTCGACGTAGTTCCAGGGGCTGGGAAAGATGATGTCGTTGAATCCGCCGATGGTGCTCTGGCTGAATACCGGGGTCAGGTCCTCGGTCACTTTGAAGGAGGCGGGCGAGAGGAAGAACCCGTGCAGGGAGGCGAGGTCGGGCTGGTGGCAGATGTCGGTGGCCATCGCCCAGTCGGATAGGAACTCGCCCAAGGAGTGGGGTCGGATGCAGCTGAGGCAGAGGTGTCGGCGGTCCCAGATGCGCTGGGTGCGGGCCTTGGAGGAGCGTGGGCAGGTGGAGCTCCCGTAGCGATCGAATATGTGCTTGAAGGACTGGTCGACAAACAAGGTCTCTTGCGTCTGGTCGGCGGGCTCGATGGGGCCCCATTGGTCGTCGCGGTCAGCCGACCATTCGGGCAGGATGCTGTCCTCTGCGGGCAGGCCATACGACCTCGCCTGCTGTCGCAAGGCCGATACCCTCTCCCAGGGAACCGTGACCCGCGGCTCGTCGTTGAGATTGAAGGCCAGGTCCATGTCCGGGAGGTACTCGGAGAATTTCTCAATCATCTTGGAGGCGCTGATCACCATCCACGCATGGGTTGGCTTGATCCCTTCCTGAACCCGGGCTGTGCCGTTGCGGATGCTGATCGCGCCAATCTCGTTGTACGGGTTGGTGGCCAATTTCTGCGTGAGCTCCCGGATCTGCGCAGGCTGTAACGCACGGAACGGCAGGAGGTTGTTGTATATTTGGTCGAAGTCGTCGATGACGGGGGATGATCGGTTCACGGCGTATTCGTACCACTTGTCAAAGTTCCTGCTCTAAGTTAGATCACTTCTGCAGAAGGTGTGATGGTTGCGACGCACGGTGGTGGATGTTGGTTGTATTGCACTCGGTACTGCTTGACGGCATCCGCAAGGTTCTGGCTGCTGTTGGCCCGAGCAAGCCATTGATCATGATGCTGCCTGCCCTCGTAGATGAGCAAGTCGATAGGATGTAGATGGGCGGCGCTGTGTTGCTGCGTGACGAGAACAAGCCCGATTCCGACTAGTGCGGTGAAAATGATTCGCATGGCAATATTGAACCTATATAGAAATTGCGGTTCCTCCTCCGAAGCCGTCCGAGAGTGGAGAAACGACAGTCCTCCTGCAAAGGTGAAAAATAGAGCCGCGAAAGCGCGGGAGGCAACGATCAGTGGGAACGGCTGCTGCCCGTTGAACAGAGCCGACGCCCACATAAAAAATAGAGAGATGAAGCCCGCCAGTACTGCAAGCCCAGCGACACCGTAGTAAGGAATCTGGAGTAGTCAGTATCTGGCTCAAACATGTAGTTATGAGGAACCTACTAGCTGAGAGGCCGATACTATCACACACGCAACCAGCACCCCTTGGCCCACCGCACTTTGCAGATATTGAGTGCTCACGAACTCGTCCTCGGTGGATCTGGCTGTCAGAATGGCTACGAGGATCGTGTAAAACACGGCGACTCCCTTAAACCAGATTAGACACGGCCGGATTGCTTTCGATATGGCAGACAAACCAGTAAACTCCAGCCCCAGGAGACTAGAGCATGCTTCCTTCGGCTTTCCCCGGATCGAGCCCCTTCACACGCCAACTCCGCGGCGCCTATCAGAATCAATGAGTCGATAATAGTCGCCAGGATTTTAAACGCACGCAGTCGCAGATGGGCACTAGATGTGATGGGGCAGATATAAGTCGACTGCAAGCCGTCCCCAAAAGTCGTGATGAGATAGCCGCTGGCCAAGAGAAAGCAAGCCGATATGATGTATCTGAAGCGGCCCCGGAACAGGAAAGAGTTCACGCGACTGACACAGGCGACTATCGCGCGGAGCTGCGCATTCTGCGGGCGCTCAGGGGCGGACCATTCCTGGACCGGTCGGGAGCGCTGATTGCGCCAATAATCATAGAGCGCCACGAGAAACGGGATCGAGTACTGAAGCGAAAGAGGCTGGTCAACGCCGCCTCCTGTCTATCTGCCGATTGAATACTTACTGCATATCCATCAGGGGCGCATTCGATGTTGGCAGTGATGTCGCGATACAGGGCGACCCGTATGCAACCCAGCACGGACAGTAAGCCTGGTTTGATCCATCGAGTTGCGTTGCGCGTTCGATTGAGAGAAAAGCTGCTGTTGCTGTCCAGGCTGACGGGCGAAAACGGTTCTTCGAGGGGTTGGTCGCGTTCGGCGAGGGGTATGGCGGAATATTTATGTACAGAGGAAGAGACCTTGGGTATCCGATGGATGAACCTGCTCAGAATCAAGAGGGAGGTTCCCGCAAAAAAGCATGCCAGTATGGCCGAGTGGAGGGGATGATCTGTTGGAGCAGTCGTTAGCGACACGGCGAGTATCACGCACGGCCAAACGGGATGGATGCTGGTCCTGCGATCCTCTGAATAATCTCCGATAGATCGGACCTGGAACTTACCGAAAGCGAAGGTGGTTTTGTAGGAGGTTGAAATAAAGGTGAAGCTTAGGAGAAAAACCCTGCGGGCGCGTGAGAACGAAGTGACCGACGCTGCGAGTATAGCGACGGGTAAACACTCACCCCACGGAGGCCTTGAGGCCAGCTTCAGCGGAGAAGTGCATGGTGTCGACGGAAGGAATGTTAAGGGCCTGCAGAGCTAGTGGCCATCATTGCATGGACGACATTCGCGGCCTGCAGAGCACAGGGCAGATGAGGGCGAGAGACGGAGAGGTCCGCAAGGGAGCGGGCGACGGTGCCTTTTGGGGGGTGGGTGGAGACTTGGAGACGTCAGGGTCAGGTCAGGTCGAGAGTTCAGGGGGGGAGGATGGGGATGGGGAGGGATAAGTACCCAAACCGGTGGTGATGACAGGATGGAGAAGACAAAGAGCCGAATGACATAGATATTAATGGATTGCGTCAACGAAGGGGTCTGGCCACCAGGGACTCCAACACAGGCGGTCTCGTGCCGCCGGTACAGTACGGTAAGGGTAAGGCGTAAGGAACGCTAACTGCACGTCTCCTACTTAGTCGCCCTTTTAGCGCCTGCTCATCTCCGCCCTCCAGCACGTCAGCATCCACTTTAAGAGGCAGCTCTGCTTAGCTCGACTTTCTATCCCATTGACATTCATCCTCTCCTCTCCTCCCATGGCTATCCAGCCTGCAATGGCAGCCGGACGCCCTTGCAACCATATTGAGCCCGCCACTGGCCGACACGTCCAGCGGCAGCAACGGTCCAGCATGCAGCTAGCGTCAGGGTCCAGCAGCCGATCTGCAGGGAGACTGGCCCCAAGCGACGGAGTCCACCAATCCAACCACCATCCCGTTGATCGCTCTCCGATGTTCCGAACTGGGTTGCCCCTCCTAACTACAGGATCTCCTCCGATGTCATCATTGCTCTCAGATCCGCCTTGGAAGCTGAAACAACACGCAAGCCGTGCCTATCGGAAAGTTGATGTTGGTATCCGGGTGTCTGGTTGGCGGTATCCCAACGGCTGTTGGCGTCAGCACGGCCTCGGTCTGAAAAGAAATGCAGCTCCACTGGGATGGGGCCTGGTTGGAAAGAATATGGAGTGGTGGCAGGTGCGCCTTGAATGTTTCTCGCCCGGTTGGCATCTGAATCTACGCGCTACCTATACAGTATAAGACTATATAGATAGGTATCTACCGGTGTACAGACTGTAGATAGTATCTAGCTATGAACAGATATTGGATATGAACGAGATGGCCATGCCAGGTCTTTTTGCGGAATCCGGTCGGAATCCTGTCAAAACCGTCAGAATCCATGCTTTCACGTGATAGCATGAGTAAACAGGCTAGTCCATATCTGGGTTGGCGCGTTCAGGAACAGTGCATCACGTGCTGCGTGCTTTCGCCCGGGCGGTGTCCTATCCCAGCAAGCGGTCACCAGGGGCAGTTCCGATCTTGCCGATAACTTTTTTTTTGTCGGCGACCCCATCGCAGAGTCCACCGGCAGTGTGAACCTCATTCCTTGCACCTGGCCACTGTTTCGTTTCTCTGTTGAGATCTGGCCTGTGTCTTGGACGATTAGCGACTACGTGGTGTCCCCCGCGAGACTACCGTGAACCCAACCCCCCCGACCTGTGGCCCCGCCGCCGTCGCCGAATTTTCGTTCGCGGGCGATCCAGACTCCGTGAGCCTACAATTATCTCAACGTTACCCTCCCTAGGGTCATAGGGAAACTTGAGAAAAATGCCCCGCAAAGCGATCGATTCCCGGATCCCCGCCCTTATCCGCAATGGCGTGCAGGAGAAGAAGCGGAGCTTCTTCGTCGTCGTCGGCGACCATGCCAAGGAAGCCATCGTCAACCTACACTACATCATGTCGAGCGTTGACGTTAAGCAGAATAAGTCCGTCCTGTGGGCGTACAAGAAGGACCTGTTGGGATTCACGAGTCACCGGAAGAAGCGCGAGGCCAAGATCAAGAAGGAGGTGAAGCGCGGCATCAGAGAACCGAACCAGGAGGATGCGTTCGAGCTGTTCATCACCCTCAACCAGATCCGCTATGTCTACTACAAGGAGACGGAGAAGATTCTCGGTAACACCTACGGAATGTGCATTCTCCAGGACTTCGAAGCCATGACCCCGAACCTGCTCGCCCGGACCGTGGAGACCGTCGAAGGTGGTGGTATCGTGGTGCTGCTGTTGAAGGGCATGAAGAGTTTGAAGCAGCTGTACACTTTGTCGATGGACATCCACTCCCGGTACCGCACCGAAGCACACGACGATGTCGTCGCCCGGTTCAACGAGCGTTTTATCCTGTCTCTCGGTAGCTGTGATTCTTGCCTGGTCGTGGATGACGAACTGAACGTTTTGCCGATTTCCGGAGGAAAGCACGTGAAGCCGCTGCCCCCCGTCGAGTCCATCGACGATACCAACGTTGGCACCAAGAAGGAGCTGAAGGAGATCAAGGAGAGCCTGGCAGATGCTCAGCCCGTTGGTCCGTTGATTAGTCTGGCTCGCACAGTCGATCAAGCGAAGGCCCTCCTCACGTTCGTCGACGCCATTGCCGAGAAGACGCTTCGCAGCACCGTTACTTTGACTGCCGCCAGAGGTCGCGGTAAGTCCGCCGCCCTTGGTGTCGCTATTGCGGCTGCTGTGGCGCACGGTTACAGCAATATTTTCATTACGTCTCCGAGCCCCGAGAACTTGAAGACCCTCTTCGAATTCGTGTTCAAGGGATTCGATGCGCTGGGCTACCTCGACCACGTTGACTACACCATCCTTCAGTCGACAAACCCCGACTTCAACAAAGCCGTTGTCCGGGTCAACATCCACCGCCAGCACCGCCAGACGATCCAGTACATCCAGCCGCAGGATGCCCATGTTCTGGGCCAGGCCGAGCTTCTGGTTATTGATGAAGCTGCCGCCATCCCTCTGCCTTTGGTCCGCAAGCTGATGGGACCGTACTTGGTTTTCATGGCGTCCACCATCAACGGTTATGAGGGAACGGGCCGGTCTCTTTCCCTGAAGCTGATCCAGCAGCTCCGCGAACAGTCCCGGGGTGGCCTGAAGGCCAGTGGCCAGGAGGACATCGATGTTGCTGATCGTGCCACGGGCAAGGCTACCAAGGGCGCCGAAAAGGGCTTGGGTGGACGGTCGTTGAGGGAAATCACCCTTGCCGAACCCATCAGATACGCCCCCGGCGATTCCGTCGAGAAATGGCTGAACAAGGTCCTGTGTCTGGATGCGACTCTGCCCAAGTCCCGGATGAACACCCAGGGCTGCCCGCACCCGTCGCAGTGCCAGTTGCTCCAGGTCAACCGTGACACCCTGTTCTCCTTCCACCCCGTCTCCGAAAAGTTCCTCCAGCAAATGATGGCCCTCTACGTTGCCAGTCACTATAAGAATACCCCTAATGATCTCCAGCTCATGAGCGATGCGCCCGCGCACCAACTGTTTGTCCTTGTTCCCCCCATTGACGAAGAAGCCACGAAGCTCCCCGAGCCCCTCTGTGTCATCCAGGTCGCACTGGAAGGTCGCATCAGCAGACAGAGTGTCCTCAACAGCCTGAGCCGTGGCCAGCGCGCTGGAGGTGATCTGATCCCGTGGCTTGTCAGCCAGCAGTACCAGGATGAAGACTTCGCCGGTCTCTCGGGTGCCCGTATTGTCCGTATCGCGACAAACCCCGAGTACACCAACATGGGTTACGGATCCCGCGCCTTGGAGCTGCTGGTCGACTTCTACGAAGGCAAGTTCACCAGTCTCTCCGAGGACATCCCTGAGCCCCAAGAGGAGATGGTGCGGGTGACCGACGAGGAACTCACCAACACCAACCTGCTGGAGGACAACGTCCATGTTCGGGACATCCGCACAATGCCACCCCTGTTCGGCAAGCTGTCGGAGCGTCGACCCGACGCTCTCGACTATGTTGGTGTCAGCTTCGGTCTCACCTCGTCTCTGCACAAGTTCTGGAAGCGCTCCGCCTTCTCCCCCGTCTACCTCCGCCAGACGCCCAACGATCTGACCGGCGAGCACTCCTGCGTGATGCTGCGCACCCTCACCACCGGCACCAACGACGCCGCCTGGCTGGGCGCCTTCGCCCGGGATTTCCACAAGCGGTTCAACGCTCTGCTGTCCTACCAGTTCCGCGACTTCCCCTCGGTGCTCTCCCTCAGCATCTGCGAATCCGCCAATGCCGGTGCAAAGCTTGATGCCTCCTTCGCCCAGGCCCTCCTGGCCAAGTCCGACCTCGACGCCGCCTTCTCCCCCTTCGACCTCAAGCGTCTCGACAGCTACGCCAACAACCTGCTCGACTACCACGTCATCCTTGACATGGTTCCCACGATCGCGGAGTACTACTTCTCCGGCCGCCTCAACGGCAAGGTCAGCCTCTCTGGCGTGCAGCAATCCATCCTGCTCGCCATCGGTCTGCAGCACAAGAACCTGGACGCCCTGGAGAAGGAGCTGAGCCTGCCGTCCTCCCAGCTCCTGGCCATGTTCCTTAAGATCGTCCGCAAGATGTCTACGCACTTCCGGAACCTCGTGGAAGGCGCCGTCGCCGAGACCATGCCCGCCGCGAAGGCCCCGGTCGCCACCGAGGCCCACGACGAAGTGATCGAGCAGCGCTTCAAGCCTCTGGAAACGGGTCTGGAAGACGAACTCCGCGAAGGCGGCCAGCAGGTCGACGACGAGCTGCGGGAGAAGCAGCGCGCCCTGATCGACGCCCTGCCTCTTGACAAGTGAGCCAACCTTCCGCTCTCACCATTAACATGCCTCCCGAATGAACAATAACTGATTTCTAGCCTCCAGATACGAGATCAACAACGGTAGCGCCGCATGGGAAGACGCGGAGAAGCAGATCCGCAACGGCGGAGCCGCCACAGTCAGCGTCAAGTCGTCCAAGCAATCGAAGCGCAAGAAGGGCGAGTCGGCGCGCGAGATCTACGACGAGGAGATCGACTCGAAAAGACAGAAGATCATCAAGAAGGGCACGGAGGGAAAGAAGAAGAAGCAGCACTAGACTGTTGAGTAGCGAGTAGAAGTTGCTGTCTGCCAGTGCCGTCCGTCTATCTCTGCCTGTCTGTCCTAGTTTTGAATGCGTGGGGATGCATCGAGCTGACGGTGTTATTTGGTGCGATGATTTATTTCATTCCATTATTTTGGATTCTTTGTTTTTTTTTTTTTTTTTTTCTCTTTTTTGTCTCGTGCGAATCCATCTGCTGCGAGTGGCAAAAGTTGTCTTATGATGTATGTATGTATATAAGTACTATGTATCCACCTGGAATCGGATTGAAAATGAACTAACTGTTCTTGTTGACATTCTCCTTGAGCCGTTGGGAATCCGCCGATTCTCGGCACTTTCGCTGCTTATGTGGAGTCGGTGCGGGTGACAAGGACCAATATCTATACACCTCCAGAGCAGTATAAATACAATACTTATTTCTCTCTCGTCCTCCAACACTAATCACTATTCACAATCTTTTTTATTTATTTATCTTCCATCTTCCATCTTCCTTATCTCTCTATATCCGAGTAGCAATCCTGACATGCACAAACCCCCCTCCATCTCCATCCGGCCCCTCATCCAAACCATTCATCAAACGCCCATCCACCCCATCAACATCAACATCAACATCAACACCATCACAACCCCCAAACCAAGACTTTCCCACGCCACCCCAACCACCCCAACCAGAAACATGTCCACCCAAACCTGGAACGCAACCCAATACCTCAAATTCGCCTCCGAACGCACCCTCCCCGCACGCGACCTACTCACCCGCGTCCTCTCCCTCCAAGAACAACAACAACAACACCACCACCACCACCACTCCCCCCTCCGCATAACCGACCTCGGCTGCGGACCGGGCAACTCGACCGCCGTCCTCGCCGCCCAGTTCCCCCAAGCCCAAATCACCGGACTCGATTCCTCAGCTGCCATGATCCAACAGGCGCAGACCACCGGCACCCCACGGATAACCTTCTCCCAAGCAGACATATCCACGTACACGCCGCCGCGCTCGTCACCGACGGATCTCTTCTTCTCGAACGCCGTGCTGCACTGGCTGCCCCGCGCGGCGCGCATCGAGACCATCAGACGGCTGATGGCCACGCAGCCGTCCGGGGGCATGTTCGCGTTCCAGGTGCCGGATAATCTGGAGGAGATGTCGCATGTCAAGATGCGGGAGGTGGCTGCGTTGGAGGGGCGGGTGTGGAGTGAGCGGTTGAGGGGTTTGGAGGGGGGGCAGGGAGGGGATGCAGACGCCGAGGGAGATTCATGAGCGGCTGGTTGGGACGGGGGGTGAAGACGGGGTGGTGGAGAGGGTGGAGATCTGGAGGACGGAGTATTGGCATTCGCTGCGGGATCATGCGGCGATTGTGGAGTGGGTCAAGGGGTCGGGGCTGAGGCCGTTCTTGGATGCGCTGGGGGAGGGGGAGGATGGGGACAGGATGAGGGAGGCGTTTTTGGAGGAGTATGAGCGCAGGCTGAAAGAGGTGTATCCGGTTCAGCGCGATGGGAGGGTGTTGTTGGGGTATCCGAGGTTGTTTGTTGTTGCTGTTAGGAGGTGACTTGCTACTTGTTGGTGTGGGCGGAATTTCTGGAGTTGGGTGGTGAAGGGTTGGGTTTGGATCAAGATGGATGTTTCTACTGTCTGAATGGTTGATTATGGATGCATGTAGGGTGTTGGCCGATTCAACAAATCATCTTGAAAGCGGGCGGACAATGAATATGGAAGAAATCCCACAGGCAACGCTCGATTTGAATTACAGAGATGCCTTTCCTGAATTAACACCGTTGCTAATAACAATCCTGCGCGCACGCCAGCCCAGGGCTACTAATTTACAGTTCGTCATGATCAGCCGCCGGCTTCTCTTCCTCCGTCTTCTCGACGACAACCCCCTCGGGCAGCTTCTCCTTCGCACCCTCGCCCAGTCTGATCGCATCAATCCAAGCCTCGACACGCTCCAGTCCGAAGTCCGCGCCCTCGGCGGAATCGAATCTGCGCCACCAGCCGCGACGCCCGTTCAGAGCAACGATCTCCACGGCCTGATCTTCAGGCAGTCCGAGTCCGGCCCGGAGAGTCGCGGCCCCGCTGTTGATGGCAGGCACACTGTAGAATGGGAAGAGCTTGCTCTGGAGGACGGCGTACTTGTGCGCGATCTCCGACAGGCTGAGAATGGCTTCCTTGGCGGGACCGGGGAGCTCGGCATCCAACTCGCTTGGTTCGGGGAGCAGGACAAGAACGCAGGTGCCGGATTTGGGCTCCAGACAGGCAGCCTCAAGGCTTTCTGCCGTGGGGAGGGTGTCGATGGGAGGAGCCGGGATAGGGACACGAGCGGGCTTGGATTCCTGAGCGTCTTCCGGAACAATCTTCGGGTCGGGAGACTCGGTGGGTTTCTGGTTCTCAAGAACGACGGAGGAGGACCGGGGAGTCGAGGCCTTGGACTTCACAGCCTTGGGCGCGGGATCCGGGTTCGGGGCCGCGACCTGGCTGAGGAACTCGACCAGGGGCTTCTTCTTGAGCTCGCCGTCGTAGACAATCGGGTCTTTGCCGCCTCCGGGAAGGAGAACGAGGGTCGGGAACTCGGTGATGTCGAATTTCTCCACGGCGTCGGATTCCTTGCTGCGGACTTGGGCGATGCTGACAGAGCCGAGGAAGTCGATGGCCAGGGCGCGGATGAGAGAGCTGGTCGTGCCCTTCTCGGTGAAGAGGATGGCTTTGGGCGACTCTTCATCCTGCGCGAGCCAGGCGTCCAGGTCCTTGTCCGTGGCGCGCTTCACGTGGTTGGGGATCTTGTCCACCACCGCCTCGACAATTCCTTTGGCACTCCGGGGCCCTTGGTAGTCCTCCACACGGGGCTTGCCGGGTTTCTTGGAGGGAGTCACGATCTTGAGGGTCGGGAAGCCCTGGACGCCCATGCGGCCGCAGAAGGGTTTGTTCATCTCATCGTCGCAGTTCACGGCGGCAACCTTGGCCAGTCCGTCCAGGTTGGTGGCGGCCTTTTCGTACGCGGGTTTCAGGTTCTTGCAGTGGCCGCACCAGGGAGCGTAGAATCTGGAGGCGCGCGGGGGGGTGTTAGAAAGGCGAGGGTAGGAAGGTACTATATACGGGGAGGGTCATCGGGCTTACTCTACAATCTGGAGCTTGTCAGTACCGAGTGCTGGCAATTGAGAGGACCAAGGGGAGTTCTGCTTACCGAGGTATGGTTGGAGTTGGCGATCAGCTGGTCATAGTTCTTGCCAGTGACCTGGAGGACGGGGGATTTCTTTGTATACAACCCATCGGCGTTGACGGGCAGGGCCGCCAGCAGCGATGCGACGAGAACGAACGCGGAACTGGGCTGCAGCATCATTATGGGCGGAAAAGACAAGATATGGTCCGATGCACTAGTAGGAGAGACGCATCCCCAGAAAAGAGAGAAAGCGAGGAAGGCTGACAAGGAAGCGAAGGTGGAGTGAAGAAAGCAAAAGCAAGGTGTCCTGAAGCTCTTGGCAGGTGACGCGAAGGGGAGGGAAGCTCTTCTCCGCCTTCCCCCGGGAATGCTTCTTCTTCTCCCCTCCCCGCACTTGGCCGACTTATCTTCCACATCACTCACTGCCTCCCATGTAACGGTGCATCTCAGATACCCTCCTCCTCCTCCTCCTCCTTAATATGATCTCTATAGCCCCCGATTCGCCATGCTAGCAATTGCCAACATGCCAGTATCACTACCAGCATCAGCAAAGCCAGAGGGCACAGGCATGTCCCTCCTGCCCCGGGAGATCTTCTGGATGATCCTGGACCATCTCCCACCCAGAGACATCGTCCGTTGCCGTCAAGTCTCCCAATCTTGGAATGCGGCCTTCGGGAGCCCCGACAACCTAACCCCGCTGCTGAGGAAGTCGTTTCCCCTGGCCAAAGAAGTGAGGGAACTGGATCCCAACCGTGAAGAACACATCACTGCCACAGAAGACGACAACCACTTGCGCAGGCTCTTCGACCGGATCGCCTCGAGATACGACCACCTAAGCCGCGGAACGCCCATGTCAGTCCAGAAGTTACAGCTCTGCGACGACTTCGGCATCACGGGCGAAAGGGAATGGTTCCCTGTCCAGCCGTGGGAAAACCACGCGAGCCATCTCATGCAGCGCGTGGACTGTTCCTTTACCGAGTCATTCTGGTCCTACGAAGACGGCCTCGTGGTGTACCCGAGCGCCGACCATTCGTGTCTGGTGGTGATGGACCTCGACACCACCAGACGCGTCATGGTCCCCTTCATCATCACCGGCAAAGTAATCCGCAGGATCCGTCTGCAGAAGAGGGTGCTGGTCGTTGAATGGGCGGAGCCAAAGGCCTTTCACTGGCTGAACGACAGCGACGGTGTGCATCGGCACTTCGCTTCCTCGTTCGATGTCACCAACACATCCACCGGATGGAGCGTCACGTTTCGAAACGAGTGGAAGATCATGTTCCTCGGACATCCTCTCAGCGAGCGAGACCGGTTCTACTCCACGCATAGCCAGACACACTACGCTATCTACATCTGGCAGCCGAACCGCAGCCTGTACACTGCGGACGAAGACGCCCCTATCGAGTCGCTGTCGGTATGGGATATCTCCCCGCCCTCCTCATATAGACCCTCTTTAGACCCATCCGGCCGCTTGCGAGTCGAGACAGAAGACCAGGGCCCGTCCATCGTCTCTCGCTTCGGCTTCCGGGAACTAGGATTCTACTCCGTCAGACAGCGGGGCCTCCCCGGCGTGCAGTCCCTGAACATCACCGACGACCACCACTCCATCGAGATAGTCGAAGGCATGTGCACAGGACCGTTGGATCGCTTCGTCGGGCCCTCCGAATGGACCTCGCAGGTGCAGATCACAACCATCCCGCTCATCGGCGAGGGGCCTTGCTGGAGACGGAACGTCGATATCGCGCTGCCTCCGTATCGAGGTAACTGTAGTCTACAAACAAGCCCCATCACATCCGCTGTCTGCGACGAGCCATGGTATGCCATTGTCTCGGAGACATACGACGAGTTGTCCCAGGTAGGATTCTGTCTTCATCTGTCTCTGTTGACCTGGCCGTTTGATTCCAATATCTTCTTGACCATCCGGACCCCGTCGTCATCTACTACCTTGAAGCAGGATAATATATTTGAGCTCACCGGGAAGGGGAAAATATGCGGGAATGAACGATACGTTGTTGGCGAGAATGGTAATCGCGAGCTTGTCATTTACCGATTTGATAGATAGATAGGTAGCGGTAGCAGTAGCAGTAGCAGTAGCAGTATTTATTATCCGGGCCATTGTTTCATGATTATTTTTGCATTACTGCTTAAGCGACTAAGTGTCTGTCTGCATAAAGAAACCAACAACTGCACGCAACCACAAGCAGGAGGAACACGCGGCCAATTGCACCGTGTATCTCAGAAGCCTAGTGTGTCAACCCACTTGCCCAAAGCACAAAAGAAACCGCTTCTTGCAACTATGGACAGACCACATTAGTGGAACCGGCATCCCACGCAGGCTTTGGTCCCACATCCAGGGCAAGCGAGCGTGTACATGGGATCCCACAGGTGGCATGTCTCGCACTCAGTCTGCCCAAGGGTTTTCGCCCAGGAGCCCAGATGCGGACACTCCTTGGGGTCCAGTCCCTTCTCAAGAGGTTTAGCGTCTGGGAGGTTGAGACGGACGGCTTCTAGCCACCCACAGTAGACTTCCATGATCATGCCCCTGAGCTCGGCGAGGAGGTCCTGGCTCGTATAACGAGCGCTGGGATGGGAGAGTTTTGCGATGAAGTGGCCGAGGAAGGGAGCAAAGTATTCATGGTCAATCTTGATATTATCAAGACTGAGCTTGGCGGTCGTGACGTCTTCGGTCTCATCGGGAAAGCTGTTGCCATCACTCAGGTCGTAGAAGGAGGAGGAGTCATTGTCAGTGGAGCAGCTTGAGTACTTGTCGTTGTCCTGGCTGATACCGATTCCGGCCCCAGCGTCGCCGAGCGATTCCGTAACGGTATCGTCGGCGGTCACGTACGCACTGGAATGTTCGCTGGTGGAGAGGTTATCTGCTGCCTGCTTTTCTCCGTTTTTGCAAGTCCACATGTAGTTGTAGTTGCAATCGTCTTCGTTTCGGTCGTAGTAGTCCTCGTCATCGTAATAATCACGTCCATCTTCCTCGTTGGGGGGAGAGTGGTTGTCACCGGCTCCATTGGGGGTCTCGAAGTTCGTCGCCTGTTGCTGGGGAGCTGGACCGTCCTCATCCTCATCCTCGTCTTCATCATCGTTGGTATGGGAATCCTGGGCTTCGTCATTCACCTCTTCCCCATTCTCGTCGTCCTCGTCATCTTCCTCGCCGTCTCCTTCATCCTCGCCATCGTATTCCCCAGCTCCCTCCTGCCCACCGTCTCCCTCATCTTCCGCATCATCCTCGTAGTACTCACCCTCATAGCCCTCTTCATCATCACTACCATCCCAACTACCCTCATATCGATCCCCATCATCCGACGCCGCAACCCTCTCACACCGCCAGTAGGTCCCATAGTCAAAACCACGAGCAAACTCGTCACAATCGCCAACATCATCGTCATCCCCATCTCCATTCCTCAATCTCTCCTCATCCCTCTGCACATTCGCCCTCATCGCCTCCCTCCTCTTCTTCTCTCTCACACACGACTCATTCCTCATCTCCTCCAGGATCTCCTCGTAATCAGTTGGCCCCGAAAACGCACCACTCCCCTCTGCAGCACCAGCCCCATACGCCTCCTCAGGGTCCAGCCCCGCAGCCTTGCGCTCCGCCGCCACTCTTTCCGCCTCCTCCACCTCCCTCCTCAACTGCTCTCCAAATCGAATCTCCGCCTGAGCTCTTGCCTTCTCCTCCATCGACTGTGGCGAAAACGGATCCATGTGCACGCTGTTCCCGTAGCTGAACATGTACCGCTCAAACCTGTTGTGGAAGTTATATCCGTACCGCGTGCTATAGTCACCCGAGTCCCAGATGTACTCGTCGTCGTCGCCGTCTCCGCCTTGTGCGTCTTGCTTGGTCTTATAAAAGCGGTAGCCGGCGCGGCGGAGAGCGTCGTCGTGGTTTTGCTTCAAAGTGGGATCGCGGAGGGTTTCGATGGCTTGCTGGATCTGTTAAGGTGGGGGTGGGGGTTAGTTGAGCTTGGTGCTTAGTGGAGAAGGATGGGGTGGGTGAGAGTTCTGTGGGTTGATTGTATTGGGATGGGATGGGATCTGGCTAGAGGAAGGACAGTTCAGCTGCTCACCTTCTGGAACTCATCGTGCGAGGCTTCTTCGCAGCTGGTATTGGCGTTGCCGACACCACCACCTTGTTTGTCTGGGTGGTGTTTCAACGCGAGCTTCTTGTAGGCGCTGTTGATGTCTCTCATGGTCGAGTTGTGGGATATACCCAGGATGGTGTAGTAGTTTGTGAACGGTGATGGGGAGAACATATTGATGGTCTGGACTGGTTGTTTTGGTTGCAGGTCTTGGTGTGAGGTAGAATGGGGATTTCAAAGAGAAGTGAGAGATGAGTGAGTTGAGAAAGAGGAAGAGGGAGGGGGGGCGGTCGAAGCAGTCGAAGATGGAAGCAGCATGGGGGGAGGGGGGTCAATGGCTGGCCACTTTGGGTCCAAGGGCAGCGATGAATAGAAAGGATGAATTCCTCATGCTAATATTGAAGTCAAGACATGGGTACTAGTGAATATGAACAAGTGGTGGTGAAAACTGGCTTGCGTGAATTGAATCGCCATGGCTACCTACCAGAGAGTAACAGCATTCGCTCGCTCATTCCCTCAACGCAATTCCCTCATTGTCACGCGACAAAACATAACAAGCAGTGACAAAGAAAATATAGTGATAGATTTTACAGGCTCACAAGCATCTAGGTATTTATGAGTAAGTCTACACACATGGCGACTCCTTCCCACACAAGCTTCAGAAAAGCGTTTACATGTCCGCACTGGCGGTGGCACCAGTGATAATCTCAACCAGTTCACCGGTAATGGCGGCTTGACGCTGACGGTTGTACAAGATCTGGAACCTGCATGGCATCAGTCCTGTTCCAAGATAGTCATGTGGTGATACTCACTTGTTGATCATCTCACCGGCGTTCTTGGAGGCGTTCTGCGAAGAAAGTTAGTCCGGTTCAGGCCCAAATCCCCAAGTGATACTTGCCTCCATGGCGTTACGACGAGCCTGCATGGCCATTAGTATTCGTGCATATTCCATATAGCGGTCAGAGTACTTACAGAGATCTCGCAAGCGTGACCCTCGGCCAGAGCCCAGTACAGGTTGTTGGCAAGGGCGTATTCACGGAGGTTGGCCAGAGTCTCCTCGTCGGTCTCGAAAGCGGAGAGGTTGGCTGCAGTAATAGTTTAGCTTGTGCACACGCCAGCTATCGCTGGCATCACTCACGGGACTGGGTGATGGCCTCCTCAGAGTAGGCCTCGACGGTGCCGGCCTCGTAGCTCTGAGCGTTGAGGAACTTGTTGTAGATGATCTTGATGCTGCCGTACTCGTTGGGCAGCAGGGCGATCTGATCGGCAATGGCCTGGGCATCGTTGAAGTTGGGGATGTCCTTGCAGACATTGGCGAAGCTCAGGACAATGGCGTTGGGGTGGGTACGGGACAGCTGAGCCTTGGCCTTCTCTCCGAGAACGACGATGTCGGCCTCAGGGTGCTCCTGGAGGATACGGCGAGTGGCCTTGCTGAGACCAGAGTGGATACCACCGCAGAGACCCTTGTCAGAGCTGGCGACGACGAGCAAAGTCTTCTTGTCCTCGGGGGCCTTGGTCTCGGCGTTCTCGAAAACGGTGTTGGAGGTCTGACCGTAGCTGCGGGAATCCTCCATGGCCTTCTGGGCACGGGTCAGACGGGTCGAGGCGATGACCTTCATGGTGTTGGTGATCTTCTCGATGTTCTTGATGGACTTCAGGCGGCCCTCGATTTCACGCAGAGTCGCGAAGTTGGCGGCGTTGGAAGGCGCAGTGCTTCACAGAGATCAGCCATTGGTCCAATCCGTCATCCGACAGATCCAACAATTGAGGTTGAGAGGTATTTCGCGGGAGGACCGGTTGGGAGGGGGGGGAGCGAAAAGGCGACGGGCAAGCGGGTTGTGGACATCCGGAACGAGAAGAACTTACCGGGAGACCGCAAGGCTACCAGCCCGAACAGCCGGGCGAACAGCACGGGAGAACATCTTGCAATGGAGCTGTGTGGTCGGGAAAGACCAACGATGAACAATCGTAGAGAGGGGTGGGGGGGGGAGGAGGGGAGGAGGTAGAGAATCCTCTTAGACTGGCTGGCGGGTTGAGAAGTCGGTGGTTGAACTTGGGACTCCTGTTTCTGTTCTTCCGACAGCCGGGCAGCACGGGATCCAGCCACGCTAGGCCCAAAATGTGCTTGTCCGGGGAACGACAGGGACCGGGCGCGCAGCGACAACAAACGCACACTGCGCTAGGCCAGATGAGGCGGTCCGCTATCAGGTGACCGTCAGCCGGCCCGGGAGACTTACGTAGGCTGAGTCAGAAGAGTTCGACGCAAAGAAACCCGCCACTCAGGCATCCAGGCATCGCGCAGGGTCGAATCGTCATACCTCCAGGCCTCGGCGCCTTGGAACCTCAGGCCGCCAGCCTCCTCGCACGGCGAGTGGCTGACGGTCCGGAGAAACGAGAAACGAGACTGGATCGCCTCAGGCCCCAAAAGACGGCCTCGTTTTCCATTCCATTCCTTCTCTTCTTTCTCTTCCTCTCGTTCTCTCTCACTTTCTCGCTCTCTCTCGCTCTTGGCCTTCCCTCTGCTGATCTCTCTCTCTCCTGCCTCCCCCCCCCCCCCCTTCAGCCTCTCTTCTCTCACTCCCACTCCTTGGGTTGCTCCCTCGGCTCTCTCCTCTCCGTTTCCCCTGACTTGTTTCTTTCAGCCCATGTATTTATCTCCCTTTTGACGTTTCTCTCATCCTTCAGCCTTCTCATTGGCCGGTCTCGTGTTGCATTCATTGATCTGTCAAGCGCCAGCTTCGCTCCACGCTCTCGGCCGCTCGCTCTCGAGGCCCTGCGCTCCTCCACCCCGGCTCTACCTGCACTCTTTCTCTTCGCTCCAGCGCCTTCCTCGCCACAATCCATTCGCAGCCATGAGCTCGTCGGAAGACGATACCCCGCTTGTCAAGGCGAATGGCCGCCGCACTGGTGAGTTCTTTTCGTCTGGTTCTCCTCACGCCTTTGCGCTTCCACCGCATACCTGGACCGTGGAATGTGTTACATTCATCTTATTGCGCCTCAACACACTCCGCTCGCCCTGAGTTTGTGAAGACTTACACTCTTTCTTGGTACTGCAGGTGCTCCTACGGACGTCAAGATGGGCGACGCGACAGGAACGAACGGCCATGTTGACCCCGGAGTGTCAATTCGCTTTGGTCCGGTCAAGGCCGCGAACGATGTTGATATGGCGGATGCGGATCCCCAGGCCGATGGCGCCGCCCCCAAGAGAAAGTCGCGCGCAAGCATCGGCCAAAGAAAGTCCTATGCTGAACCGGAGAGCAGTGAGGAGGATGATCAGCCCCTGGTACGCCAATGACCCTCGCGCCAATTCCTTCGTTCCCCCCCAATGTTGCGACGCTATTGCTGTCGCTGTCCGTTTCGGCGACTGACCAGTCGACAGAGCAAGCGCCGTCGCACGTCTGTGAAACATGAAGATCCGGAGACGGATGACGATGTGCCTCTGGCGCTCAATGGTAGAAAGCTCCCCAAAGCTTCCGAAACCGCCATAGGTGAAGAGTCCGACTCCGATGTCCCCATCGAAAGGAAGCTCGCCTCTCAGAAGAAGAAGATCCAACAAAAAGCGGAGAAGGACGCCAAAGCGAGCCGCAAGCCGGATGCTACGAAGGCTGCAAAGGCAGCGCCTAAGGCAATGGCGAACAAGAGACAGACGAATGGTGTGAAGAAAGAGCCTGTGGATGAGAAGCCTGCCGTCATCAAGAAAACGGCGAAGCACGTCCAGCTCAAGGGGAAGCCCGCGATACCCGCGCATGTCAAAAAGGCAGCCAGTGGAAAATCCACCCCAGTCAAGAAAGAGGAAAGTGAAGAAGCCGATGATGGCGAGGAAGAGGAAGAGTACAAATGGTGGGAAGACCCGACTAAGGGTGATGGGACGATCAAGTGGACGAGCCTTGAACACAATGGCGTTGTCTTCCCTCCCCCATACGAGCCGCTTCCTGGGGATGTCAAGATGAAGTATGATGGCATCCCCCTCACACTTCACCCTGATGCCGAAGAAGTGGCTGGCTTCTTCGGTAGCATGCTGAACGCGACTCAGCACGTTGAAAACCCAACCTTCCAAAAGAATTTCATGATGGATTTTCGTGACATTCTCAAGAAGACGGGCGGCGCAACTGACTCCAAGGGCAACAAAGTCGACGTCAAGGACTTTAAGAAGTGCGACTTCCAACCAATCTTTGCCTACTACGACATGAAACGCCTGGAGAAGAAGGCCCTGCCTGCTGCCGAGAAGAAGCAATTGAAGGCAGAAAAGGACGAGCAAGAAGCCGCTTTCATGTACTGCATGTGGGATGGCCGCAAGCAAAAAGTGGGCAACTTCCGAGTCGAACCGCCTTCTCTTTTCCGTGGCCGTGGTGAACATCCCAAGACGGGTCGCGTGAAAGCTCGGGTGCAGCCGGAGCAAATCACTATCAACGTCGGCAAGGATGCGCCTGTCCCTCCACCCCCGGAGGGCCACTCGTGGAAGGAGGTTAAACATGACCAGGAAGGCACGTGGCTTGCCATGTGGCAGGAAAACATCAATGGCAACTACAAGTATGTCATGCTCGCGGCCAACTCCGATGTGAAGGGCCAGAGTGATTTCAAGAAGTTTGAGAAGGCTCGTGAACTGAAACACCACATTGACCGGATCCGCAAGGACTATCAAAAGAACCTGAAGCACGAGCTTATGGTTGAGCGGCAAAAGGCCACGGCTGTGTACCTGATTGACCAGTTCGCCCTTCGTGCTGGTAACGAGAAAGGTGAAGACGAGGCTGAGACTGTGGGATGCTGCTCCCTGAAATACGAAAATGTCACCCTCAAGCCACCAAACAAGGTCGTCTTCGACTTCCTGGGTAAGGATAGTATTCGCTTCTATGACGAGGTCGAAGTCGACGCCCAGGTCTTCAAGAACCTGAAAATTTTCAAGAAGGCACCCAAGAAAGCAGGTGACGAGATCTTTGATCGGCTGACGGTATGTGTTGAGAACTCGTGCTTCAAGAAGGAAACTAATTCTGTAGACCTCCGCTCTCAACAAGCACCTGTCAGTCTACATGCAGGGATTGACTGCGAAGGTGTTCCGTACCTACAACGCTTCTCATACCATGTCTACGCTGCTCAAAGACATGAAAGCGACAGGTAATAATGCCGAGAAAGTGAAGGCCTACAATGATGCCAACCGTAAGGTTGCCATTCTCTGTAATCACAAGCGGACTGTTGCGGCATCTCATGCTGGTCAAATGGAGAAGATGAGCGAAAGGGTAAGATGACACTCGGTAAATCATGATTGACTGAGGCTAACAAACTTGCGATCACAGATCAAGGGTCTACGTTACCAGAAGTGGCGTCTCAAGCAACAGATGCTTGATCTCGACTCCGGCCTCAAAAAGAAGAAGGGCGCTAAGTACTTCGAAAGGGATGAGGATATGGATCTCGAATGGGTGAAGGAGCACCAGGCATTCCTCCTGGAGGAGCAGCGCCAGAAGATTCAGAAGAAATTCGAAAAGGACAACGAGAAGCTTGTCGCAGAAGGGGAGAAGGAGATGAAGGCCAAAGAGCTCGAGGAGCGTCTCCAGGTTGTTAAAGACATGGAGAAGAAGTTCAACAAGGAGAACAAGACCGGAAAGGTAGAAGCCGAAGGCAAGGGCCCAACTATCGACAAGATTGAAACCGCGATCGGCAAGCTCGAGCAGCGCGTTGAGAACATGGAGATCCAAGCGCAGGACAAGGAAGAGAACAAGGAAGTGGCCCTGGGAACATCAAAGATTGTGAGTTATGCCACCTCTCCGGTGATGACAGCCAACTAATCTGGACCAGAACTACATTGATCCCCGTCTCACGGTCGTGTTCAGCAAGAAGTTTGATGTCCCTATTGAGAAATTCTTCTCCAAGTCTCTTCGGGAGAAGTTCGAATGGGCGATCAAGTCCGTCGACGAGGACTGGGAGTTTTGATCTCGCCTCCCCGTCCGCTGAACCCGAAGCCATTTTGACGTCGTTGTACCTTTAGCTCTTTTCTTTTTTTTCCTTTTCTTTTTTTTTTTTTTTTTTTACGTCGGTGGGTAAATGGATTGTCGTCGCATTTTGGAGCCTTTTACTTTTCGCCTTTCACATCACTTCCACATCACAAAAGCTACATTTTCCCACCATTGCCATCGCCATACGCTTGCTTCGTTTGGACGAGAAGCAAGGCGCCTTACAATCTTGCCGGTTTGCTCCTACTTATCTTGAGTTGGTATTCTGTCTTGGTTTTTCTCTCTCTCTCTTGTTTTTAAATGTTCCAGAGCAGGGCTCCGTTGGCCTCTCAGATGACAGACACAAGACGCAAACGCAAAAAGAAATAAAATAAAAAGACGAAAGAGAGCCGTACCTAACAGCCAGCAGACGAATATATACAAATTTGCAGTTCATGCATTCAGATCAACAAGTGAAAACAATGAATCAATCGATCAGCAATAGATGGCTTGTTTTGCTAGTTTTGCATTCTGCAATTTGAAAGAATATCATACCTATTGAAGAGATTGGCATCTTGTCTGAGTCTGGAGTAGTTTGATGAGTAGTTTACTAGAGTTGTAGTAGAGGCGGACAACAACAACTCATGAAAGGGCCCCCTCCTCACCATCCAATATGGCCTTCAGTCATCAACTTGCCAACCCGCCCTGTGATAAACTCGATTTTTACGGAGTAGCAGTGCATAGATATTGCCTGAGATTATGTACATGACCTTCCAACGCCATAAATCGACACCGAATCCTAAAAAGCACCCTCCCTACCTACCTACCTACCTACCTACCTACCTACCCTAATAAGCCACTACAATCACAGGATCATCCATACACCTCTTCAGACTCAGACTCAGACTCAGACTCCGTATGACCGTCCAAAAAAAACCGCCACAGTTAATTTCATGACGCAGCTGCCCTTTCCTCTCCTTCCCATCTATCCTACCTAACCCCCAAATAAACCCGTCAAAGCGCCACCTCATCCAAAGCCCGCATCCACAGCGCCACGTGCGAACAGGCGAGAATCCATTTCGCTTTGGGGGTCCATTCGCCCGTTGCGAGTCGGATTAGCAGGGCGAAGATATCGCCCCAGAAGAAGATGAGGAGGAGGAGGTTTTTCGTTGTGGTCATTTTTGGTGGGAGTTTTGGGTTGGCTTAGTTGGTGGTGGTGGTGGTGGATAGTAGATATTTTGAGTAACAGTAAGGTGGATGTGGGTGGTGAGGTGCAGCGGTGAGGGTAGATATAATAATATTGTGTGGTTGGTTGGTAGGTAGGTAGGTAGGTAGGTAGTGTTTGGTTTGGAGATGGATGATGGGTGTTGAGTGGGGAGGGTGGGAGGGTAAGTTGTTTTATTTCTTCACGGGTTGGGAGGGAGGGATGGATGGATGGATGTATCTTTCGATGAATCGATGGTGTCTATCTATCTATCTGCCACTATACTTAGTTAACTATACCGGCGCTACTTATGGTACTGTAGCAACGTTAGGGCTCGCTAGCTAGCTAGCTAGCTGCCTAGCTAGGTGCTGGATGGGATCGATCCACCCACACCCAACCAACCCATGAGGGGGCCACTGGACGAGGGAAAGCTTTACGGTACCTAGATACCTAGATAGATAGATACGGTGCCTGGCACTTGTCTACTATATTCATTTGACTGTGGGTGATTGTAGATGGGTAGGTAGAAAAAGCTGGGTTCTGGTCTGGGACTGTATGCTTATGCTTGGGGGAATCGGATGGGTTTCTGGGAGGGGAGTAATAGACACCGACCAATATGACCAATATTGTTTTACAGTTATCAGGTGTGGAGTGTGGCGGCCAAGCCTTTTTTTTTTTTTTTTTTTTTTTTTTTTTTTTTTTTTTTGTTCTTGAATCTGGATACATTTGAATAATACTATTCAGGATAGTTAAATAATATGGAACATCTTGACTTTACCTGTGTAGGATCCTGTCAAACCCACCTTGGTAAGTAGAGAAAATTGCCTGAAATATAGTTAGGGCATTAGTCTAACTACCTGTACCACCAAGACAGCATTGCGAAATTGCAACTAACATCATCCAATACAATCAACACATGATATATACATCGTCAAAACAACTAGTTAGCCTACCTACCTACCTACCTTAGCCCTGCTCACCCGGATGAAGAAACCTGCCCTAACGGTGACCAGACGATCAACGGCTTCCAACCCTGGACCCTTCACCCTGAAACCCGTTCCTGATTCCAATTCACACCACATATATACTAGTACAGATAAAATAAACCCCTCTCTTAATCATCCCAATTCCAATCCCATTCACGTCCGTGGGTTCGTATCCCTGCCTGTGCCCGTATCCGAGATGCATAGTACTGTAATTGTATCTGTATACCCTGCAATGCAATGCGATGCGATGCAATGCAATGCAGCTTTCCTTCCCGACAGAATGGAATCATTGAACGCGTGTATCGGCAACTTGTCTGCTCTCTCACCTTCCTCCAGTCACCATTGGAGATAGATCAAAAATAGAACAGATCGAATCGAATCGAATCGAAAGGATGTATATACTTAGCTCATCTGCACCGCTCAGAGACTGTCGCATGTCGCATGGGATTCATACTCAATTGAATCGGACTCCATGATTTTATAAGAGGAGGGCGGTTGATGGATACAGTGTAAACGAAATGTACCGTATTTCGTACTATGGGGTATCTAGTACTCCGTATTATGCTGGGAAAACTGAAAAGATGCATGATCATGCATGATCAGTAATGGGATGGATGGCTTGGCGCGCCAATGGCAGTGCAGGGCTGCTGAGTCCTGACAGGTGCAGGTGGAGGTGGAGGTGGAGCCCTGGAGGTTTGGGGGGGGGGGGGGGTGGGTAGATAAAGTAGGTTGGTTTCACTGCCTGGGTCTGCCAAGTACCATCTGGTTAGATGGTGGTTACACTTACAGTAGCCCTAGATGGCATGGCATGGCATGCAGTACGCACAGATGCTCGGGACTTGGGTATTTGCCTATCGTTGGATGTTTCGGGTAGGTTGGGGTAGAGAAATTAAGTAAAGTTGTTAAGTAAGGTGCACGGGCTTATGCAGTCCTTATCAAAATGGAACAGGGACGCTTTAAAGCAGGCAGCACGCTTGGAGTAATGTAGTATGTATTGGTTGGTGTCTTCGAGACTACTCCTCAATGTGGATGGATCATTGGTGGTATGGATTGTGTACCATTCATTTACTTCTAGATCTGGAAACACAAGATAGATAACAACCCAGAAGTAGCCCGTAAATAGATTCTCTATCTGAAAACCGAGTGATACTATGGTTATACTGCATGATGAGTTCTGTCATGCCTCGTCGATGCGGAGATGAAGTAGAAGTACAGAGGAGGAGGCACAGAGGTACAGAGGTCCAGAGAGCAGACATCCATACGCAATCAGACGAGTGGAATTATAGAAACAAAAAAGGGACCAGGAGAAGTGTTCACGGACAGGCTCAACCCATCCATATGCAGTGCAAGAAATTTCAAGTAGTCTAGATGTGAATCATGTTCATAATCAATCAGATGGAACATTCAACCCAGCCAGCCATAGAAGAATGTTAGACAAAAAATATATATATCGAACATACCAGTTGCTCAAGAAGGAAAACCCAGAGACTCAAACAGAATATTACACGTAAAGGCAGAACGGCCCGTGGTATACAACATGTGAACTGGAGATGAGGGGACGCCGATGCGACAGGTCTATGTGCTTTTTGCCAGAAAGCCAGGTCAACTCCGTAACAGCAGTCGGAGAGGTCGTCAGTCCGGCTGCTATTAATAACTCTCTGGCAGAGGAGGTTGGGTCGAGAAGGTGACGCAGAATATCACGGCCACCTCGTCTATGGCCACCAGCCCATTCGCTGGTAGCTGTCCACCATGGATCGCACGGCATCAGCGTTGAAGCGCTCCCGGGTGGGCTTCCACTCCGTGGTCGTCTCGAAAAGCGTGCCGTCAAGGGACATGTCTTGGTCCTTGAGCACGTCCCGTTCCAGGAACGGGCTAATGGGCCCTGGCCGTTCGATCTTCTTCTCTTCAAGTAGATCGGCCCATCCCTGCAAGCATTCCTCGTTCATGTCGTCCACAACATCATCGAGGTTCAATTTCGCAAGCTGAGATGCCAGAGAACCAAGGAACTCGCACTTGAGCTGGAACACCTCCGACAAGGCTTGAGCAATATCCTCTTGGCGGGTGTCGCCATGGTCGACCACATTGAAGGCAGTAGGAGCGGATCCGTCTGTCGGAGCCTTTGCCCTCCATTCCGCGGCTTTCCATAAAGCACTCGCGGCATCTCTAACGTAGAGTGTGTTGATCTTCAGATCCTTGGTGTAAAGAAGCTCCAGATTCTTCTGCAGCTCTAGGTGGACGCGTGCCAGGCAGATGCCCATCGCAAAGTAGCCCGAGTCGTACTCGCCGTAAACGTGGGGCAGGCGAAGCAGCACGTAGTTCAGACCCGGGATTTTTTGCAGCTCATCGCTAGCCTTCATCTTCCACTTGGCCAGCTTATGCCATGGCTGCAGTTTGTCATCCTCCTTGCGCTTCCCTGAGCCACCTTTGTAGACGTGGGCGGTCGAGCACTCGACGAAGGAGCGGATGCCTCGACGGGCAACCTCACGGCCCAGGGCAACGGCAAGGGCGTAACTGCGGACCTCGTAAACATCATCGGGCTGCGAATGCCTTGTTTCACCACCGCAGTTGATCACATAGTCGAACTGTTCGCCGTTGGCACGGTCAAAGATACGGGGGAAGTGCTCTAGGAATCACCAAGACAAGTTAGCAAATCACTAGGACGATTATCTGCCAAAAAAAAAAAAAGAGATTGCCACTCACGTTCGCGACTAGCGTCGGCCTGGACGAATTTGTCTTTTGAACAAGCTTCCTGGAACTCAGGGGCCAACCATGCCAGCTGGGGGAGGACCTTGTCCACTAGCCGGACCTCCGAGGCCAGGTTGTTTTCATGCAGATAGAGAGCGAGATGACGACCGATGAATCCTACAGGAGATTAATCCCAGATTAGTGCTGAACATGAGGTGACGGTTCTGTGAGCAACCCGGGGGGGGGGGGGGGGGGGGGTGTTGCATACCGAGACCGCCAACAATCAGGACGGCCGGCTTTTTGCTCTGGTCGTCGGCCATTGTGGAATGTGATAAATATTGAAAGGGAAAAGATGACAGGACCACCCGGTGGTACTTTCTCGTCGGGACGCCTTGATGCAATCAGTGGGTAGCTGGCAGTCTTGACACCCCGCACCCGAGCACAAACAAATCGAAGAATGCGGGGAGAGGAAAAGGGGGAGGGGAAGCCGGAAGGGCGGGCAGGTAAGGGAGGGAGAGGGATGATGTAGCCTCGCAGGAGGGGGGCGGTAAACGGCAGACGGCAGACGGCAGACGGCAGACGGGTGGAAGCTAATCGAGCAGGGGGGGGGGGATGATGAATGAGGGAAAGAGGAAAGGGAGAGAAACAGAGGCACTGAGGAAGATGGAGGAGGAATGAGGAATGAGGGAGGATGGAGGGTGGATGGATGAATGGGGCGCCGATGCTCCTTCGGGATTAAGCCATTATTTATCAGAATCACCTGCTCGCCGTCGCCGTCCCTCCCTTTGTCCTTCCCTCCCAGTAATCTGGATGGAGGCAAATGATGGCTGCACTATCTACTTGACCGTTTCCACTCTCGTCACCACCACCACCATAATGGAGAAGTTTCGGTATTTCTCAGTAGCCTATCTATCTATCTACTCTCTGGATAGGTTTAGTATCGAGATACACTACCTAGATACTTACTAACACACACATGAAGAATACTGACGGTCACTGATGCATTCCAGATTCCAGATGCGATCGATCAATCATGCGGTTCCTGCATCCGGCCATCATATTCTTTCTTCCTTTGTCTCAACGAGGCTAGCACCGGTTCCCCCCCCCCCCCCCTCCCCCCCGATCTACCGTTTACTTACCTATCTTACGGACACCATTCATCCGCCCAGAATCTCCTGCATCGTGCATACAGCCATATACAGTAGGTAGATAGATGACATCTATCTACCTATCTACTGAGTTGTCCTGCCCAATGGAACAGAGGGTCCTGAACACCCTCATCCTCCCGAACGAACTCCGTTAGCGCGGCATCTAGAAATTTCGCCCGCCAGCAACAAGTGGGCCACCCTCGTACAGACGACAAGAACGAACTGGGAAAGAGTTAAGTCTCCGCGGGACACCCGACCAAGGGCGACAAATCGATTCCTCATTTCCTCCCCTGCCAAGCGCGCGTTGTGGGACGTTTTCCTTTCTTCAGGGACACCGTCCGATCATAGTTCCGCCTCCAAGTGGGGGGTCGACTGGCCTAGGAGGGGGAGGATGGATACGCTGGAAATTGCCGGTGGTTCCTTTCGGATTACCACTGGGATTCGAACAGAACACACCGGGAGGTGTGCTACACACCACTGACTCGTCACGAACAAATCCCAAGGTTCGACAACGAGGCACAAAGCAGCTGGAAGTGGGATCTCCCGTGTGCTTGAAACGGAGAACGCAATTATTCTTGGCTGGGATCATCCACAGGGAATAATAATCGAATGAATGATCTGCGTCTCATATTACGAGTCAGGGCTGGTGGGTATTATTTTAAGATTATTGTTGTGCGTCGGGGCGGACAGTTCCTGTTGCGCATAGCTTCGGCACTTGCCATACCACCACCACCACCATCACGGAATTCCCCAAGTTCTCTCTAGAGATAGATAGAACACATCTGCCCGATCCGCTTGTGGCAATTGCAATTATGCTATGAGGGGGATGGCGGGGGAAAAAAAAAGGCAAAGCCCGTTCAGGGTCGAGGAAGTCGAGGAGTGGCTGGGAATTCCAAATGTGCGACTGCTGTCGGGACTCCGGAGCCCAACTGATCGGACTCGCCCCATATCCTGCCGGATTCAGACAGCTGCTAAGCTGCCAAGCTCCCGATGACGCCTTCGCCGACCCCATCGTATCTATCATGGAGGCCAGCAATCGACAGGTCTGGAGATGGGACTCAACAAAAGAGAGTCGGTGTACGGCTGTACTTACGTACCACCAGTCGCACGGCATCGGGAATCTCTCGGGATCTGAGAGATTGACGTCAAGACCTGCCCGTTTATTCTCCGACCTTGGGTATCCTTCCCCAGGCGATGTGCTTCTTGTTCCATGGACCGTGGCCGATCATCAGCCCGTGGTTCGTGCTAGGCTTCGATCCGGACTATCTACGTGGAATCAACCTATCTGTCTGTACTCTGTAGTCAACCTGCGCGTAGCGAATTTATCATGAATTAGGATGAATTAGGTGAGTTAGACACTACGATGGCCCAGCAGAACCAATTCTTGGCCCGCAGAGTTTATACATGAGGCTGTGGCGACAAAATTTGGGGGCATTCCCACATAGTAGTTATCAGAGTGGGATTACTGTGAGATTCAAAGTGGATGGGATGTCTGTTTACTGCTCTTGGGTAGAATCATATATTTGGCGAAGAAAAGCGCTGAGCTTGTAAGGGAGAGGGGATATGTATATGATGTGTAGTATTGGATCGTTAAATACTAGCTACAGTCTACTTGCGTGCAGTAGTAGGAATTGTTATTATTTATATTAAGGTAGTTTATATTAAGGTAAGAAGACTTCATACTACTACTTTTTTATTATTTTTCTAAATTTCCTTGTTTACTATACTATATACAGCCTTCTGAATGAATTGAACCCACTTTTAGCTATATATTGATCAGAGAGTCCTCAAACTTCCCCATACTACTACTTTATACTATATAGTATATATAGTCAACGCTAAATAAATCCCAGCTTAAGATTATGATGATCATTTGATACTTTAACATCGATTGATCTACTGTATTTGTCAGGATTGAAGTTATTCGCATCGGCCCATTCACCTTTGAAGCCAATACCTACAGACGTATAAGTCAGAATAATGGCCTGGACTCTATAACACCTAGCCAGTCAGTAAAAGATATGCTATTTCTTCCTGAAAATGGTGATGGTCCTTACGATATCCAGCGGTCAGATGAAAGCTATCTTGAATATTAGTCTAAGTTGATTCACATAGAGGCGAGTTTCCTACCGGTCTGGTTTATGACATGACAAATGATCCTTTTCACCACCCCAGGGGATTGCCAAGGTCCTGTTTGGAGTCATCATGGCTTCACAGGGGCCTGTCCGAGAGAGTGAATCTCTTGTAATCATGCTTCGGATATTCGAGATCGCCATTTCTCCGTGTAGATTTCCTATATCGACATGTTTGGTATACGCTTATTTTCTGGATATCCTCGACAGGACAGTCTTCCACGCTCTACAGTTCTACCGGTTGCATCCATATTCTACTAGCTAGCACTTCTCCTTCTACTTGCTCAATTCCCATGGGCGTTGACTTCGCTTGGAATTGGTTTGACCCCGCCCAATCCCTCTTCACTGGCAACAGGCTGGCCGTCTCATTCACTTCGCTTCTGCTCCCGACTCTGGTCTATATAAACGCCTCCCTTCCCACCCTTTCCTCTCTTTTCTTCCTCTTCCTCTTCCTCTTTCACTGTACGCACCTCGCCTTCCCCCCTCTCCAACTGGCCCCTGCCACTGACTACTACCTCTCCCCTATTCTCGCTCCTCCTTCACACGTCCCTTACATCCCCTACATCCGCCCCCCCCCCCCCCCCCAGTCCCTTCAACATGTCTGGACTCGCCTTTCCTCCACTGCCCTCCGGCAGCGAGGAGAGCGACACCTCAGAAACCGACAGCAGCGTCGAGGAAACCATGAAGGAGCTCCTCGACCGCGGATACGTCAAGGCCTCATGGCTCGACCGTCAGTTCTTCTTTTTCCTGGACATGAAAGAAGAGCACGGACGCGAGCTCCTGAACAATCTGAAAGAGTTCGCCGAGACGCGCGGGTACGACTGGGGCGAGATGGCAAAGTTCGAGCACGAGAGACGCTCCTGCGCTCAGCTGTTCATGAACGAGTACGGCATGACGTATTGGGGATTTCCGGGCCGACAGAAGTATCTCCGTCAGGAGTGCCTGGATAATGAGGAAAGCCTTTGTACTTATCCGGCCATGAGAGAGGAGTATGTCCTGCTATCTATCTATCATCTTGATGAGGGTGGGGATTGACGGACTGATGACTGCAGAATCACCCGGACTCTTGTGATTTTGCTCGAGCGTAAATCCAAGGGCTACGCACACAAGGCGAAGGTGAGCTATCAGGTCTTCGGGAGATATAGCCGGGGAGGTTTCTTTCTGTTACTGTGGTCATTCGTCATAGGTCAAGTCAATCTCTAACAGACCATGCCAATGCTGACGTGAATGTGGAATATGAATGTGATATAGCCAACCACTCAGACCCCTGCCTCCGAACCGATGGCTAAGACGACTCCCCTCCCCGGATCAATCAACAAAGAGACGCCTGGATCGTACGTTCCAAAGCACGCTGATCGCAAAGGGAAAAGAAAGTCGGCCGCGATGGCGGTGGAAGACGAGGATTACGCCCATGCCTCGGAAGAGCAACCAGTATTCAAGACACCGCGCACCCGAGCCATCACCAACGCGATCAAGCCATTCCGTGCATGCCTCAGCTCCGAGTCAGACCCCGATTTCGATTCCGCGCCTCTGAAAAAGACTCCCGGATCTACCAATACCAAGGCCAAGAAGCTCGAACCCAACAGCAACACCAAGCCCGACCTCAAGAAACCCACCCCCAGAAGCAGAGCCTGCAGAAGCAAGGACCCCAGAAACCCCCAAACCCCTCGAAATCAACATCCCCAAACAAACCCACACCCAACCCTCCCCAGCCCCAAAGAAGAACAGCCTCGACATCCGCTCCAAACCCATCCCCACGCCCACCCCGGACAAAAAGGCCAAAGACACCACCACCATCAATAACAACACCCTCCACCGCTCCTCCAAAACCAAGTTCCTCGTCACCGCCAGCTCGCAGGAGATGATGGCCCCGGTGTGGCTTCCCTACGAGGATTTCACTCGAGCGGATGATTTCGTGGACACCATGGCGCAGCAATACGGCCTGATCGAATGGAGTCCTGCGGCGCAGCTGAGAGAGAGTACCATGTACCATCACCTTGCCACTTCGGGCTCAGCAGCAGCAGCAGCAGCCGCCGCCGCCACCATTGTAGCGGCGTCTGTCAAGTTCGGATGGTCGGACTTCGAGACCCTCGTGCGTCGGGACAAGGATCAGGATTGGAAGTTTGTGAAGGCGGAGTTGAAGAAGGCGTGGAAGGCGGAGGGGGTGGAGTCGGGTTCGGGTTCGGGTTCGGGTTCGGGTGGTATTTTCAAGATCTATGTCAAGCTTCATGTTTCGTGACTGTCGTGGAACGGGGGATTCTGGACGTGACGTGACGTTGACGTTGAATTTGAAGATAAAACCAGATGGAGACGAGGAGATGAGGATAACATGCGTTGTGTTGTGTTGTATTGTCGCTCTGCTTTTGGGTAGACGTGGCAGCTTTCTTCGAGGGCAAAAAAAAAAAAATGGAACCTGGATGGCGGAGAGAGTGAGTGAGAGAGAGTCTTATCTATCACTGTAGACTGACTGACTGCCATGTACAGATTATCAACCATGACCCATGAATCATAACCCATGACCCATGACCTATTGAATGGGCCTCATATAAAAGCAGACAATGGACATATCTATGTAAAATAAACCACGAAATATAGACTATATACATAAAGTCTATAAACCACATGGTCATGGATAGTCGATTGATGATTCCCATCTCTGATCCAGGTTCTAGCGCCAAAATTGCAAGGAATCGTTGCCAGAATAACCTGTACCTGACGGTTAGATATCACAGGCACAGGGCTAATACTACATAGTATCATACACATGTCCTCTAGATATAGATAAAAGAAAAATATATATATATAAAGGCTGGGCTACTTAATTATAATAATAATAATTGCTGCCGCTGCACGCCATCAGATAGTAGTAGCTGGTATACAATCATCCACCACTACATCTCGCACACGCATCCACTCCCCCTTCCAATCTACACGACAACGCGAACAAGACATGATTCATAGTCATTATAGCTAACTATCAGTCTGAGCAACAGGTCGAGCCTGACATCAGTCAAGCCCAGCCCGGCCCAGCCCGGCCCGGAGGGCACAGCTCCAGCACGCTTACATACAAATATTAAGAAGGTCCTCTCTCCGTCCGCAAGAGCAAGAACCGACCTCAGACACGAGAAGCCACACCCACACCCACACTGTTCATTCATCTTCATATTCATACGGCCATCACTCAGCACCAAGACACTTGAGGGAATTCCTGAGTTCTTTGATCGCCGTGTCGACGTCATCGAACGTCAATGCCGAGACGGCCCAGCGCGCGTGTTTCTGAGCAAGAGCGATGGTCTGGTCGTCGACTGGCTGCGACTTGGCCTGGCTGGACCTTGAAGGGACAGGAGCAGGCGCGGGTGGTATGGGCGACGGGATACTTGGCGGTGTTGGGCGGGTGACCACAGGGACTGTCGTTGAGGGAGACTGTACGAAGGGAGGGGGAGGGAGCGCGGGGCTGGCGGTAGGTTTGCTGTAGAAGAAGCCTGCGTCATGAGAGGCCACGGACGGACTGGGAGGCGGGATTGAAGACGGGGGAGGGAAAGAGTGGAATGAATCAGAGCGCTCCTCGGCAGGCTTTGCGCCAATGTCGGCCGGCGTGTCGGGGAAGTTGGGCACGGAGGTAGACGAGGAAGAAGCGAACGTATTCGGCGCGGAGGGAAGATTCAGCGGTGAATCGCCCTCCTCGTTCGGGGAAGTTGGTTCTGAGCTGTATCGCGCAGCGGGGGCGTCGGATAGAGCAGTTGGAGGCTCCGGCAGCAGAGGGGGTGATTGCGATGGCTGTAAAGCCTCGTCGGGGATCTCTTCGACCGACGGTTGCTTTGGCTGCGCAGCGGACGGTCCGACAATGGCCTGCACTTCCGGGTCGTCCTGGCTTGTTTCTATGCCTCCTTCCTCGTCCTCATCCTCCGCAGTCACCGGGTTGGACGCGTTGGGATCTTCTCCGGCCTTGATGGCCTTGATAATTCGCACCGCATGATACTTGGAGAATTTGATCTTCGCCGCAATCTCAGGTTCCAGGGGGTTCCAAATCTGACACAGTTCGAGAAACGTCGCTGCGGCCTGGAATGTATCTGCTGTCTGCCTGAAAGTCGACCAGTCAGTCCCTCACTCAGTCCAATAGTCCAATTCAAGGGGGCGCAACCTACTTCGTCACCTTGTCGGCCTTCATGGTCGCCTCCGCCTTGCCCAAGATCTCCAGCCCAAACTGTTCCACGTAGGCATTGGCCGCCACCGCATCCATCACGGCATCGTTGTCTGCATTCTGGCTCTTGAACTGATTCCAGGCACGGGATGTGTAAGCCTCTGGATGGTGTCCCAAAATATCATATCGCAAAGGGGGCCCTGCGCCCAACATACCTCTTCCAGTTTGTCCACCAGGTCCGTTGTGTATAGCTTGACCTCGTCGTCGGAAGTGTGTAGGCCACGCTCGATAATTTGGTTCACAATCCAGAAGTTACCTGATATAAACAGTGGCCCCTGGTCAGCTTGGGCTGCTTGCGTTCCAGACAGGAGCACGCGGATGAACAGGACTCACACCAATAAGAAATGACAGGCTTGACGCGTTCCAGCTGAGCTGCCCTCAGGGCATATCGCCCAATGTCTGCAGATCGCAGGCTAGCCGGGATGTTACTCGCCATGGGGGAGATTGGGTGGGACGGTCAGGTCCGGCGGGAGGGGGATGAGCTGCGCAGGGCAATGGTTGGGTTGCAGGAGAGGATGCGCGATGCAGAGCGGGGATGACGTTGGAAGTGGAACGGCGCCGCGGGAGGTTTTAGCGTCCCTTCCGAAAACACGGAGATAAGGCGGACGGAGAGTGCCGAGTGCCACTTTCACTTTCACTTTCACTTTCTTTTGACTTGATTTTCATTGTTTTTAGTTCTACCTTGAGATTGACTTATTTATGCTTAGCGTTATTAAGATCACTTGCTCCCGCTGTTCATGGCAACTCCCTCACAGCACACCCTGCTGTCATGCATCTTCAACAATCCATTCCCCAATATTCACCCTCTCTTCAGCCAACGCTTCCACTTCGAAATGATCCTCTACCTGTCCTCCAGGCCCTCCAATCCTCTCGATGACAATCCACGCTCCACCCCGGCTCTCAAGACCTGGGGGTAGATTGAAGTCTTCGATGCGCACTCCCGATATGGCATCGCTGTGGTTTCCATCTTCGGAGGTAGCCAAGATTTCTTTGTATGGCCCCTGGCCGAGTTCTACCGTCATCAGCGTGGGGGATGGCCCAACAGCGCGATTCCCGATCGTTGACTGTCGGCTTCTTCCAATTAGCTTGATTCGTGTCAATCGCGGTGTGTCCAACGATGCCAGCATCCGATCTCTTCCAGGAGTCATGACACCAACATCTGATATGACTGCTCGTCTCCCGGCCGATTCTGGCGCAAGCGGCTTGACGTTGCACGGAATTGAGGAAGAAATCCAAAGGGTGAAACGCCCGAGTTGGTCCGGGGCGAAGGTAGAACAGACGATAGTATACAGCCCGTCTTCCAGATTTCTTTTCTCCGCGACGCAGCCGCCACGGCGGTAGTCGCCACTATCAATTATAAGATCACGGTTTCGGACCCTAGACACGCGCTGTCCCTTGGACCAAAACAATTTCACATGGGTAGCGAGCTCTGGATCTGAGGGTTCAAGCAGAATCGAAAGGTCAGTCGCATCATGAATCTCTAAACTGAACTGCGGGTTGAAAGGGTATCGAGCAGACTCAGCGTTTCCTCCTGCGGTGGAAGGCATCCATGACCCTTGACTCTTTGTTACGCAACTGTATTTGTTCTGGGCAGGCGCTACAACAACTGGAGCCGAAGACAACACGGATAACGTAAAGTTTTGGCTCGCAGCGGGCAATGACTGCTCAGAAATCACAACAGTGTATGTCATTTTTGGGGGCATTTCCAGCCTCATGAGAGTGTTTGGCGAGTCAACGTAGGGTCCGCGGTGGAGAGCACCATCACTCAATGCGACTCGTTTCCCATTCGCGTTGAACACATATATACTGATGAAACCTTGCTCCTCGATGTCATCCAGTAGGCTTGGGTGGTCAATCGTCTTGAAATGCTTCCCAAGCAGCAGCCATACATTACCTCCAGTCTCGGTAGTCACGGAAAACTGGGGGTTCTTTGCAAAGCATCCCGCTACTCCTCTCGCCGTCGACAGATCCCACGTAAAGTGAATGTCCTCCCGGTATCGGAAGGTTGCGGGGTTCCAATTCAGATAGAGATTTTCGAAATGTTGAAGGACGCTTTCACAATCCATCCAAAAGGTTCCAGGGAAGGAAGAGGACGAATTGTGGGGCATATCTGTCAGTCCGAACCGGTTCGCGATGTCTGCGACCATGGTGTCGTCCCCTGCCCACGGGTTCTTCACAAGAATCTGGCGGCGATCCCTCTGCTCTCTCATATCCAATATCGCATAGTCATGTTCACTCACAAGACCTACTTCTTTCTGCTCTCTCTCGGTCAGTCTCCCGGTGCCTATCGTCAACAGCACGTCGCCCTTGCGGAATGGCTTGAACAGACGTCTCCAGAGTTGCTCTGCAGTTACATCATCGTCGTGTAAGAAGACCTGCTCTGGAATCCAACCTGTCAAAACCCACAAGTCTGTTCCGGAATTGCTCCCAGGAAAGTCGTAGCCTCCACGGATCTTTAGATACGCTTTTTCCACAAAAGCAGGCCAGAGAAAGTTAGGGTTATTTCGATCAACAACATGGAGTGATCTTGATGTTTTGGATGCGGGTAGACGGTCATCAATGATCACTTTCCTGAAGCATCCATTGAAATAGAATCGGAATATGTATTTTCCTGACGGTGAAAATTTTGGCATGACCTGTCCATATTCACAAGGAAACGCTAGGGGGAGATGGCTCTGATACTGTTAGACCCATATCTTCGGGGGATGTCCTGTTAGGATGCTCTGTACCTTGTCTAAACCCCGTTCCGACCGTGATGTAGCAGCACAAAGGCTAGCAACCACAGAGCAGTCTGTCAACATATCTTGAACAAGATCTATTTTCTCTGAGACGGACATCACAGGGACTATAGGCTCGTTTGCTTCGCCCGCATGCTTGGACAATAGCTCAAGAGGCCGTTCCCATCCTGCGAGCACGCTCTTCTGCAGCTCGGATAGATGAAGATCAGGTTTATCACTAAGCCCAGTCAGTAGATGATATTTATCAAATGAGGCCTTTAATGCTAGGAGTGAGGGTCTGGGTCCAAGTTAAATCAACATACGTAAACAGGTTCTCGTCATCCTGCTTGAAATCCTCAGGACTTGGGACACTTCTCCATGGCGGAAAGATAAATCCATTTATCTTTGCACTCTCAAGTAGAATGATTTCCTCACGCGTGGTGAGTTTCCGAGTGGGTTTAGGTAACCGTGACAAGAGGCTTCTTTCGTAGGCATATATCACAGCTTGCCAGTCGTCGGCCTCTTTTATCTTTTCTGCTCGCGCGAGCCAGTCATGACATTTGGAATCTAGTGACTGTCTGTCAACTAGGCTGGTGGCCAAGCTGAGCGCTTTCATGTAGTGCTCAGCCGCGTCGATGGCAGCTTCGAGGGCTTGCTCCTGGGAGGTGGCTCCAGATACATCGCGTTCAGCTTTCTAGCTACGGGTCAGTGACGGGGATAGGTGAGACGAGAGTAAAAGGAGATCAATACCAGGGCCTTGGTGATTGATATCTTTTGAGCGGCAGCGTTAGACCTGGACATGCTGGCCCAGGAGGGGAATAGTGTTCAAGAATGCCGAAGAGGGCCGTGATATCTCCGAGAGTGACATCCGAGGTCAACCGCCACTTGAGTAGCCCGGACCCAAAATCGGGGAAGGAACGTGCACGCCCAGGTTATTGGATGGTCGGTGGCCCAGCTCTAAGAGTGCGGATGACAAAAGAGGGGAGCTCCAGGCCAGCCGGGTCAAACAACAAGAACAACAATTATTAACGCGGGCGCGAAGCTACAACAGCATGGAGGGAGGGTTAGATAGTAGTGATGGATCGGAGGTAGCGTCGCGTGTCAGTCGGTGGGGAGAGACGGGCAGTGGTGCTAGTGTGTTAGCGGTGTTAGTCCCAATCCGATAACGATCAACGGGCCGGCCATCGGACCGAGGCTTCTTTGCTCCTTTCGTCATGCGCACCCTGGGAACTCTGCGCGCCGAGGTTCACAGCAGATAGATCCCTGTCCGGCTCTCTGCCTCTCTGTCTGTTCGCATTTTACCATGCACTCAATATTCTTCTGCTTTTGATCGCCCACACTCTTTCAGTAGTGGGATTGTTCGCTTCTTCTCCCCGTTGCGACCGAGTCGTTGAATCGTCTTTCCTTCTTACGCAATATTAATTTATACGACAAGGTGTGAGCTCTCGGCTCTCCTGGAGCCCCCCCCGCTCCGAGTACTCGCACATTATTATCCCGCACCGCCAGTCCACCTACTTCATTTTGTCGCTTTCACTCTAGTCGATCATATCTCCGTTCAAATATTACCTGGCTTGCACTTTACGTCTCCTTTTAATTCGGATCATCGAAAGCAGTGTCGCCTACACTAATAATGGCCGGTCAATCGAAACCCACCCTCTCTCCCTGGGGGACCGCTGTTGCAGGCGCAACAGGGGCAGTCCTAGCAAATGCCATGGTCTACCCTCTGGATCTGTACGCATATGCCTTCTTCGACCCTACATTGGAAGATGCGATACACTAATGTACCCAATCCGAATCGTTAGGGTTAAAACGAAGCTTCAGGTCCAAGTGAAGAGTTCCAGCGAGACAAAAAGCGAGGGGTCCAAGGAGACTGTTCACTACAAGTCGACTTTGGATGCCATCAACAAGATTGTCGAGAAGGAGGGAGTCGAAGGTCTTTATTCCGGAATCACCGGCGCGCTGCTAGGCGTGGCGTCTACCAACTTCGCCTACTTCTACTGGTACTCCGTCGTGCGAACTCTCTACATGGCATCCGAGAAAGTGCCCAAGCCACCCGGTACTGCCATCGAGCTCTCCCTCGGCGCCGTGGCCGGTGCAGTCGCCCAGATCTTCACCATCCCCGTTTCCGTCATCACCACAAGACAACAAACACAACCCAAAAGTGAGAAGAAGGGTCTCATTGACACTGGAAGAGAGGTTGTCGACAGTGAGGACGGCTGGTCGGGTCTCTGGAGAGGGCTCAAAGCCAGTTTGATCCTGGTAATCAACCCCGCAATCACCTACGGTGCCTACCAGCGCCTGAAGGACATCCTGTTCCCCGGCAAGAACAGCCTGAAACCGTGGGAGGCTTTCCGTAAGTAGTCCCCTGAATGCCTCTCCAGTCCCCGGTATTGATGTTCCCCACAGTTCTAGGTGCTCTCTCCAAAGCTCTGGCCACGATCGCGACTCAGCCTTTGATTGTGGCCAAGGTCGGTCTTCAGTCCCGACCCCCCCCGGGTCGCGAAGGAAAGCCCTTCAAGACCTTTGGGGAAGTCATGCGGTATATTATTAAGAACGAGGGGGCCCTGTCCTTGTTCAAGGGTATTGGACCGCAGATTGTGAAGGGACTCCTAGTACAAGGCCTCCTCATGATGACCAAAGAGAGGTATGTTCAATTATCCGTTCGCGGCAGAACATCGCGCACTAACAGATACCAGAATCGAAATCAGTTTCGTACTTCTTTTCGCATACTTGCGTAAACTCCGGCAGCAGAAGCTCGGAAAGGTCGTGGACTCTGCAGCCTCGTCGGCCAAGGCTAGCCTTCCGGCAACTTTGAAATAGACGCATACAATCCCCCTAGACACGCTAATTACTACCGACACTTCTACTAACACGAGTTTCTTTCTTTTCTTTCGGCGCACTGGCTGTGGGGTGTGTCCTCTTTCATGTACCGGGCTGACGACCGAGGATTGTTGTCTATACATTTTGGCAGCATGACGTTTAGAACACATATGTTTACATATAACTAGTAACCCCAGGGTGGATATCTGCAATGTGAATCATGATCTATCAGCTGGCCCTATGACTGAGAGATTCCCCTAGAATACCAACCATCATAAGAAGCCCACCCCAAAATCCGTAGAAGTTTCATGTGAACCCAAATTTCAGGTCTCACGACTCCTCCGAGTCCGGAGTGGATATGAAACGGAGATCGGAGATATACACAGTACACAGTACACAGTAACTACCGTACTGACCGCCAACTTTCACCTCGGCAACATCACGACCCGCATCGCATAAACACCATAAATCCACCCACCTCTCCTTTCATAGTAGTCATACAACAATTCCTCCCTCTCACCCAACAACCTCCCCGCCCAACCAAAAAAGCTCTCTCCCTGCCTGCCTGCCTGCCTGCCTCCCTTCCTCCTCTCTCCGAACCGACTCAAAACAGGGCATGAGCCGCCATGCGATGGCCGCCCTGGTTCACCCACGAACCCGAACCCCCCCCAAATGACACACAAGCCCCCCTAACCGACTGGCGGGCATTCACCGAACCGCGAACCCTCATTCCGACCGCGATTCTCACCACTGGGATCCTCGGCGCTGTCTACGTCCACCGCAATTACCTCCGTCGGTTCCCCACGGCCGCCAGCATCTCGCCTTCGTTTCTCCGTCGACGCAGTATCCTCGGCCGCGTGACGAGTGTCGGTGATGGCGATAATTTTCGCATCTATCATACGCCCGGCGGTAGACTGGCGGGGTGGGGGTGGTTGCCGTGGAAGAAGGTTCCTGTTTCGAGGAGGGATTTGAAGGATGAGACGGTGTGTTGATCCTTTACCTACCTGTCTCCTGACCCTGACCCTGACCCTGATCCTAATCCCTATCTCCTCTCCTTTCCTCGCTACACGTTGGTTACATACCCGTGGCGACGCGAATCGCACCATTATCCCAAGAGAGAGAGAGAGAGAGAGAGAGAAAACAAAAGAGAAACTAACAACCCCCACCACCAACCAGATCCACATCCGGCTCGCAGGCATCGACGCCCCAGAACTCGCACACTTCGGACGCCCCGCCCAACCCTTCGGCAAAGAAGCGCACGACTGGCTCACGGCCTACCTCACCAACCGCCGGGTACGCGCGTACGTCCACCGACAGGACCAGTACCAGCGGGTGGTGGCGACGGTCTTCGTGCGACGGGCGCTGGACTTCCCTATTCCGTTTCGGCGACGCGACGTGTCGTATGAGATGCTGAAGAAGGGGATGGCCACGGTGTATGAGGCGAAGTTTGGGGCGGAATTTGGGGGCGCGGCGAGGGAGGATAAGTATCGGAAGGCGGAGACGTGGGCGAAGGCGAAGGGGATGGGGTTGTGGATGGGGTTTAGACGCGATGCTAATAAGTGGGAGAGTCCGAGGGAGTATAAGACGAGAATGGGGTTGGAGGATGCGACGGCGCAGGTGAAGGGGGACAAGAAGTGATGGGTTCCGTTGAGGGGGTGATTTGGATGGCTATGTGCTTTTTGCTTATGATGATACGGCTGAGAGATATCCCCGTTGCGCATGATTTGCTTCTTGGATTGGTTGTTATAGAGGAATGTCTAGTTATCTGCCTTCACGGCGGCACATCATTAACATCGTTAGACCTAACATTAAAATATCTCGTCCACGAAAGATGTCGGCTGTCTCAGGTTTAGAAATGATATAAAAACACTGCTCCCATCTACAACCCTTCTAGGATTGTGGTTAATGCGACGCCAACAAACAAGACAGGCGAGAACAGAATGGATATATAATACAAGAAGGTATCCAAAGCCGGCATAAAAATCAGTCGCAGATGTCCTAGCAGAACTGTCGCTCGATCTGTGCGAAAAGCTGCGGGCTGATCTCATCGCTCGAGTCGCCCTCGACACGGTACAGGCATCCCTTGCGCTGGTAGTGCTCGATCAATGCCTTGCTCGTTTCCTCAAACTTGTGCAGCCGCTGCTTCCACGTCTCGATCGAGTCGTCATCCCTCTGGACCAGAGGCTCTCCGGTGATATCGTCCTTTCCGGGGACCTTAGGCACATGGAAATCCGTGTTGTAGACTCTTCCCGATGGCTCGTGAACCCAGCGCGACGCTATCCGAGAGAGAATGACTGAGGGGGGTGTAACCAGGTGGACGACAAAGTTGACAGGAACAATGGTGTCTAGGCTTGAGGCTTGGGTGGCAGTGCGCGGAAAGCCGTCCAAGATGAATGAGGCAGAGGAGGATATCGACGATGTTGACGCTGGTGAAAGCCAGCCCTTGGACTTGAACTCGGAGGATATAAGGTCGAGAATCATCGAATCGGGAACAAGGTTGCCGGACTGCATTGCGGCCTCTGCTTTGAGGCCTATTTGCGGGGAACCGTTAGACACTGCCCTCAGACCACACAGGTAGTATTAAGGCTAGAGGGTCATACCTAGAGAGGTTTTCCGTCGGACATTCTCCCGGAGCAAGTCGCCGGAGCTTATGGATGCTAGCTCTGGGAATCTGGAGAGGAGCCTTTCTGTTTGAGTGCCCTTGCCTACACCCGGGGCACCGATGAGGATGATCCGGGCGGCTTTTTTGAGTTGTCTGATTGCGGGGGCCATTTCGCGCGCCAGTCGGTCTGACAGGCTGTCTGTGGACCTGTGATTCTTTGTTTTGAAAGGAATTGGGCTGGGGGGTAGATAGCTGGGTCGTTCAAGATTTAAACGTGCAGTACAAGGCAGGCAGGAAGGTACCACAGTCAGTATGTCGGCAGTCGAAGCGGGAAGATGGCAGACACCCTATAACCTTAACCTCTCCATTGGGATTAGGAAAGAGACATTGTGGATTGGACGGAGATAGTTAGTAGGCAGTAGTGGTGCGTGGGAGCTTATCAGAGGTAAGGTTGTTGCTCAGATGCTCAGCTGATGCAGCGCGCCGGCGACAAATCTCAAACCGGGGAAAGCACGCGCTTTCCGTGGGGTTGGCAGATGCTTACCCGTCTAGGAAATCGGTGAGCGGAGACCGGCCACCGGAGAGCTTCCCGAGTCCGGAGAAGACATGAGAATCATTGACAATTGCCAATTGACAAAAATGGCATGACCACTAGAGACTTGGGCATGCAGGAGCATGTTCCCTTGGGTTTGCAAAGTACCAGGAGCAATGCGAGATAACTATTGGCAGAGTCCCTCGCAACAGCGCACTACGATTCCATACCACCAGAGGGAATGCCAATGGATAACAAAAGATCTCGATTTACTGAACAGATCTGATCCACCATACTGGCAAAAGATGATGCATCGGGATGCGCGTTTGTCTCTACTCAGCCGTTCCTTACTCCGTTGAGTGTTGATTTGGCAATGCGCCAACCCGAGCGGCTCCATAGTAATGGGTCAATCGCCGCTCACGTGATCGCGGCGCGCGCTGGTCGCGTTTCGCGTCCGTCGCGCAGCCGGCGAGAGGCCATGAGATCGACCGGAAAGCAACATCTCAGCAGCGCTCAAGTTGCAGTTGCAGACCAAGATGATCCGGCAAGATTTTCACAGGATAGACCCGAAACGAAGGGCCACCCTCGACCACAAAAAGAAGCAATTCGCAAGCCCGACTTTCAAGCAACAGGACTACCCACATCGCCTGAACTTCTATGAAATCCCCCCGACCGATGAGATCACGCTGGAACAGTTTGAACAATGGGCGATTGACCGGCTGAAAGGTGAGGGAGAATATGGCACAGGAATCGCAGTGGACATACGAACTGACCGTCCTGGGCAGTCTTGGCTGAAATCGAAGCCTGTTCTTATCGAAACAAATCGCCAGCAGAGACCGAGGCGCACATCACCCCCCTCCTCCAGAAATACCTCCCTCTATCCTCCAACACATCCTCTTCCAACGGCGCCGCAGATCAACGGCTGAAAAATGAACGTCAGAAGGACCATTACTCCCACTTCATCCTTCGCTTGGCCTTCTCGGCCACGGAGGACCTCCGCCGGCGGTTCGCGAGAGCAGAAACCATGCTCTTTCGATTCCGCTTCCAACGAGACGATACGAGAGAGAAACGCGCCTTTATTGAGAGCCTGAACCTGGAATGGGAACCGGTAGAGGATGCAGAGAGACAGAGACTTTCCGACCATTTACTGGGGGCGACCCCAGGTTTACGCCGTGTAGATGAGGAAACATGGTACAAGGTGGACTGGGAGAAGGTTCCGGAACTGGTCGAGAGACGAAGTGTTTTCTTGTCTAAGGGGAAAGCGTATGTGCCCGGCAGAGAACAAGTGAGCATGATCATAGCGGAGTTCACTGCCCGTTTGGAGCGCGCTTTGGAGGTATGTAGCAGACGACTTTGGCAGCATGTTCTATAGCACTGACGCATGCCAGCTTACGAGTAGAGCCCTCCCACGGCTGGATGAAGACGACCGGCTCACTCCAATCCTCAACCACATGTCGAAGAACTTTGGAAGTGCCGAATCCGTGTACTCGGAAGGTGAAGGATTCGTCGACGGTGCAGCGATCACGGCAAACAACGTTGACCGGCTATCTCAACATTTCCCACTGTGCATGCGCAGTCTTCACATGAACTTGCGGAAGAACAACCACCTGAAACACTATGGACGGTTGCAATATACCCTGTTCCTCAAAGGAATCGGCCTGTCACTTGAGGAGTGTATTGTTTTCTGGCGCCAGGGCTTCAAGAATTTGACCGACGACGAATTCAACTCACGATACAAGTACAACGTCCGTCACGCTTACGGCGATGTCGGTGGTGATTCAAATCGCAGTGGCCGAGGATACCCCCCATATTCGTGCCAGAAGATTCTCCAAGACTCGAATCCCGGAGTCGGCCAGTCACATGGATGTCCGTACCGCCATTTCTCTGTTGATAATCTGGTCGGGCTTCTGCAGTCCACCGGTGTCAACGATCGGGAAGTCCTACGCGGGGTGCGAGAAGATGTTGAGAAGATGCGGTTCCATATCGCTTGCAACAGAGTCTTCGAGTGGACTCACAAAGCAGACATCAAGCGAGTCAAGGAGGATGGTACATGGAACCAGACCGACCTGGACACCATTGTCCACCCCAATACCTACTTCAAGCGCAGCTATCTCTTGAAGCAGATGGGACAGGCGCCGAGAAACACATGAAAACCATGGTGATGGGTCCACGAAGCCACGTTCCATTGCATTTGTTTGTCGTTTGCGAATTTCCACCACGCGGGCGTTTCAGGTCAGGATATGGGAGGACGCAAGGTCCTGGTTCTTAGGTAGATATAGTATATGTAAATTGAAAGCATGAAATTTCCACGGTAGCATTGATTTTGGCCACTGCATCATTCTTCGCTTACGATTATACAATTGCAAAGGGGGGGGTAGTGATAGATAGGCATGTAACCTCTGCTGATTCCCAAATTATCCAAAAGGAGCAAAACGTCCTTTCAAAGCCAGGTGCCCAGCAACGGGTCGAATTTACTCTTCGCACGACCCTTGAGACAACTTCATCATCGAGGTGGACAGAAATTGCCGTAAAAAGGTAAGGGGTCGGCGGAAATTATAGAAATTCATGAAAAGAAGAAGAAAAGGAAGGTTGTGGAGGGACGAGAGGGTCGGGTATTTAAACCCCACTAGCGCGGTGTACGGCGGCCCGCAGGCACCGGTGGTGCTGCAACCTGGCCTCATGGCAATAACGCCGCTTCACACACTGTCTCCTGATCCCCGCATCGTCTCCGGACAGCAGCTGTTGGCGTTGCCCTTTCTCGGACCGGGTTCTGATATAGAGAGGAGGGTCCCCCTGCCTTTCCGACCGTGTCGTTTTATTTTCTTTTCCTCTGGCCCCGTTGCTGCCCCTTTAGACATCCCCTCACCTCTGCCTGTTACGGAACCCCGTTCATCAGGCCGCCAACATGGACTACGAAGCGCTGAAGGATCAATGGAGCGACGTTGAGGAGCGCGATGGCATCAGACTGAGCTGGAACACATTCCCCAGCTCTCGCATGGTTCGTTTGGGTGCCTGGATTGCCTCCCACGCTCCGAGCTAAGTCGTCAAACAGGAAGCATCCCGACTCGTCGTCCCCATCGGTGCTGTTTACACCCCCCTCAAGGAGAAGCCGGACTCTCCTTTGCTACAATATGAGCCGGTCACCTGCAAGCCGCCTTGTCGGGCTGTGCTGAACCCCTACGCGTACGGCCCTTCCTCCGCTACCTGCACGCTTGGGATCCTGAATGACTCTGGCTGACATCACATAGCAATGTCGACGTCCGGGCACGGATTTGGATCTGTCCCTTCTGTCTCCAGCGCAACCCCCTGCCCCCTCACTACAAGGACATCACGGAGAGCACGATACCTCCGGAACTTCACCCGATGAGCACCACAATCGAGTACCAATTGGCCCGCCCCGCTCCCGCCCCCCCTATCTTTGTATACGTCGTCGATACCTGCCAGGACGAGGACAGTTTGAAGGCCTTGAAGGACTCTTTGATTATGAGTCTGTCGCTGCTGCCGGCAAATGCATTGGTCGGCCTGATCACATATGGTACAATGGTAGGGACATATTTCCCTCCAGTTCATAGATGTTCCGGGATGACCTGTTAACTCCGAGGTACAGGCACAAGTGCATGAGCTTGGCTATACCGAGTGCGCCAAGTCGTATGTGTTCAGGGGAAGCAAGGAATACGCTGCAAAGCAGGTACAGGAGATGCTTGGTCTCGCGTCCGCACTGCGTCCGAACATGCCCCAGCAGCCCGCTCGTCCCCCCTTGGCCCTGCAGCCCGGTTCCTCCTGCCCGTTCAACAGGCCGAATTCCAGATCACGAACGTGCTCGAGCAGCTTCAGCGCGACCCGTGGCCCGTTGCGAACGACAAGCGTCCTCTCAGATGTACGGGCGTCGCCCTTAGTGTTGCGGTTGGCTTGCTTGAGACATCCTTCCAGAATGCCGGTGGGCGCATTATGATGTTCACCAGTGGTCCGGCCACCGAGGGTCCTGGTCTTGTCGTTGGCCCTGAACTGAAGGAACCGATCCGTTCTCACCACGACATTGATCGAGACAACATTAAGTATTACAAGAAGGCTGTCAAGGTCCGTGTCTAGTCTACCGTTCATGAAGGTGACCCCAGGCTGATTTGTTCAATTAGTTCTACGACACCATGGCTAAGCGCGCTGCCAACAATGGGCACATTGTGGATGTCTTTGCTTGCTGTCTTGACCAGGTCGGTCTCCTGGAGATGAAGAACCTTGCCAATTACACCGGTGGTCAAATGCTTCTCACGGACAGCTTCACATCCTCTCAGTTTAAGCAGTCTTTCGTGCGGATCTTCGACAAGGATGTCAACGAAAACCTTCTCATGGGTTTCAATGCATCCCTCGAAGTGCTGACCACCAAGGAGCTGAAGGTCACCGGACTTATCGGTCATGCAGTCTCTCTGAACAAGAAGTCGACATCCGTGGGCGAGACAGAATGCGGCATCGGCAATACTTGTGCCTGGAAGATGTGCGGTATTGATCCGGCTTCAAGCTACGGTATCTACTTCGAAATCGCAAACCAGGGTGGGCCTACCGCTGTGCAGCCAGGCCCCCAAAGAGGAATGATGCAATTCCTCACATACTACCAGCACTCGTCCGGGCACTACCACCTCAGAGTCACGACGGTTGCACGGAACCTCAGCGGCCCGGCTGGCGATCCGACGCTGTCACAGTCATTCGACCAGGAGGCGGCTGCCGTCTTGATGGCACGTATCGCTGTCTTCAAGGCCGAGGTCGACGACGGACCTGATGTGCTCAGATGGGTTGATCGGATGCTCATCAGGCTTTGCTCCCGCTTTGCAGACTACCGGAAAGACGATCCCACCTCATTCCGGTTGGAGAAGAACTTCACTCTTTACCCGCAGTTCATGTTCCATCTGCGCCGAAGCCAGTTCTTGCAGGTGTTCAACAACTCCCCTGACGAAACCGCTTTCTATAGGCACGTTCTGAACCACGAGGATGTTGGCGATTCGCTTGTCATGATTCAGCCCACTCTGGATTCCTACTCTCTGGAACACGAGGGAAGCCAGCCTGTGCTTTTGGACTCGGCCTCCATCCAACCCTCTCACATTCTGCTCCTGGATACTTTCTTCCACATTCTCATCTTCCACGGCGAGACTATCGCCGAATGGAGAAAGGCTGGGTACCAGGATCAAGAGGGCTATGAAAACCTGAAGGTGCTCCTCGAGCAACCGAAGGAGGATGCAAGGGTTCGTTGATCGAATTGAGTAATTTCCGAGGACATGTGCTAACATCTTACCGCAGGAGCTGATCGCGGACCGTTTCCCCCTTCCCCGTTTCATTGTTTGCGATGCCGGTGGCTCTCAAGCACGTTTCCTTCTGTCGAAGCTGAACCCCTCTACTACGCACACGACAGGTGGATATGGCGGCGGCGTGACGTCGCAAACCATCTTCACCGACGATGTCTCGCTGCAGACATTCATGGACCACCTCATGAAGTAAGTGCCTCCATATCAATCCGGGCTGCAGATATGAGCATCTTCTAACCTATCCTTCAGGCTTGCCGTTTCCGGAACTAGCTAGATTTGACGAGGTAATGGCCATGACGAGAGCAAGGGGCGGTTTACGTCGGTCCTCGGGTCGTTTGTATCTTTAGCGGTTTTTTTTAATTTTTGCTTGTTACCCTGGAATATAGCTGCGTCCTAGATTCGACGATTGAATAAAGGCAAGATTCCGTAATAACTGGTTTCCCCGTTCTCCGGCGTAGTATTTCCGTTGTATATCTAGTAGTTCTACTATCCGCCGAGGTCCCCTGGCAGAATGGAGTATGCGGAACCCGCATGTGATCACGTGACCATCGGGCTGAGCCCTAGCAGGCTTACTGTTTCGGGAGCCTCGCTTAGGGCAGGCGTGGACGGCAGCTAAATATCCTCCCGACCGTGCAACTTTTTCCTTTCCTTCCTCGTACTATCCACCCGACAACCTAAGGACGATTGACGACCTTTCGCACTCGCCATGCGTAAGTATCATCTCCTTGGTTCGCACAATATGGCGCACTAACATGTATCCCATTGGGCAGCTCCCAAGCTCGACCCCAATGAGGTGAAGATCATGTAAGTTCTTACCCCCAGAAGAAGCGTCGCAAAAATGCGGTCGAGCATCAGCTAACAATTCTGCAGCCACCTGAGAGTGACTGGTGGTGAGGTCGGTGCCCAGTCCGCTCTGGCCCCCAAGATTGGTCCTCTCGGTCTGTCCCCCAAGAAGATCGGTGAAGACATTGCCAAGAACACTGGTGACTGGGTAAGGACTATCCATATCAAATGCGCAATTGTTGGGCGATTGACTAACGAGTTTTTTTTCGGATTTATAGAAAGGTCTCCGTGTCACGGTCCGTCTTACCATCCAGAACCGTCAGGCTGCCGTCTCCGTTGTGCCCTCCGCCTCTTCCCTGGTTATCAAGGCCCTGAAGGAGCCTCCCCGTGACCGCAAGAAGGAGAAGAACATCAAGCACAGCAAGTCCATTCCCCTGGACGAGATCTTCGAGATTGCCCGCATCATGCGCAACCGCTCTCTCGCTAAGGAGCTCAAGGGTACCGTCCTTGAGATCCTCGGTACCGCCTTCTCTGTCGGTTGCCAGGTCGATGGCCGCAGCCCCAAGGATGTCTCCGACGACATCAAGGCTGGCGAGATCGACGGTATGTTTTCTCTGCAATGTCGGTAAAGGAGACGTGTCGCTAACAGTTGCCCAGTTCCCTCCGAGTAAATGATGATCAGGATTCCACGGCGGTCGTGATTTTGTACCGACATGCTAGTTACAGAATATGATCATTGTCCTCGAAACAAAACAAAATGTTTATGAGCCATGACTTTTAGATTCCCACTTGTGTTGATTCGCAATTTGATAAGTTTTTCTCTCGACGCTCGTGTTGAGCCCTCCCCCCCTCCTCCCTTCCGCTTCTCCTGGTTTTCTTGCTGTTCTATGCAAGTTGGACCATGTCGAGCCCAAGTCCTTCTCAAGGCACCTTTGCAACACTCTGGCCCGTACTGTCTTTTCCTCAGGAATCGACCTATTATAACGTGGTATAGGCTTATTTTAAGCAAAGGAGAGCAAATTCTGACCCGCTACTCACCGCGGTATTCTTGAGAGGAGCCTCGTGCTTCTTTCTGTGGATACAGTGGTCCATTTAACGGTCAACATCCCCGTAACCAAATCAGGAGATGTTTATTCCCTGGCACCTCGTAGCATGTGATGAATACGCAATACAATTTACCATTTACTTTAATTTTACTCCTGATTCTTTCCCTTGTCAGATGACTCTGCAGTCCTTGCATTCTTTATTGTACAGTGACTGGACGCGCATCTGAATCAGTCCCTCCCGTATACTGGTCTTCCCGTTGGGGAAATTACAATAATTATAATCAACATCACCAAGCCGGTAAGAATTCGACGGGGCAGCCTCACGGAGTCACGGACACACCGAGGATTCCATGAGTCCCCACCGGCGACTGGGCTGGGCAATGGCGGGCGTTCCTGATACGCGCCCGGCTGCAGGTGCCCCTTGAGAATCCCGGTAGTCCCGTAGGCAGAAGGGAATGAGGGACGATGGATCTCAGTAGTAGATAGATAGATAGATATCTGGTACTCCGTAATTCAGTCCGTTCATCCCGCGGGATGCAGGTGGTTGTGATAGCCACCTGCATATTACCATTACCTACTTACTTGCCCACTACCGGTGACGTGACTGGATGTCCGTCTATCTACGAAGTACTCCCTCCGTGCAAGGTATTCATCGTCCGATGTCTAGATACTTACACACTGACTGGTTCCCCTGGCCAATTAGCTAAATTAACCTAGGCAACTAGATAGAGTATCTATCAACTCACCATCTGTCTATCTAGTGGTTGCCATCGCCGAGACAGGTCGGCTGAGTCAGCCAGTCAAGGCCCCTCAACGCCGGACGGGGATGAAGATCCCGGGCCAGCAAAGGGCCATCCGTCTGAGCTGAAACACGGCCAGCCTCCGTCCTTAGTCCCGTCCGTACATACGATCGATGGATGTCTGTACTCTGTTGGCGTTGACGTACTGTGATATCGGCCCCCCGGCCAGCGTGGCTCCGCGACAGCAAACGGGACCGACCCTGGAACCTATAAGAATTAAGAACGGAGGATACAACTTCCACCTCGATCATGATTAGTCACATTGCACAGTCGACATCCCGATCCACGGGTCCCATCCCATCCCATCCCATCATCTATCCCCTTCCCTTGGCCTTTTTCTCCCCCTCTCTTCCAGACGGAGACCCCCGCCTCCCACTGATAAAAAGTGGAGAGCACTGACACAGCAAAGTGTGCCGATCCTCATCGCCAGACCGCTCGTGACATGGCCCTGGCCACTGCCAGTACTAGTAGCCCATGATAAGTTAGCTATTGTATAATAGTACATCCTCCGTAGAGCCCCCCCCCCCCCCTTCCGGTCCGTTTCCCGCGCACGCTCGTTGACTCCGTTGACTCTGGTATGTACGACCATGTCTCGCTTTAGATTCTCGCGACTGGGCCTGGGCGGATCAGAAGTGGACATGATAGACAGTCGCAACGGGATACACGCAGGCCATGGCGACAGCTAGCCAGGACTACGGTAGCACCGCCGGTGCCCAGTTGCGGCGATGTAGCGAACAAGCATGGCTGATTTTAACGGCCCTGAGTGGATGGATGCGGGAAACGGATTCTGGAAAGGTTGAAACTAAGGTAGGTTTCATGGGTCTTTCAGTCCCTCCGTTTGTTACCTGGATTTTGAGTTGGGCGGGGAGGGGAGGGCAGAGAACGGGCGGGCGTTTGTCCGCGTTTTTTTTTTTTTTTTTTTTCTATTGTTGCTGTTATTCATGTGAGGAGTGAGGATTGTCTGGGAGACTGGGAGTTGATGGATGTATACCTAGATGGATGGATATGAATTATTTGAGATATGGGGTACTTCGATTTGTAGCGTGAAAAGGTACGTATATCGACTTAAGTACGTGGACTATAGGCGAGTGGCGGCAGATACATATGCTGTGCAGTTGGTATGCGGGATAGATTTATGATCTTGATGTAAAATCCGGATTGGTGGTAGGCATTAATTAGATACTGGGCAGACACGGAGGAAACAAGCGCCAGCAAGCCAGATGGGGGAGACGACCTATCAGACAGCCATGGGTCCAGGGAAATTACTCAATTTAATATATGTATATACTTAAATCCTACATCCCTCCGGTATGCTCGCCATCGAATCATCCAATCTCCTCACCTCATCACTGCTGGCATGCGTTGTGCTTTTCAGCCTCTGGATGCATCCCGGGCTGCAGAATGATGCTGACCTGGGACGGTGGCCCAGGGTCCGAGCCTTTGCGTCTGTCAGTGGTCCTTTTTTTTTTTTTTCTTTTCCTCCTCATCAGCATTCCGGTTGGGGTGTCAGTCAGTCATCTCTACTAACTACATAGTATCTACAAAGTATCTACTTGCGTATATTCCATACAGCTGTTGCATCTCTCTATTTTTTTTTTCTTTTCTTTTTTCTCTTTTTTTTTCAACCCCAATTTTATGAACCCACTCTCTGGAAATTTGAATCCACCCGTCCAAGGCCAGCGTGCAGCCATCCTGACGGACTCCACCCGAACCCACCGAAAGTGCCAGATCGCCCTTCCGCCCTCACCAAACAAACCCTCCCAGTCGCAACTCAAAAAGGCCCCCAAGGCCCAAAGGCTTGACCACCGCGGGCGCCACTGCGACCGGGGCCCATGGCCGGCTGGTCCACTGACGTTGGACAGGCCTGGATTCGCTCCTGCGCCCAAGTGGCTAGCGCCGGTCCATCCTGGCCGTTGGATCGTACCCTCGGGTGGGACTGGGACGTGGGTGGATGTTCGTGTTTCTGGTGTTTCGCTTTTTTTGGGTGTGGCCCGGGGGGGAGGGGGGGGGGGGGGGGTCCCCCAGGGCCCCACTCCTTTTTCTTTCTGAATATCAAACTTCTACCTGGTCAACTTTGGTACCGTGTAGATAATAGGTACTACTTAGTATCAAAAGCAGATGGAATTTGTCTTCTCATGCGCAAGTACATGCAATGCATTACTAATCAATGTTCTAAGCCACCGCCGCGTAAGAATCATCCTGGGCGCCCCCAGCCCACCCGCGTCCCAACGCAGTAACCTCCACCCCACTCCACCGGGGCCAGCCCCGCTCCTATTGGCTCCACTCCCGCTGGCCCATCCTCAGCCCCACCCGGGCTGCTCTCAAGTCTCAATCACTCTCAGTCACAGTCTCAGGCTCTCAGGCTCTCACTCACTACTTACACCCCCCTCCTCCACCCCAAAAAAGGAATCACGCTAAGCCCAAATGGGAGCTATAGGCTGCCGCCGTCCATGGCTTGCGACTTGCCCTTGGGAAGCTCCGCTCTGTCATGATGCGCGTCCCGCTCGAATGACTCTTTGTCTGCTGCATTAGTTAGTTAATTAGTTGCTGGTTGCTGGGTTTTTTTCGCTACTGCTGCCTCCAGAGCTTCAATTCTTTCTTTTCCGGCTTCCTTGATGCAACCTTTGGCCTTGGATCTTCCCCCTCCCCTTCACTTCACTGGTGCATGACAGGCCGATCCTTTTCTTTTTCTTTTTCTATTTTTTCCTTTCAGGTCCAAGTACTCCGTACTCCGTCCGTAACTATCTATCTATCTATCATCTATCCAGCCTATCCTTACCCCGGACTCCCTCACCTCCTTGTGAATTTCCTTCTTTGCGCCTGTTCCTAACTTCCTCCCCTCCTTCCCTGCTGGCCCTGTCTCTGTGGCTGTCTTCACTCCTCTCCGCCCGCCGTTGGAATCTTCTCCGCTTCCAGCAATCAGCCTTGTGGTGCCTTGGATCAAGGCATCGTCGTCGGTTTCTCATTAATTCACCACCACCACCACCACCACCACCACCATCAGTCATCCTCACCCGAGACGAGACAAGATCAGACCCAGCGGGCAAAAAAAAATATTCATTCAAATAAACGGACCATAAATTATCAGAGACAAGGGAAGAAAAGCCTCCGAGACCACACTGGTGGTGATTGTCGTCAGCTAGTGGTGCCATGTTCAACCTTTCCCCTACGCTATCGGTTCTCTGATTCGGATTTTGTCGGCCCTCCCATTCGGATCTGCTTTGTGATCCGGCCTCTATCAATCATATTGAATCGATTTTATTACGATTCCTTCTTCACTCTCCCATCCCCCCATTCCCCCCTCCCATCTTCCGCCGGGCCCTCTCGCGCTCTTGTCCCGAGTACAGCATTTCTGCCAAGCGCAGGATTGCCTAGTCGTTGATCGCGTCGTGCGGACACCTGCGTCAGTGTGGGCGCTCTAGCAAGCTGACTAGGGCTGATTCCCTCGATCCCTTTCCCTCCCTTGCATCGCTTCTTCACCCACCAGGCTCTGAAGCGGCAAATAGCGTTCTCGGAGCGGATCGCCTGCGTGTCTTTTTGTTCTTCTGGAATCCGGCGCCTTCGTGAATGCCCTCTTCGCCCCCAGACTCCGCCTCCAGTCGACTTCCTTTCCCACCCTGCTTCCTCCCTCCCTCCCTCCCACTCTTTCCACCTCCGCGGCTCCCACCTTCGTTCCATCCTCGTCGCCCACGATCAACAGCGTTCATGTCGAGCCCAGGGACCAGCGGTGGGGGGCTTCGCTGAGTGTCAACTGAGCCGGCTTATGCCCAGGATGAGGTGTAGGAAACGTTTCAAGGAGGATGCTTGTTGATAACCCAGCGAGAGAGTGATATTACCGACCACATACATACTGACAGCCTCCGATCGCCCTGCTCCGCTCCCCGGCCAGGGCCCTGCATTTGCTTTTGTTTTTTTGTTTTTTTTTTCTCTCTATTGGATTCCCGATCCCCTTCGACGCCTTTACGGTCCCTCTCTTCTCTAATCCGCATATCTATTGTTAATCCCGGTGGAACAACAGCGGTGTCCCCACCATCCGAGGTCAAGATGTTGCCCTCCGTAGCACCGTTTCCGCCGGTCCAACCGCATCACCACCTTACTTATCGTCACGGCGCCGACACGACCAATGGAGCCCACGATCCGAACACATCCTTTCTCCCGTCACTCCCTCGTACCGATCCTGGCAAGAGCTCGTTCCAATCGATCCCTCGGGCACGACTACAATACCCCCATCCGATCCAGCGGCTCGACGTCCCTGATGCCGCCGGTGCAATGCTCAACCCGAAGAGTGCTGGCGAACATGCGCTACGAAGGAAAACGCCGAACGGCACGCTGGCTGCTGGGTATGATGGGACCCCGGGAGACACCACCATCCAGCCCCCGGCGAGCAAGCATATATTAGTTTCGCCTATCGAATCGGGCCACTTGGTACCGCCTCAAGCCGGATTTCCCGTCGAGCCATGGCAACAGCCCACACCCACCTTTGACCAGACTGCATCTGGGAAGCACCTGAATTTTCCGCCCGTGTATAGGAATGACTCAACCCCCCGAGGCAGCACGGCCCCAGGTGAAATGGCCCAAGGGGTAAACGGGACGAGCTGGGTTCGCTCACTCAACTACGTGCCCGGCATGGACTCGTTGCTGAATCAATCACTGCCGATGCAGCCTACCCAGCAACGGTTCTACTGGCACAACGGCGCCTATGTCCCTACGGTGCTGCCGGCCACTCTTCAGCAATGTGTCGGCCCCACAGTATCCGCTGGTACCGGACCGTATGGGCCATATTGGCCGGATGGAGTGTACATCCCGTATCGCCCGGCGGCGTTTCGAGATGCTCGATTCAATTCCCCTTCCCCGTTTGCGAAAGCAGCCAACCCACCTGGTTTTCAGTTCTTTGATCCAGGTCCACCGTCTTTCAATCGGGGTGCCATATCATCGGGAAGCCATCAGGACCCTAATCTGACCTGGAATCAGGCCCAGACCCCCATGGGGATACACGGTTCCGACATTCCTAGTAACTTTCCTCGACGGCACTCGGAACAAAAGCCAATTGAACTAGCGACCAATCAACGAATACTACCTTATCACACGCGCCAACCTAATACGTCCTCCGGTTTCTCCGCACGTCCGCAGACTCACGAAACCGCTCCATCCTGGTCGGGCCCTGCTAACGCCCAGGGGATACCGAGCACGGGTTCTACCGCCAGCCCACGGGCAGCAAACGCAGAGTTCAAGGAGAAGGTGCTGACATGGGCCCACGGTGTCTATGTTGATCTCCTTGCATCTATTCACCAGGCACGACGGAACAGCATGTCCAATGCTGCTGCCGAGGGTCAAGGTCAACGGTTTTTAAAACCAAGCATTTATCCGAAGCCGCCGCGTCAACCTGGCCTGGATTTCTCCAGCACCAATGCCGCTGAACTCACTCGACATAACAGCTACCCCTCGGGCCAGTATGACTCTCATGTTCAGAGGGCCAATGCTATCAGTAACCCAGGGCAAGATGACCTGGGCCTCTCCGCCTCTGGTTTCCAGGCCAATCGCCGCTTTGAACGGCCTTCACTGGCTCAGTTCCCACAAGCTGTCTCCGAAGCACACATGGTGGACAGGCTCCGCCACAACGGGCGATTGACTGCCTCGTCTTCGCTGTCTCGCTTTAATGCCGCCCCGCTCAATGAGGGTTCTACGACGGCGAACGCGATATCCTCGTTAGAAATATTATCTCATCTCTGCATGGAGAGTGGCTGGGAGTGGATTGACGGCATGCTTCTCGGAGGTTGCCTCGCGTATGGCCTGGGCGATTACAACAAGGCCATGCGATGGTACATGAGGATTATTAACCGAGATGCAACGTGAGTATGCAATCCATTCGCAATGGACCAGTAACTAACGGTGGGTAGGCATGTGGAAGCGATATCTAACCTTGCAGCTACCCTTTTGGCGCTGGATCGCCGGGAAGAAGCGTTGCAACATTGGCTTCGCGCCGTCAAACTCCGCCCAAGTTTCTTCGAAGCGGTGGAACATCTCATCGGCCTCCTGTGCAGCAACCAACGCGGGAAGGAAGCGGTCAACATCATTGAATTCGTGCAGAACTCTCTGCGTTCCCCCAAGGATGGCGATTGTTTCACGGCGGACGAGCATGCGAGCGAGACCGAGAGCGATGCAGACAGCAGAGCATCCAGCACGTCCGATTTAAGCTCCTATGAGAAGGCATCTTTCGACTACGACGATGACTTCGGCCCATCTGTCTCTGCGAACCGAAGTTCGGCAGATGTCAATTCTGCTGGATTTGGTTCCAGCGGCTACTCGGTACCGGGTGGCGACAATGGAAGAATGCTGGCTCTTGTTCATGCCAAGGGAAACATGCTGTATGCCCTAGGCGACAATCTAGGAGCTGCGGCGGCCTTCGAGGATGCGATTCTGATCGCAGCGGGTAGACGGCGCCATGGCATTCAGAATCTGATCAAGCAGGTCTTCTCCGCCTTCATGCAAGGAACACAAGGGGCTTATCCCGCCGCGGAACAACATGGACCGCAGGAAACCATTCTCCTGTATCCGGACCATGCTCTCCAGACGTCCAAGCTGGTCTTTGCCCCTTGCGGAACGCCTCCTGGGATCAAGTATGTGGCGGAAGGTTTAGCAAAGAAGGCAGCAATCTCCACCACCAGCAATTCATTGCTCTCTCTGGCCAAGATTTACCAGGATGGGATGTCCAACATTTCCACCTCAGGCGTCCCGAGGACTGCCCCCGGTGTTCGCGACATCCTGGCTCTCTACTACCTCTCTCTTTCCCTGCAACCGAGCCCGTCGACCGCAAACAATGTCGGCATCTTGCTGGCCGGTATTCAGAACAATGCCCCTAGGAAGGTTCTTCCTCGCCCGAACGGAGATATGCAACATCCTGAAATCCCTGGTGTTATTCCCGGCACGGGCATCTCGTTGGCTCTGGCTTACTACAACTACGGACTGCATCTCGACTCGCGGCATGCTCATCTCTACACAAACCTTGGTAGTTTGCTGAAGGACATCGGCCAGTTGCAAGCGGCCATCCGCATGTACGAGCAGGCCGTTCAGTGCGATAGCAATTTCGACATCGCTCTGGCCAATCTAGCGAATGCTGTCAAGGACGCCGGTCGCGTCAACGATGCCATTGCGTACTACAAGCGTGCTGTTAAAGTGAACCCGGAATTTGCAGAGGCAGTGTGTGGCTTGGCCAATGCCCTGAATTCCGTCTGCAATTGGGTCGGTCGAGGTGGAATCGGCAACGGCTTGGGCTTTCGGGACCGATGGCATGTCGACGAGCAGGGGATGCTTCGTGATGCGTACGGTGTCGACAAGGGCGCTGGGTGGATCAAGCGGGTGGTTGATATTGTCGACCGGCAACTAAGGGAAGGGGAGACATGGGGCCGCGGCCTACTGACTACGAATGTGATCGAACAACTGTGCGCGCAATTGGTTCCCGCAGGCAAGGGCCGCAGCCAGGGTTCGCTTGGGTCTATGGCTGCGATCTTGCAGTCGTGGGCGGGCCAACGCTGGGAAGGCTCCAGGGTGGTCCGGCTCGTGGAGCGTGCCATTCGCTCGATTACCTGGCAGTGGTACCAGGATCGGTACGTGCATGGCAAGGAGTACCCTCTGGCCAAGTACCGGCGTCCTCAGCTCCCCTCTGGCCTGTCGGCGCCAAATGCCCCTACGGTTCTGCCCTTCCACACGTTCACCTGCCCGCTCTCGGCCAGGCAGATCCGCCAGATCTCGCAGCGCAACGGGCTTCGTATATCCTGCTCGACTCTCCGGTCTCCCTGGCTCCCAGCCACAGTCTACCCACCGCCCGCACCTCCGAACCCTTACCTCAAGGTCGGCTATGTGTCATCGGACTTCAACAACCATCCTCTGGCCCATCTGATGCAGTCCGTATTTGGTCTGCACAACCCTTCCCGGGTCCGGGCATACTGCTACGCTACCACGGTGAGCGACAAGTCGATTCACCGCCAGCAGATCGAACAGGAGGCACCGGTATTCCACGACGCCAGCGGATGGTCAGTTGATCGACTTGTGCGGCAGATCGTTGAGGACGGTATCCATATCCTCATTAATTTGAACGGATATACTCGCGGTGCCCGCAACGAGGTCTTTGCTGCTAGGCCTGCCCCGATCCACATGTCATTCATGGGCTTCGCAGGAACCCTTGGTGCGGAGTGGTGTGACTACATCCTGTCGGACGAAATTTCGATCCCTCCGGAGACACTTTCACCGGGAAGGCGCAATATGCGGGTTCCGGATCGGCTGCTGGAGGAGGACCACGGGGAGGACCTGGAGGACTGGGTATACGGGGAGAAGATGGTGTATACACGCGATACTTTCTTCTGCTGTGACCATCGGCAAAGTGCCCCCGATGCCCGGGATCCTCGGATTGCCTGGGAGCAAGAGCAAGCCAGACGGTGGCGAATGCGCAAGGAGCTGTTCCCCGCCCTCAGCGATGACACCATCATCCTTGGGAATTTCAATCAGCTGTACAAGGTAAGCATTGCACCGGATGACTACGTTTTCCGTGCTAATACGTAACAGATTGAACCTACGACCTTCCGCACCTGGCTACGCATCTTGGCACGGATCCCGAATGCCGTTCTCTGGCTACTGCGCTTCCCGGACCTCGGCGAACAGAACCTCAGGGACACCGCCATCGCCTGGGCTGGCGAGGAGACGGCGTCGCGCATCATTTTCACCGACGTCGCCCCGAAGAACACCCACATCTCCCGGGCGAAGATTCTGGATCTGTTCCTCGACACGCCGGAATGCAACGCGCACACGACAGCGACGGACGTTCTGTGGAGCGGTACACCTCTCTTGACGTTTCCACGTTACAAGTACAAGATGTGCTCGCGCATGGCGAGCAGCATCCTGAGCAGTGCCCTGCCCAACTCCGAGGCGGGCAACGAGGCTCGATCGGACCTGATCGCGGTGTCGGACGAGGACTACGAGAACAAGGCGATCCGTCTGTGTCTGAGCGTCAAGTCCCAGCCCGGAGGCCAGGGCCGAGTAACGGGCAAGTTGACCGACCTGCGCAGGATGCTGTTCCAGGAGCGATGGGCCAGCAAGCTTTTCGATACCAACCGATGGGTTCGCGATCTGGAAGACGCCTATGAAGGAGTTTGGCGGCAGTGGGTGAATGGCGAAGAAGGCGATATCTGGTTATGATGTGCGCGTCAGAATATACCCCTTGAGCGATTTTTTTCAGTTACTTTGGTTGGTCTGGGTTGGATGTGATTGGATCGATTGATGTGTTTATGGTTTCTTTTTCTTCATTCTTTCTGGACATGACTACATATTGGCCTTTTTTTCCCCTTTCCCCCCCCCTTTTTTTTTCTATTGATTGATTGGATATGACAATCTTGGGTATCGATTTGTGGATACTATCTCTCCCTTGTGGGAATTCTATTGCATGCCGGCGTTGGATCTGTGATTCCCTAGGGTATGGATCAATGATGATGAACACTCCCGGTGGCCCTGCGTGATTGTTATATACAAGCAGGCAGCCGATTTGGATTTTTTTCCCTATCTTTTTCTTGGGCTCATGATTGATTTGGTTCTCGGGCGTTGAGGTTGAGTGGATGGACTGACTGACTGAGTTCAACATAATGGGTTGAGCATTTGGTAGCGGTGATATAGAGGATTAATGAATAGGGTGCTTTCTCGATAGCGTGGGCCTGAGGCTGCTGTAGCTGCTGCAATCGCGTTATTCTTGTATATTTGTATTGTGTAATTATATCTGTCGGAGCTGTTGGGTTTTCTTGTGTCAGGAGGGGGGTGATGTCTTTTCTATATTGGACGTCAATGCTTTCTGATACACTGACAACATCCTCGTACTCGGCAACCTCCGCGCAAGATATATAAATGATGTAAATAAACAACATAGTAGTAACCCCCCCCCTGCCCTCCCCACCCCACACCACCACCACTCTATAAACCTTACTTCAATTGCTAATTAACCATATTCACAAAAAGCGTATTTCCCCCCTCGACCTAAAATAGACACCACAACCTTTATTAGCATCCCCTACCCTACCCCCTAACAAAACAAACCCCCCAAAAAACCCCCCGGCCATCATCCCATCCCGCTAGGACCCGTCCGTCCCCACTAACTAACTACACCTCCCCTCTAACTACGGAGTAACGAACCCCAACCGGGTAGAGGGGAAAAATCTACAAAAAGAAAAAAAGAAAAAAAAAAGAATGACTAGACTGGGGCTCGATCCCAGGACCTTATGCGTGTGAAGCATACGTGATAACCAACTACACCATCCAGCCAATTGGATATTTGTTGGGTCGGAGGTTTGGGTTCTATTTGCCTATCTGCATCACCAGATGGTTCCCCCCCCCCCCCCCAAGCGGACTCCCACAGGCCCCCCCCCCCCCCGGTGGTTCTCTCAATTAGAGGAATGAGGTTATGTGTAAATCACTCCCGCACAAGTCTGTTAGTAGTCTATGCCTACCACGAGAAGGTTTGAGAGATGTTTTCTCGAACTGCCCATATTTATATCCTGCTAGTTGATTCGCGGCGTTAAGACTTTGTTTTCTTCCAAGCCTTCCGGGCTGAAAGATACATAGATGTATCCTTCCAAATAGCCACAGGATCTCCCCGGAAGACCATTGATACCACCTTGATTCAAATCGTTGGACTTGACCTTCCTCTTCTAAAAAAAAAAAAAAAAAAAACTGCACCACCTCTTCCGAATAATAGACCGCTGGTCAGCGTCCCATCCATCCATCGGCTTGAACAATGTTGGGGCCGCTTCACATCATTATCTGGATCTCTTTTTCAATATGTGCATCGAGCGAGCTGTCAAGCCCCAGATATTCAGCCGGAGTGGATTCCGATGGCGGTGCTTGACGACATGTCTGTTCGTCACCATCTTCATCCACTACCGGGGAGGGCTGAGGGCTGGAAGTAAAGTACCGGGGGACTGACTCTCCGCAAAGTCCATCTCCTGGAGGAATTGTCTCGGAGCAGACAGACAGCCCCCATATGCATCTTTTTGAAATTAAGACCTTTCATATCATATACATGGCTGGTTGAGCCAAGTAAACACACCGAGGATCAGACTTTTGTCCGGATGTTAATGATTTTGTAGTCACAGTGGGATGGCCTATGCGGGTGGTGTCTGATGCCTGTCCAGTCGTGGTGTTGATCTTCTGGGGTTTGGAAGTATAATGATTGAATATGTAGAACGTTCGATAGAAAGAGGAATGTCGCATGCATACATTGCTGTTGTCAATTCCGTTCTTTCACGGCTTTGTGGCTGGGTCTTTTTGTGTCTTTCTTGAATCAGACAATTACTATATGTCCGCTCCTTCATATCATTCTTCATCGGAGGGGATAAAAAAAAACCACCCCAAGAGCAGTTGCATCGAGAAAAAACCATCCGTCTCGATAGAGGTAACATCCTGCCACCAAATAGAAAGCCAATTCTTCAGGATGAGGCCGGCCACTGACTGTAATGTCTATGCCATACTGCATACACAATCCACGACATTGCAGTGACTTGCTTTGAACCGCAGTATAAGCAAGCAGCGCAAGTGCCATGACACTTTCTGTGGTCAAGGCAAACCATGACTTGGTCTCTCGCACAAAAGAAAAGGAAACGGCCAAAGACATTTTTGACCGGATGGCTACTTGGACGACTGCAAAAAGCCATCGTATTGTGGATTGGGGGGGGATTCGAGCAACTCCATATATTTGCTTTCTGGGGTGTAGCCAGCCCTGGGCCTCTTCCTCTTTCTTTATATTGTTCTTCTTATTTTTCTTGTCGCCCTCGTGGGTCAAGGATATCGGATGGAGACTTGTCTGTGTAATACATCTGGGGGGAAGTGCCGTCTGGGGGCATCGAAAACAGAAGATGGAGCTGTTTGTGGATGGTTATACTGATTCGTATAATCCGTGGCGTGTACATGCAGTGGTATGGAGATGTTGTAGTCATATCTGCTTGATTCTAGCTGTGCTGTCTTGCTATGGAGTATTGGTAGCAGGCGTATAGTATATGCCTTCCGCCATGGCGATTCATGCATGACTATCCGGAGTGGCCAGTTATATAGAAGAATGATGATGATGATGATGATGAAGAAGAAGAAGAAGAAGAAGAGGAAGAGGAGAGATGATTCAAAATCAGAGATTTTTTATAATTGTCTTTATCCCAACCGATTCACTCTTGTAATTCATTATCCCACGCCCTTTTTTTTTTTTTTTTTTTTTTTTCCCTTCATCATCCACATCCATTGACCAATACCCATCGACCGGCATTCACCAAGCAAACACTTCGCCAGCCCATTCTCCAAACCATCCCCAACCACCGATCCGCACCACTAGATTGATAACCCCACGTAGCACAGAGCATGCTGCATCACATGCAGCCAGCCCCCGGGAGAATTTCAAATCGCTCGTCCTGCGCTTGCCTAGGCGCCGTATAGTTTGCAAACCGCTCCTGCAGGGATGACGACAAGTCGAGGACAGGAAGCACCGATCCTCTCCTGCACGGAGCGTAGGACAATGGCCAGCATCCCGATCCTCCCAAGTAAGCAAGCGACGGCGGGCCACACGGTTAACCCATCTGATCCCCGCTAGTAAATGGAATGGGGATCTCGGGACCTTTTTTTTTTTTTTTTTTTTTCTTTTTTCTTTTTCTTTTTCTCTTCTTTTCTGTTGGTCATTCCCCGCCTTCGGGGTTATCAGACATATCGTGATGTCAGCCAGCCAGCCAGCCCAGCCTCACTTTGTGACCAGGGTGGTGGTTTGGTTCCCTGTGGCACTAGTGAGGTGAGGCACGGATGAACTCCTGGAGCTGGGGACTCGAGGTACTTACCTACCTCACCTCCTTGGAATCGATGAGGAAGGATGACGGATGTAGATAGTTAGATACATAGTAGGTAGGAGGTAGGTAGATGGTTGACTTCAGCTGAGCCCAAAGCCCAACCTGTAACCCGGGCGGATATGTAGGTTAGGGCAGTCGATAGCTCAGGATGCACCAAAGCAGAAATAAAGAGCGAAAGGCGATCGGATCATTCTCATCGCCACCCGCACATGGCCGCCACACTTGGTCAGCGGTTAGCAATCATGGAGCATGGAGGGAAGAACAAAGGAATCAACGGCACTATTGCTTGGCTATAGACACATAGGTAGGGAAGGTAGGTGGTACTGTCAGTATGGACTTAGTAGTACCTGCTTTTTATTTTTATTTTTATTTTTATTTTTTGTGCAATCAGTTCACTTTCTCAAACCTATACAATTGAAATGATCCCCCACAGAGTAGGTAATTCTCCTCATCGACGATGGTGAGCAACACTACGTTGCTATCTCCTAGGTGGTAGTAGGTAGTCTGGGATGACCCAAATCCAATACGGCGGTGGAGAACTGCATGAGTATTATTGGCCGTGGGGTTACGTACGCCGTAAAATGGAAATAGCCAGAGTCGTCTCAGAGAACCCCAGCAAACAGACAGGGATACAGGGATGGATCGACTTGTGCATCTGATCTGGAGACGACGGGGCCCTCGGGGATCACTCTACCTCGTACTTGTACATATTACTCCGGTGCGGTAGTCGCCTTAGTCAGGGGTAATATAGATGCGAACTAGCTACCTTAGCAGCTAGTACGGAGTAGCTACAAGCATACATGCATACATACATACGGAGTACATGCGAAGGATCGCGCCCGCGGCTGAATCGATACCTACACAGCCATCTTCATCCCTCCCTCCCAATACTAATCCACGGAACTCGACTTTAAAATCCCTTTTTATGTATGTATGCATAGCATGTATGTGTGCCACCGTACATGCATCGCCCCCCCCCCCTCCCCAATCCAATCCAATATACCCAAGACACGCCCATCGCGCCTATCACCCCCCGTCAGACACTCTAGAACATCTCGTAGAACATCAGGAAGAAGCAAAAAAAAAAAAAAAAAAAAAGAAAGTAAAAATAAAAATAAATGATACCCAACCAAATCCTCCCACTTCCCCCCTGAATGATTTGGGAAATGCGAGTCATGATGATGTTCTCATCGCGTACCCTATTTCTGGGCTGGGGTGAGGGAAAATTAGGTCATCCGATCGATCAGATCTTGTTTGTCTTCTCGGACGATAACTAGCTAGACGAGATATAGTAGACTAAGTTACTAGAGTAGGGGAGTACTTAAGTATGTC